CATATTGTGTCTAGTAGTACCATTTGTGTTTAGTAGTACCATATTGTGTCTAGTAGTACCATGTGTGTCTAGTAGTACCATATTGTGTCTAGTAGTACCATATTGTGTTTAGTAGTACCATATTGTGTCTAGTAGTACCATATTGTGTTTAGTAGTACCATATTGTGTCTAGTAGTACCATATTGTGTCTAGTAGTACCATATTTATTGTTTAGTAGTACCATATTGTGTCTAGTAGTACCATATTGTGTTTAGTAGTACCATATTGTGTTTAGTAGTACCATATTGTGTTTAGTAGTACCATATTGTGTCTAGTAGTATATTGTGTCTAGTAGTACCATATTGTGTCTAGTAGTACCATATTGTGTTTAGTAGTACCATATTGTGTCTAGTAGTACCATATTGTGTCTAGTAGTACCATATTGTGTCTAGTAGTACCATATTGTGTTTAGTAGTACCATATTGTGTCTAATAGTACCATATTGTGTTTAGTAGTACCATTTGTGTTTAGTAGTACCATATTGTGTTTAGTAGTACCATATTGTGTTTAGTAGTACCATATTGTGTCTAGTAGTACCATATTGTGTCTAGTAGTACCATATTGTCTAGTAGTACCATATTGTGTTTAGTAGTACCATATTGTGTCTAGTAGTACCATATTGTGTCTAGTAGTACCATGTGTCTAGTAGTACCATATTGTGTCTAGTACCATATTGTGTCTAGTAGTACCATATTGTGTTTAGTAGTACCATATTGTGTCTAGTAAACCATATTGTGTCTAGTAGTACCATATTGTGTTTAGTAGTACCATATTGTGTCTAGTACCATATTGTTTAGTAGTACAATATTGTGTCTAGTAGTAAATTAATTGTGTCTAGTAGTACCATATTGTGTTTAGTAGTACCATATTGTGTCTAGTACCATATTGTGTCTAGTAGTACCATATTGTGTCTAGTAGTACCATATTGTGTTTAGTAGTACCATATTGTGTCTAGTAGTACCATATTGTGTTTAGTAGTACCATATTGTGTCTAGTAGTACCATATTGTGTCTAGTAGTACCATTATTGTGTCTAGTAGTCCACATTGTGTCTAGTAGTACCATATTGTGTCTAGTAGAACATATTGTGTCAGTAGTACCACATTGTGTCTAGTAGTACCATATTGTGTTTAGTAGTACCATAGTGTCTAGTAGTACCATATTGTGTCTAGTAGTACCATATTGTGTCTAGTAGTACCATATTGTGTCTAGTAGTACCATATTGTGTCTAGTAGTACCATATTGTGTTTAGTAGTACCATAGTGTCTAGTAGTACCATATTGTGTTTAGTAGTACCATATTGTGTCTTAGTAGTACCATATTGTGTCTAGTAGTACCATATTGTGTCTAGTAGTACCATATTGTGTCTAGTAGTACCATATTGTGTTTTAGTAAATCCATATTGTGTCTAGTAGTACCATATTGTGTTTAGTAGTAATATGTGTCTAGTAGTACCATATTGTATCAGCAGCCATATTGTGTCTAGTAGACCATATTGTGTCTAGTAGTACCATATTGTGTCTAGTAGTACCATATTGTGTTTAGTAGTACCATATTGTGTTTAGTAGTACCATATTGTGTTTAGTAGTACCATATTGTGTTTAGTAAATTCATATTGTGTCTAGTAGTACCATATTGTGTTTAGTAGTACCATATTGTGTCTAGTAGTACCATATTGTGTTTAGTAGTACCATATTGTGTTTAGTAGTACCATATTGTGTTCTTAGTAGTACCATATTGTGTTTGTAGTACCATATTGTGTTTAGTAGCAATATTGTGTTTAGTAGAACGCTTAGTGTACCATATTGTGTCTAGTAGTACCATATTGTGTCTAGCAGTACCATATTGTGTTAGTAGTACCATATTGTGTCTAGTAGTACCATATTGTGTCTAGTAGTACCATATTGTGTCTAGTAGTACCATATTGTGTTTAGTAGTACCATATTGTGTCTAGTAGTACCATATTGTGTCTAGTAGTACCATATTGTGTCTAGTAGTACCATATTGTTCAGTAGTACCATATTGTGTCTAGTTTTAGTTTCACGTGTCTAGCAGTAGCACGTTCATGTCCGTCTTAGTATAATGTATGTCTGATACCATCTGTCTGGTAAATGTACTTGTGGTTCTAGTAATAATATTAATGGTTGTACTAGTGGTTTTAAAAAAGGTTGTACTTGTGGTGGTAGTAATGGTACTTGTGGGAGTAATGTTTGTACTTCTGGTGGTAATGGTTGTAATTGTGGTGCTAATGGTTGTACTTATGTGGTAGTAATGGTTGTACTTGTGGTAGTAGTAATTGTTGTACTTGTGGTAGTAGTAATAGTTGTACTTGTGGTAGTAATAGTTGTACTGTAGTTGTAATAGTTGTACTTGTGGTAGTAGTAATAGTTGTACTTGTGGTAGTAGTAATAGTTGTACTTGTGGTAGCAGTAATAGTTGTACTTGTGGTAGTAGTAATAGTTGTATTTGTGGTAGTAGTGATGGCTGTACTTGTGGTCGTAATAGTTGTATTCTATGGTTCTACTTGTGGCTGTACAAAGGTTGTATTTTTTGTTTTACGGGATTAGACCCACCACAGGTATAGCACCACGCATCAGAGTTTTCAAGCAAAATATAATAATAATAATAATAATAATAATAATAATAATAATAATAATAATAATAATAATAATAATAATAATAATAATAATAATAATAATAATAATAATAATGAGGATCTTGTTAAAAATTTGGGATCAAAGAATTTCGTTGAAAAATTTGTCACTAGTACAGTTCTTTATGCTGATTTTAAGTATGAAACTCATTTTTTGCTTAAATAAATATTTAACATTTTATTGGCGAACCTAACCTAATAACTACAAGCACCTAACGGCCGAAACTTTGTTGACCCAGGCACGGGCGCAAACACCCCAAAAAACATGAGTTTCACATTTACAATCAGCACGAAAAACAGTATCTTTAAAAATTTTGAACACGGTCCAAATTTTTAGTAAGACCCGATGATGATGGTGAAGATGATGATAATAAAGGCCCATAAAAAAGATCAATAGTGAGAAACGATATACCTGTATTATGTTGTGTTGTCAAAGTAGAGAAACAATTGAGACCAATTGTGTGTAAATGAGGCAGAAAGTCAGATCAGCAACCTGGGACTTAGTCACAATTTTGGTGATGTTATATGGCAGCAGGGTCTACCATTAGACAACACATTAGGCTTCCAACATGTAGTTGCATTAATAATTGTAGTTGTAGTAATAACACTAGTAATGGTTGCATTAAAAAAGTTGTACTTGTGGTTGTAATAATGTTTGTATAAAAGTTGTATTTGTGGTTGTAGTAATGATTGTACTTTTGGTTGTAATAATGATGGTACTTATTGTTATAGTAAAGGTTGTATATACAGTACTTGTAGTTGTGAGAATGGTTTCAGTGGTATGGTAGTGGTTGTGGTGGCATATGTTTTTTTTTAGAAACGATGGTAATTATTGTGGTTGAGATAGTTACAATGTTCTGTACATGATGAACCAATGAGAAGATGTCAGGTGATTTTACTGAATCTATCGTAGCTTTATCTCTTCGAGACAAGAAATAAAAACATCACCAAGCTGTCATTTAGATATAAGAACATAAGAACATAAGAAAGTGATGCAGGAGGCCGACTGGCCCATACAGGGCAGATCCCTTTCACACCCATCCCAGCACTTCCATGTGCCTATCCAACTTCGTCTGGAAGCTCCCTAGCGTCCCCGATCCTACTATAGCAACTCGGTAGCCTATTCCACATATCCACAACTCTATTACCAAACCAGTGCTTGCCTATATCCTTCTGAATCGAATTTATCTAATTTAAAGCCATTTGTCTAGTTATTTCGTTATTACTGAGCTCAGAACATCTTCCATTTTACCCTTGTTAATCCCACTTACCCACTTGTACACCTCTATCATATCTCCCAACTCACGCTCTCTAATGAATGTAAGCCTAAGCTTTTCAGTCTTTCTTTATGGAAGGTTCAATATTATGGATCATTTTGTCATTCTTCTTTGTACTCTTCCAAAGAATCTATGTCCATTCTATAATAAGGACACCAGAACTGAACCGCATAATCCATGTGTGGCCTCACTAATGCTAGGTAGTTTCAAGATAACGTCACAGTTCTGTTACTCACAGACCTAGATATGAACCCAAGAACCTGTTTGCCTTGTTGCGAACGCTAATACATTGTTTTCCAGGTTTCAAGTCATTGGTTACAAATACACCAGATCTTTTTCACAAACTGAGTTTTATTTCCGTGTTACCTAGTTTATACTAACGTTTGTATTCGTCTTCCTATCTGTAGTACCTTGCATTTATCAGTATTAAATCATTTGCCAGTCTACTGACCACTCATGTAAGGTATCTAGATCTCTTTGAAGGTGTTCAAAGTCACTGTCTGAATTTATCACTCCCCATTTTGGTATCATCTGCAAATTTACTAATCCTACTAGTTATGCCTAAATCAAGATCATTAATGAATATAACAAACAGCAAAATCGCCATACAAGTTCACAATTGACTCTGCATGTATATAGATAATACAAGTTTACAGCTCATCGTGTACCATATATAGACAATGCAGGTATACTGTACAGTTCAATATGTAAAATCAGTACTGGGCTTCAAAATATCCCTTGACAAAGCAGTGGAGGGATCGTGGGTGGCATTTAAAAAAATAGGCAAATAAATAATGCAGGTATTGTATACAGTTCATCATGTATTGACAATGCACGTATACAGTTTGGGGTATTCACCTCCACTAACACTCAAACGCTATTTTTATAACGTCGTTTCAAGTGAACGAACAAGACACAGCAGAAACAACAACAACCTGTCAGCCCTTCATGTTATTTAACCAAAGTACCACCGTGTTTATTGGTTTTACTGACATAAAGATACCCGGGAACATCATTATATCGTCAACTTACGTTCAGAATATGTTGGATCACCCCGCGAAGACAACATTATGTAAATCCCAAGAACGCGATGAACGTGACCACTTGACACGACGGTATGAACACCACTGAGGAGTCGGCCACCACTGTCGGGAGTCAGGACCCGGGACACTCTGAGGCTGGGCTACATACACAACAGTGGCCAGATTTTCCAGACGGGAAAATGCAAGTTCGACGAAAAAATATGCTAGATTTGCCGCAAAAAATGTTAAATTGCTGAACTTAAGTAATTAGGTATTTAATACATGGGAAAACATATTAAAATTATCTTTTATTACCTTTTCCCTCGTTAAACTTTGTAATTCTTTATGATATGGCAACAACATGGAGGGAATGCAATATGAGTTGCCAAGTCTATAATTTCTAAGTTGCGTGTTTCAGATTTTCTAAGTGATATTTTTCATTTCTGGGTGTTTTGATGTAAAATTTTCACGCATAAATCGCTGGTGGCTGTTTCTGTCAGCATGATTATTGATCACTGACATTTTGCTTGGAATTTTTGCTTGACAAACAGTACAATTCGCTCTTGTCCTTTTTTTTTTCATTCACTGCATAGGCTATACTGTATTAGGATCTGCACAGACATTTTTCATAAAAATTTTGACTGTACAGCTTGTCTGAAATTAACTTTTTCTTGTCTAGGATTGCAGATATCCCTACAACCAGAACCCTTCTCCTGGAACACAGCACACTGACAGTTGCTTCCACAATTATGCTAAAAATGTTAGATTTCTCGAAATGCCAGAGTTTATGCTAGATCAATTAAAAATTTCCAAAAATGCCAAATTTAGCATTAAAATGCTGAATCTGGTCAGCCTTGTGATTCAGTGAGTGGCTCAACAAGGAGTCTTATACTTTAGAAGGATAGCTCACTCAATGTTAAAATTACTAAGTCTAGGTGAATGCGTTCGCCCATAGGAGTGGGCTATCCTTCTATAGTACAGGAATCCTTGAATCAACTTATAAAGTTAACTAGGAGACACAATATTGGAAATACTTACGGGTATCCGGCGCCAGAATTTAACTCACGGTATATAGATTCAGAAACTGCGGGAGTCCGGGAGGTTTAAGAGTCAGTAGTATAACTAAGATCTAATTGGTTTGTTAAAGGTTCGGAACTGTTAAAAGTTATTTACATTCCTTACCATAAATAGGATCTGATCGGACAAGGAAATGTTCAGCCAATATTAGAGGAGGCTTAGATCCTTTACTGGAAGTAGGATCTGATCGGCTGTCAGCTGGACTGGAGCTATTTTTGAAGCGGAGGCTGTCTGGGGAGATGGGCGGGCGACGAGATGAAGCTAAAAATAATCTTAAAACTGTGTTCTTGGGTCAAGCCTCCGCCAGTGAAGCTGCAGGTAAAGTTACTTAACCTATCATCATGATATAAGAGGATGACATTGTGTTAACTAAAGCTTTTGGTTGACGGAATGATTGGGATACACTCTCTTCTTGTATCAAGGAACTAGTCGAGGAAGCTACAATGTTAAACTTTTTAGCTAACTACAGTTCTGTATATTTGGTAATATTGACGACTGACCCGCAGCCGATTTTTCATAGAAAACGATTTTAAAAATGCCGCAATTTCACTGAATTTTAGTGGACACTTGTAGTTTGTGCAAATGTGTTAAAAAGTTATTAATTCTATATTAAACCAAACCTAACCTTAGTTGATAGGAAAAAAACCGACCTCGCCAACCTAACCAAACAAACTTACCTAAATTCCTTGTCGGGGGGGACCCCAAAGTATATTGAACAGAAAGAACTTATTTTGATATTATGTAATTTTACGTTTTTTGTGGACTTGAGAGCAGCCGCCCGCATTGGAGCTGATCCAGTCCGGGCAGCGGAGTGTTTTGTTATTGAGACGGAGGGAAGCGGCAAGCCATGGGGTTGAAGAAGTAATGAAGGATTGTGGCGTGGTCTCGGTGAATGTGGCAGAGCAGGTAGCAGGTGAAGTAGTGCTTGTAGTAGTAATCCTTGTTGCCAGCCCTCAGAACCTAGGGCCTTATATCCTTCCACAGCTGTTCTGCGCTGTTAGTGTGCACTGCAGTAACAGTCAACAAAGTTTTTGCTGTGGTTTACTGTTTTGGAGGTTATAACCTAAGGACCCCAAGTTCGAGTAGGCTTTCCTGCAATCACTGTTGATAGTGGTGCCTGGCTGGATAAATTTCTGACAAAGAGGAACTAGGGTGTTAGCGTCTCTTTTCTCAATCGGCACAACGATCATGCGGCCTGATCCACACTATATGCTGCCCAAAACCCAGACACCCTTTACTTAGCGGCCACATTGGAATTTCTTCTTACCAAATTTTCTTTTGTCAATTTCTACGAAGTTACTTGGGCCGCCAATAGGTTCCTGGTTTTCCATCCAGTGCATACAGACCTCACTGCAAAAATGCTTCCAGTCAACAACAGACTTGGTACACAAACCCAGTTCAATTTCACAGTATTGCTGTGAAAAGAACTTTCTTAGAAAGATGTTTATAAATAAAAGTACAATGCTGTACTGGGTTTAATCTTAGCATTTTCAATCCAAGTTCCTTTATAAACACTAAAACTGTAGCCACAACGTTCTAGCCACTTGTTTTTCTTTATACAAATTTTCTTATTACACTGGAACAAATTCCTTTCTGGTCTGAAAGCACAGGGATTTCCGCAGTGTGGACACACACTTTTTGAAGGAACATTGCTGTGATCTTTGAAAAACTGAAAGGTCTGGTTGTCTTTCTCCTTGATTTTGAAAATTACATCCATATAAGACCAGTAACAACCTTCACACGCCATGCTGAAAATGCAACTGGCGCGAGAAAGCGAGGCGAGATGAGGCAAACAGCGCGGCCGCATTACTGCCGAGAAGACAAAGCATTTGCACAAGAAATGATTTATCATATCAGAACTCACTGATAAAAATAAAGGAAGAAAATAAACAATAAAACAAATACTCATCTACGGGTCAGTTGTCTATATTATCCATAAGTTTTATCTGAGTCTTTTAACTGTAGCAGGAACATGTTCATTATAGTTTAATTTATTACATGTTAAGTTTGTGTTAATGATAGGAGATGAGCCTATGCCAGAGACTGCCAGTTAATTGATAATGTTGAAAGAATGGTGCTTGCTCTATGACATCTCTGTTACCCAGAGAGATTAGTTAAGTTGTGACTGACACAATAAAAACAAATTGGTGTAGTTCCCATAAAAAAAAGTACATCCGTTGAAGTAAACTGATCTTAAGCTGTTTGTTCTTGAAGCATAACCTTCAGTGTCTAAGTAAACTAGGTTAGAGAGTACAGTACAGTATTGTATGTGTTTTAGTTTTTGAACATTAGCCCGACCTGCTAGTGTCAATCAATGGCTCGGAGGATAAATTCAAATGCGAAAGACGTTGTGATAGCTCCGAGTGTGAGCTCATTCAAGGCCAGACTTGACCAACACTGGAGCAGATTCCAATATATTCAGGAGCTGGTGCATGGCCAGTACTTGCCAACAGTGCGTAACAGAGACATGACCGATCGCCAAGCGGCTAACGAGCCGATCAGTGGCAAAGAAGATAACAGTATAAAAGTAAAGTAATAATGTCCTTTGGACATTATATGATTGTCTCTTTAAGAGAGTTACAAGGGACGGACAATCTAGATACAGTATCTGAATGACCTTCTTATAAGACCTACTAGTTTAGTTGCTTGATTCACCTTCTCACAATGGCCCGAGAACTTCAGTTCGTTGTCAACATACACAGCCAGGTCCTTTTCATATTCGGTGTCTGTTAATACTATTTCTTTTTCCTGTTGTGACAAGTGATACGCCTCCTTACTGTTAGTACAACCTAGGTACATCATATATAAAATTGAAATATCAAATTAATGCTATTAATTTAAAGTTGAGTGATTATTATTATTATTGTTTCAACATAGCAGTGAAAGGATTTTTTTTGTTTATTGAGGTTTTCAGAAAAGTCTTACAATAGATTCTGATGTGCAAATGTTCCATGTTATGATTAATGTTAAGACACATCGATTCATGTTTACTTTAAGGAGGACAACTTGAAGAAGAATGGCCGAAATAATGGCACTGCCAGAGCAGGTCTCTGCACAAGCCTATATGATGAACCACTTGGTAGATGCAGATGATGAGGAAGATGTCACACTACATTTAGCAGCTTTGTGTGGAGACAGTGAAGGTTTACGACACATTGCAGGAGAGATCCACTATAGTCAGTGGCTGAACTATCGTGTCCGACCATATATGTCGCCCCCACTTAGACTAGCAGTTTCGGGTGAGTTATCGTCTGTGGATTGAAAGATCTATGATATATTTTACATATACAGTAAGTCATGCATATCCTTCTCATTTCTTTCAACATTGCAGTAGAGATCATTTCATGTCTGAATAAATGAATAATTTTCTGTCCTTTCCATTTGAGATATGTATTTTAACTTACAAAAATGAAGTCATTTGACAGTACATTTACTGTACATATTTATAACTAAACTATGTAAGATGCTGTATATAGTTTATGGAAATTCCCATAAAGCTGTTTGAAGACATGATGTGAACCGGCTTTAGTGAAATATACAAATAAAGAGAATTTTAATAACAATAAACAATTTCAAAGTATTAACTGGTACTTGTTATTAAAAGAGTTATTTTCACTATTTTGTGACCACCCTTAATGATGTCAACTCTGTACTGTATTAAAACATTTCTAATACAGTATAGTACTGTACAGGTTTATTTAATTGATTTCCCAGTTTTATAGATGCAGCTCTGTACTTCCAGTGTTGTGAAGATCCACCACCATACACACCCCCTTAGCCCATGAGGGCATCTGGGAGGGAGACCCATGCATTTTTCTTTAAATTATATTTTTCAGAGCTAGTACCTAAAAAAATTTATTTATATCCTGCTACAGATTGTTTTCCCCATGTCATAAAACCCCCATCAGTTCATGTCATCCTTCTTCAAGTAAAATTGGTCTTTGGCTAAGGGACACCTGAGTGAGTAGCTTTGACAATGGTAACCATACCATATGATCACCCCCTGTACTTTTTAATTCTTAAAAAATCAATTTATATATACAGCTCCTCCCTGACTTACGACCACCCTGACATACGACCGCCTCAGTTGTACCAAAATTTTGTGAAATTAGGTATTTTCGAGTCCCAACGTTAGTGATTGCGCTGTGTACTGACAAAATTTTTGTTTGTAATTCACTTTAAAATGGCTGGCAAGCTTAAAAGTGAGAGTTTGGTGCTGAGAAGAAAAAGAGACACCCATTTTAGATTTTCTATGTATTATTTAAACATTTTTGACTTACGACCATTTCGACTTACAACCTGGATTTAGGTCCCTAACCCTGTCGTAAGTCAGGGAGGAGCTGTACAGTAAACCCTCGTTACGCACATATAGGGCTCTGGCTTTGCCGAGTTATCCCAAACTCCGACTTATTGAAGCACTTCCCCTCTCCTGCAAAAATACAATACTGTAATAAAAAAATTATTGACCCGTATATTGTATGTGTACATGTAATTACTAAATGTAAAATATTAATACAGTGGGGTATGCTATACGAACGGATCTACTACGAATATTCCTATAACGAACGGTTTTTATAAAATTGAGAAATGCTATAACGAACGAAACTCCTACAAGCGAACATTATTTATTTATTTATTTATTTTTTTTTTTTTTTTTTACTAATTTATTGTTTTTTTATTACAAGTATTAATGATACTCATTATTTCAGGGGTTTAGATGCATATTTATGCACTTTTTTACAATTTTTACAATTTTATATTATATTTTTCAGTGTTAAGTGGTTGTATTTGGGGGCCTGGAACGGATTAATCCTATAACGAACGAATGCTATAACGAACAAGGTTCTAGAACCAATTAGATTCGTTATAGCATACTACCTAACCACCAGCACTGCAAGCAAAGAATGAAACATCATAGTAGGTGACAGATATATGGTAGCTGACACAGAGACACCTTCCAAATATATACACTAGACCCTCGATAATCCAGAATTTCAAATAACTTGGCACAGATATGGTCTCGAAATGTATTATAGTACAGTACTACAGTCTTACTCAGGAAATGTCGAGATACAGTACCGTATATAAAATTATTTGGGAAAATCTCAGCATATTTGGCCACCTGCATCACCTACCATGCCTCTGTATATATACAGTACTGTGTATATATATATATATATATATATATATATATATATATATATATATATATATATATATATATATATATATATATATATATATATATATATATATATATATATATATATTCTCTCCTCCACTTACGACGGGGTTCTGTCCCGACGACCAGGTCGTAAGTCGAATTGGTCATAAGTCGAAAAGGCGAAAATAATACTGTACATAGAAATTGCATGTGTGGTGGTGTTGGTGTGCAGATTAGTGGATGTAATGTTTATGACCTGACCTCATGTTTAATAAGGTCACCCTGTGTACTTAAGCCTGTCTCGGTCCATATAATTCAAGTGCCTCTGAAGATGTCTTGAATAAAAACGAAAGCTAAGGTGCTCCATTGTTTCCCTTTTCCCTGTGTGATTTTATCAATATATATATATACAGTGGCTTTTAAATGTTATTTTTTCTATTTACAGGAGGAAATCCCGAATGTATAGAAGTACTTTTGTCAGCTGGAGCAGACATTGAGTTGGAGGATGTGAAGGGACAGACTTCTCTCTTTGTTGCAACTTCTCAAAGAAAGTTAGAGATCATGAAGGTCTGTTTACATCAGAGCTTATTTTTTGAGATTTCGTGTAATATAGCTAAGTCAGAGAACGATACTGTAGTATACTGTACTCCTGTTATCTCAGTCTCCATCATTTTTCTACCTTTCACTTCTTCATATGTCTTGCACAGTTACTCGTGATTTTATCGTTGTTTATGTTCTGTATTTTAATTTATTAACTATTTATCATTTATAAATAAATCTTTCACATAAACACCAAAACAGATTAGAGTTACAGAATTTACTTTTACTTTTATCCTCTTCGTCACTGATTGGGTATTTAGTTGCTTGGGACTACTCGATCACGTCCCTGTTATGCACTGTTGGCAAGTACACTGGCTCCAGAATGTATCTTTACCTGTACCAGTGTTGCTCAAGTTTGGTCTTTAAACAGCTCACACTTAGCGCCATCACAACACTAACTGGCAGATTGTTCCAATAGTTTACAATTCTCACCCAGAAAAAGTTTGCCCTCACAATTTTCTGGACTTGTGGCTTCTTCAACCTTGAGCTGTGACTCCTTGTGGGGCAAGCATCTGCCAGCTTCTGAATTATAAAAGAAAATCACCAAATTCTAAACAAATTTCTCAAAAGTATAAACTTAGGTAAGTTTTAAGTGATTGTCTTTATAGTAAGCACAATATTAGATTTTGACATTGTTGTTACCAACAATTTTTAATTTGAATGATTTTACTTAAAAAAAAAAAACAGCGCAGTACTGTATTCTGTTAATCAAACACACCACAAGAGACTGACCAGCAGTTAGTCTTAAATTTAGCAATAAAATATCATAATTTCATGAAGAGTAGGTTGTAATTAACCCTCTCGCACATGATGACGTGATTCGCGTCATATTCATGATAAGACCAACTTCACAATGCCGCAAATTGAGTCACTGAGCATTAAAAAACTCAGTTTTCAACAGAATTCTGTCAAATTTTGATTCAGCATAGTAGCAAGTAAGTTCTATCAAATAAACTAATTGGCAACTCTCGAGGCCCATAGGAAGGGAAGAACAACGATAAATGCGCAGTATTATCTCAGCAGTCAGACCGTGAGTGTGAGCCATGTCCATTTAAATTCCATAACTGTGTGGGCTGCCTCAACTCATGGTTAAGTACAGTGCTTACCCTACTCCCTGAAATAATTTATTTTTAGTGTTTTAGAGAAGTGAAGTGATGGTTGTGTAATGTAATATTTTTTCATATTTACGGGGAAAGTGTTTAGTTTTCGAAAGCCGTTACAGTATCAGGCTATACAACCTCGTTATAGTAATAATGTCTCAAAAAAAGTCTCTGAAAAGATAATTTTCTAGACTTACATGAATTTTATCAGTACCATTCTCTTTGTTATGGTGTTGGCTACAAGATGCATTATAATTTATATCGATATAAAACATAGGCACAAGAATAATCGAAAAAGATTAAAAAATTACCATTTGGGAATCAGTTTTTTTGCTATTTTCTCAAAAACTTTTGGTCAAATCAGAAATCTGTTTGTTGCATTAGAAAGCTCATAAAATTCTGCTTCTAGAAGTGAATAGTTGGCTCAGACAATTAGAGCTAGGAGGTTGTGAACATAATGGTATGTATTTTTTTCCCCATGTTTATTAAAAGTGACAAAAAAAAGCTATATTCAGTACAGTACTTGTATTATTTTTTTTCGCTTATGTTGCAGAGCAATCAGTTACGAAGCCAAAGATATATTGTTTATGCCAATAAAAACAAGGTTTTGGGAGGAAATTGAAAAAGAAAAAAAAAAAAAATATTCACCATGCAGAGGAGTAATAACATTATAATGTCAACGATATCTTGGAATGTGAGGTTTTTGTGAAAACTGTATTGATTCAGAGAGACTATAGTGAAGAGAAAGGCCTTCCTATCTCCTTTGAATCATGTCACTTTTGTTACCCCAACCCTGCATCTGTCAGTCTAGCAAGAGAAGTAAAGTAAGGAAGTTCTACTGTACACATTGCCAAGAATGTTTTTGGCAAATCAAGAGATGGTGGAAGCTATAACCTTTTTTACTTATTTTTTGTGTTTTGAGTTCATATTCATATGTATGCTTCTCACCATAGAGACCACTTTGCATGTACCAGATGTCAATATAAACGTTTCTTTTATACATTAAGATTCTGTTGGAAGCTGGTGCTAATCCAGAAGGTAGCCGTAAGAATCGCTGCTCGCCGTTATTAGTGGCGGTCAGAGATGGATTTTCAGAAGGCGTCAAGGTAAGTTTTTGTTGCCTCTGATGTCTTAACGAACCTTTTCTTTTTAAATTTGGTGATCTGTTATTTATATTTAAATGCTGGGAATACACTCAAGGTTTTCCAGGTGTAAAATTGAAAAATTCCAGGTACTGTACATTGATTCGGTATTTATTACAACATAAAAAAAATTGAGGTTTTCAATGATATGAATATACTGTACTGTACTATTGGGAAATTTAAAGATGATATTAATCAAGAAATTGAAGACCCTTTCAGGCCCACCCTAAGCCAATCTGACAAAAATAATATATTCACCTGTATACAGCTATGAAATGAAGTATTAATTAAAGTATGTACAGTACCTGTGATGTACTTAGTCCAGATACTAGTTATTGAAAGCTGTCAGACTCCCACTGGTGGTTTGAGTCACTGATTCAGTCGACTGTCCACTTGGCGCTAAATTTAAACAGCCGATTCACTATTGAGTCTCAATATTGTAGGTCACTTGCCCATCAATTTCTTTATTGCCACTGGCTACTGGACTGAACTATTTTAATTAACCAGCTATGATGAGGATGATCATTAGCATTAGTGATGAACATCAGCAAAGACCTTGACCGTCACCCACATTTTTCTTCTCAGATTTGTGCGATTCATGTGGGTCGACCTGTACGTAAAAAAAAAAACGGAAATCCGGCAAAAAACAAAAAATATCACACTCCTGATCCACCTATATGACACACGATATGTGGAATAATTCACTTAATAATAAGAACATATCATCTCTGACAATACTCATTGCAGAATTAGTAGGAATAACCTATAATATTTGGTTATTTGATCAATAACATGAAGTATGAGAGGTACACAAACAATTCAGTTATTGGAGTGGATTATTTAGTGGAATTTGTTCCTAAAAGTTTAATTATTTACCTATTATAGTACATCATTAATTTATGGTAAGATTGCTGTCAAATAACAATATTTTGAAGTTGAACAGAATTCACATAAAATTCAAGGTTTATTTGTAAAATTCCCTGCATTTTCCAGGTTTTCCACATCAGTAGACACCCTGACACTGATGTCATAATTCAAAACATTTACAGCAGGGGTGTCAAACATGCAGCTCAACACCCTCTTACATGCGGCCCCCGGCCCACTGACTGCTCCAGCTGCACCTTGAGCAGCTAAGAGCCTAAGACAGTAGCACTTGAAGTAAAAAGTTAAGACTATTTGTACTGTATTGGATAATACTCTTTTTGTCTCTTGACTCTATCTATTCTATTAAGTCTGTTCAAAGGCAAGTGCTTGTAGGATGTTTTGTGAATCTCAGTCCAGTACGCATCTGGTGCTAGAGCGACGGCTTGCTAAATGCGTTGTTAGCCCTTTGACAATACTCTTTCCACACTAACCTGGCCCGTAGGTCCCGCCCCTCTTCTATACTAATAGCTGATTGGTTTATAAAAAATTCAAACTAAACGTGTTCACAATTGGTAGGCAGACCTGTTATTATCTAAAATAATGCCAAATATATGGATTATCAAAATGCAAATCATTTCAAGGCATTAGCACTTCAGAGAGGATGTTGGAAAATTTTAAGTATTTATTATAAAAGGTCGATATAAATACTCGCTTATACTTATATACGCGCAGTGGGGGGTAAAATGCTCAGGGAAACCAATCAGCTATTTGTAGCTATAGATGAGGAGTGGGCTTTACAGGCCAGGTTAATGTGGAAATACCAATGAAAGAGCAATTGGAGATAGTTTTAATGGTTAATTGTGGTTCTAAGCATACCACTGTATGAGTTTAGATATGGGCCGACCACTGGCCTCATACCAGTGTTAGACATGATAGCTCTGATGCGGTGGGCTCATGTTTGGGCAGTCCTGCATAGTCGCTCAAGGCAGTTGGAGCAGTGCAAATATCGGAAGCAGTGTCCATCGTTTTTACTTTGGGCCATTAATCATGTTATCAAAGAACAGAACAATTGATGACGAGCGTCGGGTGGTACAGGAAAAGTGGAAAAACTTGTACTTTTTTTTTTTTAATTAATGGATAACTGACATGTTTGATTTGTAAGCAACAACGTTCGAAGGCATTATGACACTAATCATGCTCCGAAGTATAATAAATATAGTGGCATGTTACGTGAAGACAAAGTTAAATAGTTAAGCAGTCATTGAAAAACCAGCAGTTGGTATTTAAGAGTGTTCATCAAGTCAGTGATGCTGTAGTTTAGGCAAGTTACAAGATTGCACATGAAATAGCTGTGTCATCAAAGCCTTTTTCTGAAGGGAACTTTATAAAGAAATGTCTGTTGATGGCTTCAGAAGATATTTGCCCAGAAAAATGTCAAACATTTGCAAACATTAGCATATCAAGAAATACAGTTGCAGAGAGAATTAATGAATTATCGGGAAATATAAACAGTCAACTCGAAGACAAAGTTAAGTACTTTACTGCATTTTCTGTTGCAATTGATGAAAGTACCGATATAACTGATGTAGCACAACTTGCAGTTTTTATACGTGGTGTGGATGAAAATTAGGTGTTGACTGGGTACAAACTGTGAGTCTGGCTACAAATGGATCACCGCAAATGGTGGGTAGAAAAGCTGGCATGGCAACAAAATTAGAGGAAAAACTACGAGCTGTGAACCCACACCATCAATTTCATAATTTGCATTGCAATGCAGTAAAACATTAAAAATGGATAATATGATGGATGTCATTATAAAGACAGTGAACTTTATACGAGTTCGAAGTCTAAACCACAGACAGTTCAACTGCTTTTTGGAGGAAAATAAGAACACACGTGGACTGCCATATCACACTGATGTTCGCTGGTTAAGTTGGGAAGTTGTACTGAAGCTATTTAATGAATTGCATAGTGAAATACAGATATTTATGGAACAGAAAGGAAAGGATGTGCATGAATTGAAGGATAATGAATGAGTTCAAGATCTAACTTTCATGGTGGATATTACAGAGCACTTAAATTACCTGAACACAAAGATGCAAGGATGCAATAAATTGGTAACAGAGTCTTATGACTGCATTCGTGCCTTTGAGATGACACTGCAGCTTTTGGAAAGTCAACTTTCCGACCTTAAACTCCCTGCAAGGCACACCTGAGCTTCATGTTGATACCAACACAGAAAAGTACTGCATCAAAATTTCTAAGTTAAGGAATGAGTTCCAAGATTTGCTGACTTTAAATACCTTGAGAAATATTTTTCCATTTTTCAGAACCCATTCTCTGTCAGTGCTAATGAGGTAGTACCAGTGCATCTTCTGTTAGAATTAATTGAGCTCCAGTGTGATTCTATTTTGAGGGAAAGTTTTCGAGTGTCGATGTTGGCACATTTGATCAATATGTGGGACCAAATTACCGTATCCCAGGATTAGGTGTTTTGCCTCAAAGATTATGTCCATGTATGGAAGTACATATGTTTGTGAACAGCTTTTTTTGTAATGAACATTAACAAAATCTTGGCTTCGTTCTCAACTTACTGATGCGCACCTGAATTCAATACTGAAGGTTGCTGCAGCTCAGTCATTAGCTCCAAACTTTGATGCATTGGTCCATACCAAGAGGTGCCAAGTATCAGGGAGCAGCAGTAACAGGCAATATGACTAATCAAGGTAATTATTTATTATACAACACAGCACAAGCAGGGTTTTTACATTTTTTTGAGCACTCAGCCATAAGCTTGTCCCTCACTCTTGAGTAGACTAAGACCTCACCCCTCAGCACCTCTAGTCCCGTTCCTTTATCCACCTCCCTTATTTTTCCGCACTACTCCCCAAAGGGGTGATTGCGAAGTGTTCATAATTATGTTACATGGCCTGCATAGTGTGTACTCATATTAAATTTGGCCCGCCGTAGCAAATGAGTTTGACACCCCTGATTTACAGTGTACAGGAGTCTTTAGTTTTTGTAATGCTTACATTTGCTTACACATGTGAACCTGATGCTTTCCTAGTGGGAGAAAAAGTCTTTTAGGATCACTGAATGGTGTTCCAATGGTCAGGACATATTTTACGTACAACCTGCTTGAATCTCTGTAAAAGGTATTGAAGTGCATTAGTAAATTTACAAGAAATGTAAAATAAAATGCAAGATTGATTTTGTTGAATAAATGTTGCAGACATAAAATAGTGATGTATTAATTGTGTGAAATTAATGCCAGGGCAGTGTCAGAGTTATAGAGGATTGTTCTAGCCGAGTGATTTGGGATTTCAGAATCAATTAAATATTTTTCTTACTTTCTTCCATAGCTTTTGTTACAACATGGGGCTGATCCAGAGCCTTTTAATCAGATCTGCACATGTGTACCAGGATGGCCACTCCAGCATGCGATTGTGTATGCTCACTTTTCATGCTATTTTGAGCTTATAAAAGGAGGGGCTCTGGCAAACCTTACTTTACTGCCATACCAAGTGAACCCAAAAGTAGTGACTCGTCTATCTATTCCACATGCCATCCTTAAGTATGCCAAGTAAGTTAATGTTTCAAGGTACAGTATAGGGAATTTGTAAGCACAGACTTAAATAATGGCAAAAAGTACAAGAGAGCTTTAGTATCAGCAGAAAAGTAAATTAATTTTTTATATTGTTTGTTCTGTCTCATTAATAATTTTATTATCTCATATCCCCACAGACTTTCAGAATTGTTTTTTTGTGAAGATCATGTTTTTGAATGCTTATATTGCTACAGCAACTTTGGACTGTATACTCAATTGTTGATGTTTGAGGTCTGTCATAAGTGTGGACAATGTTGCTGTTGTAAAACAAACATTCACACTATCTCCATGAAAATATGTAAGGTAGTGTGTATATACCTGTACTGTATATTGTTTTAAGACAACCGATATATGTATACCTCTGATGTTAAGATCATCTCTCTGTAGGGAGTACCCAGAGTTCATGGAGTTGTATAATGAGTGTGGGGGTAACCTGCGCCAGGTAAACACTGCTGGAACCACCTGCAGTGAGGAGTTTCTGGATGGCTCTCCTGCAAAAGATTTATTAATCAGTTTATCAGGTGAGGCACCAATATAATTATTTGTTCACAGTACAGTACATTATATGAAATACATTATGTTTAAGACCTTTGTAAGACATTAAGAGTTTCATTAGAGAGAAGTTTACTTTAATATTGTTTCTGTCAGTTGTTAATACAGAGCTTATTCACTGTCATCTTCATTGTAACAATTCATAAAGCGTAAAAGTTATGAAAAGAAAATGTTTTCATAATTTGTAGGGTGGTAATCCCCAGGCAAGAAGGGCTAACACAGCCCATAGCATAGTTGAGGTAGGTGGCCACCTCATCACAACCGTAGTAGAATAATACCCCACCATTAGTAGGTACAGGATTGAATCTGTGTTTCATGAATTAGGAGTTAAGAGGGTTAACAACTGAGCCATTATTTTGCCACCATTTCTTACATGTCTTCCTCTGCTGTACAACAGAGAAGGTTGGGAAGAACCTTCAAGCACCATGACCTTGGTAAATTTATGAATCCTTCTCCATTGAAACAACCATCGGGTTCATTCTTATAATTATTATTTTTTCATCATACCTTAGGTGTTATTTTTTCCCATATCTTTATCTTCACGTGTGTTAATTAAGCCATTTTGTTTTACCAGGTATATATATATATATATATATATATATATATATATATATATATATATATATATATATATATATATATATATATATATATATATATATATATATATATATATATATATATATATATATGACCTGACCTCATGTTTTTAAGGTCACCCTATATATTTAAGTCTCTCTCTGTCCATGTAATCCAGTTGCCTCTGAAGATGTCTTGAATAAAGACGAAAGCTAAGGTGCTCCGTTGTTTCCCTTTTCCCGTGTGATTTTATCAAGATATATATATGTATATACTGTATATGTATATATATGTATATATATGTATATATATATATATATATATATATATATATATATATATATATATATATATATATATATATATATATGTATATACTGTATATGTATATATATGTATATATATGTATATATATATATATATACTCTTTAAATTTCCTTATCTTACTGCTATTAGCCCTTTTCTCTGCAAAACTGAATAATTACAGTATATGTATTTAATTATTCTATTTATCACTGTCCATTCCCTTAACCCTCTCGCGTACGAGATAAGTTTTGTTTTCCAGTTCCAAGATCACATTTCTGAGGCCCCCAGGGCAGGCGAGACAGCACAATGAATAATTTATTTATTTTTTTTGCTTTATCAATTTCCTCCCCCAAACTTGTTTTTATTGGCATAAACCATATATCTTTGGCTTTGTAACTGATTGCTCTGCAACATAAGCAAAAAAGAAAGTATATAGCTTTTTTGTCACTTCTAATAAACATGAGGAAAAAAAATACACACCAATACGTTCACAACCTCCTAGCTCTAATTGTCTGAGCCAACTATACATTGCTAGAAGTAGAGTTTTATGAGCTTTCCAATGCAGTAATCAGATTTCTGATATGACCAATAGTTTTTAGAGAAAATAGCAACAAAATGATTCTCAAATGGTAAAATTTTTGTTCATCTTTTTTGTGCCCATGTTTTATATCGATATAAAATATATTGCATATTGTAGCCAACATATAACAAAGAGAATGGTACTGATAAAATTTGTGCAAGCCTTGAGGGTTTTTTTGGGGGGTGGGGGGGGTCTCATATTTTTATTTTTATTTTTATTTATTTTTATATACAGGGTACGTGTGGGCGGGTGTTCGACCGCATTGCATGACTTATGGTATGGGTATACAGTGATATCTCTGTTGGCCGGAACAATTGTTGCATAGCACTTCCGGGAATGAGAGATTTTCAGGTAATGAGACGACTCTCAAAGCCGGAAAAAATCCCTCATCCCCATAAGTTTCTGGGTAACAGAAAAATGTTCTCGGAAGTTCCAGAAATTGCCCATTACATCATCTCTTGAACCCGGAAAAATATCCCTCATCCCCGGAATTTTCTGGGTACTGGAAAAATTCTTGGAATTTCCGGAAAATGCACCTGATTTTCATCTCTCAAATCTGGAAAAAACCCATCCCTGGATTTTCAGGAAAATGTGCCCCCACAGAAAATTCCAATTCCTGCTATCAGAGAGTTCTGGGTTTGAGGGATTCCGGCTAACTGAGATATTATTATAGTATAATATATGAGAATAACACAAATTATAACAAAATATACCATAATAACAAACTGTATTATAGTATGATATAAAATAAGATCACACACAGTATATATAGGTGGGTGGGCATTCAACCACATCGCTTTATTGTCATATAGTAAAAGAAAGTAACACAATATCTTATAATAAATTGCAATATAAAATAACAGAAAATATATAATAAAATAAATTCATTCTGTACCAATATAAAATAAGACCATTCTGTACTCACGTCCTTCAGTGAGGTGGAAGACTTCCAGAACTTGTAGATGGACTTTGGGGGAGGAAGTGAGTGAATGAGCCCGAGTAAAATGGATAAGAGAGTGAATAATTGTGTGTGTGGAGTGAGTGGGGATGTAGATGGGTGTGGATGAGTGTGGAGTAGAGAAGGAGAGGGATTTAAATGTAATGTAGCTGATAAGTGGAGTGTGGGAGGTACTTGGTGATCGTGGGAGGCATGTGGTGGGATGGTGGACCACCTGGGTGGTGAGGAAGGGAGGTAGCAGGTGGTATGAGGCTTGAATAATGCAAGAGATATGAAGGAGAAGCTTGGGATGTGGAAGGTTGTGGTGAAGAGAGTGAGGGTGGTACGTTGTTGGTGGTAGAGGGAGTCGCTGGTGGTGTGAGCCGTGTGATAATGTGGATGCAACCGACACAATTTCTTCCTCATATTCAAGACTTTTTTTTTTTTGTTATCATGATTATTTTCACTACCAGGCTCTTTATTATCACTATCCACTTGATCCTCACAGTCTCTAAACAAGAGTTCTAGAAAATCATCTTCTTTCAGAGACTTTTTTCGGGACATTGTCACTCTGAGGTTGTGTAGCCTGATATGGTAGTGACTTTTGAAAACTAAACATTTTCCTTGTAAATATGAAAAAAATATTACATTACACAACCATCACTTCACTAACACTAAACATAAATTATTTCAGGGAGTAGGGTAAGCACTGTAATCCAGGAGTTGAGGCAGCCCACACAGAGTTATGGAAATTTAAATGGACACGGCTCACGGTCTGACTGCCGAGATAATACTGCGCATTTATCGTTCTGTTCTTCCCTTCCTATGGGCCTTTAGAGTTGCCAATTAATTTATTTGATAGAACTTACTTGCTACTATGACACAATTCTGTTGAAAACTTAAGTTTGGGCGAATTTTTTAATGTTTGGTGACTTGATTTGCGTTACTGAAGTTGGTATCTTGCTAATCATTCTTGTGCCTCAGTGTGGGATTTCAGCATATTTTCAATCAAGCCTTACCACATCATCAGGAAGACATATTTTTTATTCATATCTTAGCAAAACTCTCTGGTAATACAATATATCACAGCTCAAGTCATTATTCTATCATAAATTAACATGAATGATCAATGCTAATACTTTTGAATGCTCTTTATATCTATCTGTACATGAACTTAACATTGTTTTGACAGGACTGCCTCTGAGTCTCAAGTCCTTATGTCGACTGACTGTCCGCCAACTTCTAGGACGAAAGAAGTTAATGAAACTCTCTTCACTGGAACTTCCATCATGCTTAATTCCATTCTTAAACTTTGAGGAATTTTCTCGTTATTCATTAAGATCCAAAGAAAATAAACATGATAAAATTAATGACAATGAAAAATAAAAGTGTCTGAAATACTTGCCAGGGAGTGTTGTGACGGCAATGAATATCTCCTCATTTAAGATCAGACTTGACCAACACTGGCACAGGTTCACATACATATGGAGCCAGTGCATGCCCATTACTTGCCAACAATGCATAACAGAGATGTGACTGACTGCCCTAGCAAATGACAGGCTGATCAGTAACAAGGGTTCTGTGCCAAAGAAAATGAAAGTGTTATTAATCTCAGTTATGATTAATAAACCATTGAACAAGGGTTATTTGTAATCTAACATAAGTGCCTTATTTCAAGTCTTTATACCAAGCCTGTTTTGATGTGAAGGAGAGTGTTTACACCTGTACAGATGTGCTTCTTCTCATTCATATAATTTTTGATATTATATTATAAATTTTATTTGTTTATATAGTACATACTAATATAGTCTAGTCATTACTCTCATTAAGTTTGTTGTTGTATCTTGTAATACTGTTTATATAAATATATACTGTAGTACTGTATATTGAGTTTTAATGTATATCTTATGTGCATAATAACTTCAATATTGAACCTAAAACTAATTGCCCTAGTCTTAAAATAAATTAATATATCCTAAAACTTATTAAGCATGATAGTACTTTTATGATTAACATCTCTTTTCTATATTGCTTCCCTTGGATCAAACATCTTTGAATACTTCCTATACCCTAGGATGTGCCAGCCTTTTGTAGATGAAAATTTGGTCCATAACGTCAAAGCCTTCCAAAATCCCTTTTTGTCACCATGAATTTTGATTTTCAATATTCCTTTGGTAAATTTCATTCATGGCATCCACAGGTTCTTCATTTATACAGCAAAGTAATAGACATGTACAGTATACTATGAATAATACAAGAGGTTTATAAATTAAAAAAGCTTTAGTACATTGTACAGCATTTAGAAATGCATTAGAACATTTGGTACAGTAATGTACAATACTGTACATCATAAAATCATATGTGTAAAAGCTTGAGAAGACACTACGGATTCTACAGAACAAATAAATTACTGTTCATTTACATTTAATTATTAAATCAGATTAAATAATATATAGATTATTAAATAACATCTTTGGTGTAAAATGAAGCCTTAAGATAACAAATACATGAAATAAGCAAATTAATGCTAAAACCATTGGTACATTATAGGTTCATGCTTCCCAAACAACGGAATTCTCTTTTCAAGATTACCAGCAATATAAATTCACTCTTGACTGAAGACAATAATTACAAGTTATAAATTACAAGTAAAATCCAGGGAAAGGTCACTGCCACTGAGAGAACCTTACATGCTATTTAATATCTAACATAAATGACTAATATTAATATTGTATATAGCACTGAACTTTTCTGAATAGTACAAATATGATTCCTAAAATACTTGAAGAAAAAATTTACTCAAAATTTAAGGTGTTGTAACCTGGATTAAAAAAGTGCCAGTATGATTCCAATTTACATAATATTACACTATTGAAGTACTGTACTAAGATTCCAATTTATTGGATTAACTTGGGCCAAAACTTAGTTTTTACATCCAGATTTATGGTAAATTTGAGCATATACTGTATTAATCCACCTGTGGTAGTACAGCTAGGTATACAGGTATATTACAGCATAAGGTGTTATACTGCTAGCTTTGGTATCTTATTTTATGAGATGGGAATACATCTGTGTAATGGTAGAATTTATAAAATACTCAGATATTTAGGCAAGAGGGAATCATCTTGGCACTAATAGGTCTAAAACCCACACAGATAAAGAAGCTAAATTCCTAAGCAATGAAACCCATTTTTTATACTTTATGATAATGTAAGACCTATGAATAATATCATTCAAATGAACTCTTAACGAAAATTCACGTGAACTTCAAACTGCATACAAGAAAGAAATGTACTGTACTGTACCCTTAAAACACAACACTGAGACTCTTCCTGTTGGTTAAGTTAGTCTACGGATTTCAGGAGGATCGCTAAGCCAGATTTGTCCTATGTATTACTGTACTTTCGTCTGTTAATTAAACAAAAACAGTTCAACAGAATTCTGGTGATTCAGAGTCCAGTAATGTGAAATCTTACTATTAAACATCACTTTCTATAATTACATATTGCAATCTTATCCAGGAAACAACTGCTTTTTTTTTGATGTGAGATAGTTAAAAAAAAAATACAACTAATTTTTAAGGAACATTATGATGGACTAGAAGATGTAAGCATGGCAGTGTGCCCTCTGAAGGACTTTACTACTGTACAAAGTGATCTAGCTGTATTTTCAAGCTAAGTTTGCCCAGTGCCCCATGGTACTGTAAACTTTTCCATAATCTGCTCAATTACTAGCATGAAAATGGTAAAATAATGTGAGATTAATATGCCTAAAAGACTAATTTTTCCTACAATACCTGTAGTTGTGACGAACTTAGTGAAGGAAGAATAAGACTTAAATATATGAGATAAGGTAATGTAATATGTAATGATCATGAGAAAAGACCAGTACCTGTAGTAAATTAAGGTTGAATAACATTTTGGTGAGGAGAATTGAAGGGGAACAAGATATTGTAAGTGAAAATGACCAGATGAAATAAGCTACACACAGCAAGGACAAAACCCTGGAGTGAGTTAACCTACAGCTGTAACAAGGATTCCTCTAAGACTGCAGATGGCTGAAAGGGGTCTGAAAAAATATTATACTATATATTTTTTGGTTAAATCGGTGGGAATAATCGCAAATAACATGGGAAAGAAGAAAAATGTAAACATGGTGGTAATTTCTTTTTCCAGCTTATTGTAAATGTTACTCTACTATACATTTAAATACTGTATCCTTATTATACTAGATACCATTACTAATTTTTATAAAGCTGGCCCCTGTAATGAGAATAGGTAGGTCTATGTTTTCCAATATTGTTTATGGAAAGATGTCTAGCTTAACATTAGGAGTGGCTGCAAAACAGTTGACGGATATGAAGGAACAGAGCTTTACAAAGCTGTTGTATATAGTTGTTAGATTCATTTGTCTAGTCAACACACTTGAAGTTCACCATCATCTTCAATGATTTACAACTATTTTCCACAAAACATTGATGATGATGATAAAGACAAGAAAATTAAAAAGGCCATACAAACAAAGGTAGTGAAAAAAGTAACTTGAGAAATATTTAATAGGTGACTGCAAACTGTTTAAGTGTGGTTATAGCTCATAAGTATTGGGTAGATCAACATTCTTTAAGGATAACTGAATAAAATATAAAATACCAGGGGTAGGGATAAAAATAACTGCAAGTTAACATGTATGAAATAGGTGCTGGAAATGGTCCAATCTATCAAAGAAAAAAAAGGGATATGGAAAAGGAAGTTTGGCTTGTGAAAACCTCAAAAAGGAAATACTGTGACAGTGAACAGTAAAGTGAAGAGGAATTCTGGATATAGATGATAAAGAAAAGAAATTGATTCCAAAATTTTTAAGAAAACACTGAATATTAAAATGGAGAACTAACCCATGAATTCTCAATACAAAAAGTGAAACATGAGAGATGCAAGTTGAAAGAAAAGTTGCAGAGAGAGAATAATGAAATGTGTATTAAACTGAGAAAGTTTCTGGGGGTGTAAGGAATACATGTAACCACTGTGAGAGGTCATTTCGTATGGCTCACTTTTCAATTAGGAGTACAGTGAAACATTTCAAATCAACTTTGTCATATTACAGATAAATTTATATCACTAATTTCAGGAAAGCTTTCATCAAACTGGTAACAAAACTTTACTTTAACCTCACTGAACCCATCAGCAGAGACATACACAGATCAACATGCCCACATTGCTATCCTACCTGAGGCAAGAAGATATACAATGTTCCTGTCCCAGTTCAGAGTTTGAATCAAGCAGTACATCAAATGGCTTGGTAATGCAGTAAGCTAAGCTTGGGAAGACTGTGAATGAACTTGTAAATAAAAAATTACAAATGCTGGACACCAGTTGACTCTGACTTACCTCTTTTTTTTGACAAGAATGCTCTTTTTTATTCCTCCAAGTTATCTTTACAATATACTGTACAGCTGATATCTTAGGAGTACATAACTCCCTGTACATCACCCATAAATAGTTACAAATCAAATGCACTGATATATTTTTACATTGCCTGGAGAATGTGACATTAAGTGAATTCCACAGTGCTTATAAATTAAATAATTTAGCTCTGAACTATGGTAATAAAGTTTGTTACCGTACTGATAGACAATGTGAGACGAAGAGCCCCCTTCTCACCTTGAGAGTCACACCTTGGTTTGAGATTCATGAACAGGATCATTCACGTACAGAAGCATACAATCAAAACAGGGACAATATTCCAATACAAACACACTATAAACATAGGTTTCAAAATAAACTACAACTGGGAAATGCATATATTTCTCCTTTGGCAACTACTCAATGGTGTCTAAACTCTATCATAAAATATATGTTTATTTGGTCCTTTGTTTGCAGGATTAATGCTCAACATACCTAACTATGTAATAGTAGTAAAATGTTTATACAAACTATTGAATAATTAATACTGTACTGACATGTTTTTACAATCCTATAAGGAATGTTAGAAAACCAAGGTTTATTATAAAATAAGAAGGAACTTAGCACCATTAATGATAATACAATGGAGCATCAAGTTCATCTTAAGAACCATTTAAATTTTTTTTTTTGGAATAAGATGACTATAAAATATTAAACTACAATATCACCAACTTCTGCAAGTACTGTACAGTAAACTGGTTTGTCAATATTAGCTAAAACAAAATCATATCTTGAGAAACTTGGTGAACAATTCTTCCTCACGGAGAAATCATTCTTAGGGACTTCCTTGTCTACAGTCACTGGAAGGAAAATGAAGAATTAAATTGTCTTAATTCAAATATTACATTGGTTGCAGATAAAACAGTGAGTGTCTGATTAGTAGATTAATTTCTTAAAGCAGCCCAGAAAATGTTAATTAAACAATGGTAATTCCTGATGTCTGATTTGCTTATATTCATTTAGTCAGTTCCCATATTTCCACAAGGGTGGCAAATGCATACTATTGTCCAAACACTTATCACAATACAGTATGACATCACATGTTCACCAGCTGCAGAGCCAACACCTGGAGTTTGTGATGCTTGGCCAATAAAACCAAAAAGCTGCTCGAGTCTACATTGAATAAAATTTTGCTTTTTTAAAAAGATAAAAAAATCTGTACAGTAAACAAGAATGTCATACAGAATTTTTGGGTCAAGATATTGCATGTGCCAACCTCACCTCAATGAAAGCAAAAGATTAAACAATATGGAGAGAGAGAGTAAAAGATTAGTACCAAATTTAAAGTTTTTTTTTTCAGGAGAAACCAATCATGAGAAATGGGTTACCAAAGTATTAAAAACAAAGGGATAGGGCTATTAGGTAAATATCTATGAACATATTATAAAGCAACATTTAATTTCTAATATAACTCCTAAACATTATCCGGTAAAACCTCAATTCTCTAGGTTTATAAATTCTATCTTTGCCAATCACTTTGTTGTGTTGGTTCCTCAGAATGAAAATGGATTATACAACTTCCTCAAATCAGGAATAGTTTACATAAATTGGAAACATCTATTTGTTTTCAGCATGAGGAAATCCTCTTTAATATTTCTAAACCCCCATTTTTTCCATTATTTTGTTCCTAGGACCAATAACCTCAATAAATATAACTTTAAATATCCATTTTAACCGTACAGTATTACACTTTATAAACAAGAAGAATTAAGCCAATCTCTATTTTCCTTTACTTTATCTTATGATTTAGCAGTGAAGTACAGGACCTATCCAGATTTATTTCATGGTGTAAACTGATATTAGAATTTTAATCACTTTCAATATACCCTGTACAGTGGTCCCTCAATTAACGAACGGTCCAATTAACGAAATTTCGGTTAACGAAAGCCTTATGAGAAACACTCTTTGTTGTGCGCATCAGCTGATCTGCTAGTCCGCCAATACAGTAATTGGTTCTATGTTTACATTCGTTTCCAGTGGAGTAAATATCAAAAAAGTTGTGCTCTTGAATATTTTTGCATTTTTAATATTAAAATTATTGATCATCCTGAAATTTAGTTCACATATCGATAATATACAATGCAGAAATTATTATGAAACATGAAGAAGACATTAGAACCAATGCACTCTGTAAAGAATATGGCATGTCATCATCGACTGCCTCTACAATCAGCTGTTTGATATGTAAACAAAGCTGCCGGGAATACGACATACACACCTCAAATAAGTTAAAATACAGTATTCTATTGTTTTTTATTTATTATTGTACAGTATACTGTACAGTACAGTACAGTACTGTAATTAGTTTATATTTAATGTTTTGTTAATTCTATTACCATTATACAGTACTTTGTATGTACAGTATACTTTTTCTGTGAGTTGGAACCAATTACCCAATATCCCATTGAAATAATATATTAACAAAATTTTCGGTTAACAAACGACTCTGTGGAACCAATTGTGTTCATTAATCGAGGGACCACTGTATTATCTATAAGAGTAAAAGGCTATTGGGTTTCCTCATGTGTTATTTACCTATGGTATGAACCCATCTACTTTTCTTCAGGCCTCATCCATTGTTTCTTATTTCCCTCCTGACACAAGTTAACAGAAAAATGAGACAAAAACTTGTAGAGCAGAAACATACATTAGGTAATATCTTCCTTTATACTGTACTATTGTAAAATGAATTAATTCATCTGCTTTACTTTATAAGATGTTGAAATACATTGTTAATACTGTATGTATCCATATCTGAGGAATAACACAGAAGAAAATAATATCTACATTTAAAAGACCTAAAACTGCAAAGACTTTCAGCATTAACGAGTACAGCAATAATTTCTTTTTAATATTTAAAATGATTAGATATTCCTTCCATCTCATTTATGACCATTAAAACAACCAATTATCTAATCCATGAAAGTTAATTATAGTTTTATACACAGTACAGTATATGAAAATACTGCAACCTAAGACAATTTATCCTATCAAAGAACATCCAGAATTCTGAGGATCTGTTAAATATTTTTGAGGTTTTACTGAATATGTTTTAATTTATTTTCAAGCTTAAGTTCATGTATTAATTAAAAAACACTCATACAGTATTTCATAATAAAAACAAAAAAGTTTAGCAGGTTAATAATAATGTGAAAGTTATAAAAAGACAGAAAATAATGCAGTATTCCCATGCCAAGCTACTTACTGTGCTGTGCAACCCTGACTAAAGTGCGAATACTATACGATGGCATCCCTAGCACTCCGTCCCAGAGGCCAACCCTGGGTCAGAGTCTCCTGAGCCTCCAGACACAAGAGTTTCCCCCGAGCTCGTGCTCCCAGTAGAGTGACGCCAAGATGTCACTCTAGGGTTAGAGTGTTAGAATCAGAGTACTATGAATTCTTAGAGAGGAGAGTTTTTATTCCAGAGATATACAAGAGAAACTTGATTAACTGAAAACATGCCAATCCATGACTTATCCACAGGTTACTAGAGAACACTTACTAGCTATAATAACTTAGTCTGAGTTTATAAAAGCTTCAATGCACCTAAAATGGCAGAAAAAACTAAATGCTGAAAAACTGCCACCAAGAAAAAAAAAAATCTATACAGAGCATCCATAAATCATCTGACCCATCTTAAACCCTAAAAAATATCATAGGTAGACCATCATGGTTTTATTATACTTGATAAACAATTTATAAAATATTTACTTACTGTAGTAGGCTTCCACTTGTGCAGCCCATTCTATCTATAATATTTTTGAAGTTATTTAGTTTTAAAATGGGTCACATAATTCATTGACATTCTTTATTATTTCCTCTACTCAGAAAAATAAATATCCTTCATATTGGTCAGCACTTGACTCATAACTCCTGTGAGCACTTTCTTAATACTGTGAAGTCAAATGTTTTAAGATTCCCTGCATCTAATTAGCTGGTGCTCATACAAAATATTTATACAATCAATGCTGTCCAAAATTACATCATAATAATAATAATAATTGTATATCCTTCATAACTACAGTATGATCATGAATTTGAAATAAAAAATTACACTTTTTTATTTAAGCAGTAGTTTAATTTTCAAGTTCTACGAATAGAGTAAAAACTCTTAAAATAAATATACTGTGTACACTATACAGGATCACCCAAAAAAGAATGCCCTGATCTGAATACTGTACAAAACCATTCAAAATTTGGGCATTGTGTTTCGATAACCCATTTATATACATGTACCCGGTAGGTATATTTACAAACAGGCATAGGCAAATGGTGTAAGAGACAGAGAGAGACTGATCGATACAATATAAAAGAAAAAGCAGGTATAACCTCGAACAAGGAAGAATATTAGAGAGAAAAGTTTAAGAGCAGATTTACAAGACATGAAGAATTATGGCTTCGTGTATTAATGAAAGAATACTTAGGATCAAAAAATTACCCATGAATAGAATCACAAAGCCCAATGCTATAATCATGTTGGCATTAAAGTAGTCTTTATGAACTACTAGTTCAGCTTAATTTCATAAGAAATCAACAACAAAATATGAGATAATGAACAATAAAGTTTGGATACTGTACTTGTTTTTTGCCCTCGGCTTTAGTCTCATTTTGAAAGTATAAAGTAATAGAATGGGGGAAAGGTTATAGAAAGTAGCTATAGTTGTTCTAAAGGTAAACAAACAATGTAAACTATAACCCTGAGTACTGCACCATCAGATTTATGAAAGATATGTAATTATTTCATAAAAAACAAGACCTAAAGTGCCCAATTGATTATAAGGTATGGAAAAAATTATGAGAAAGTGGGTGTGGTGCATATGGGGTTGCTGCTCGGAAGGCCGACATTTGCCCAAATTAACAACGAAAACAGCTTTTAACTCTCTGACTACCCTTACATTTAAACTGAAATGTCTTGCTACATGCCTGATTAGTGTACTTGGAGGGGAAGCTGGGTATAAAATTAAATGTTTCAAAGAAACTGGAGTGGATGAACCTCCTGGTCAGCCATTACATAAAAGAATAAGAGGATATTCACCTGCATAATTACCATACACACTATACAAGGGCAAGTCTAACTATGTGGTAATACAGACATACTGTACATTCACTTAGAATCTTTATACGTAATGAAATTCTAAAGGAAAATATACATCTAGAAATGACAAGATGTGGTGGTGATCAAGCAATATATAAACAACTACAGTAATTGCCTATAAATTTGATTTAATTCTATTCTAATTGATGATATTCCTGTGAAATATTTAGAAAGCATATAACTGTAATTTTCTCATCTAGTGTAATGATAAAAAAAAACAAATTCATGTTATAATGCTGAACTACTGTTCAGCCAAAATAAAATTAGATTGAATAAAGAAGAAGAATGATCCAGGTGTTTAGCTACAAAATGATGGTCAGCACATTCACAAATTATGTACTGTACAAAACAAAGCCAAACAGAGTCATAGCAGAGCAGTAAATAAAATCACAACAGCTGCCGTGTTGTTCATGTCAAGTCTAAAACCCACTACCTACCCCTAGACTCTTGTAGAGACCGTGGCTCCACATTTCTAAGGAAACATGAGTCAAGATTTTTTTCCTCTTACTTTGTGGTACAGTATTTATATGAAGTGTGGTGACTATTATCCACGTTCAAGAAGTTAATAAAAAATTAATGTAAACTTGGGAGACATCAGTATTGTAATTCTTGTTATCTCATCAAAGGGTTCTGGGGTTGTTTTAGACCTGACTACAGACAGCTCTTAGTGGCTGAAATGGCAGATCTTGCAAGAACATTGGTTGTGCAATTCAAAACTTGATTTGGAATTTATATTGAGTACAGTAATACCCTGGTTAGCGCTGTTTCGTTATACTCGTAGTGCTCTTGCTTGCATCTTGGAACTCCAGGAAAAATAAATAAATAAAATAAAATAAATAAATACCGTAGTCACAGGTACAAACACTCATAACACGCAAAGAGCAGCTCTCTTTGTTTTTACGTACTTGGCCAATCAGCACCAAGTGCTTAAACTGTGGACACAATATTGTTGACTCACTGATTTTTTTTATATTAGTGACCATTTTCTACTCATCATGTCTGGAAAACGGCCTGCAAGTTTTAATGCTGCTAATGCGTCTAATGTGCCACGAAAAAGTATTGCCTTGGATGTAAATTTACAATTGTTGAGGTGGTTGGAAGCTAGTGAGCATCAGGTGCATGTCGGTGCTGCTTCCAACTTGTCTAACTTGTCTACATTAACTGTTAGAACCATTATTAAGAATGCACACAAGATAAAATCTTCAGCCATGACAACCACGAAGTTGTTATATTAAGTGTAGGTCTTATTGTATGACAAACTTGTGAGTGGTTAACTGAAGCACAGTGTGTGGTGGTGGGTTGGAGATCAGCTGCTGCGTAACGCTTGGCAACACCTGGTGCATGTTACCACTCCACCTCTCTAATAACCCCCACCTTCCTGCTTTCTCACTTCATATTTTAAAATGCTATGTAATATAATGTTGAACGGATATAACATTGCTCATTTATACCTACAATCAATTTTGTGAGTAGATATCAGCTATTCAATACAAGGGGTCCCAGACTTAAGAATGCCCGCTGATGCGAACAGGGTTAAACTTGAAATTTACAGTATTTTATTTACCTGATGATATATTTTTTACTTTCATTTACTGTATTTTGTCATTCTATTTCTTCTTTTCTTTTATATTAAGTGATTTTAGATGTATATAAGGACTTGGCCTATGATATAGTGGGATTTTAAGCATTGTTCTGTTACTCTGGTATGCACATAGCACGTGTTCCGACTTACCCGGTACATACAAATCCGACTTAAGAACGTCCTCAGGAATGGAACCCATTCGTAACCCGGGGACCCCGTGTCTGACCCACTTTCATCATCGCCACCTAAAACAGTTTTAGTTATGCAAATGTGGATTAGCGTCAACCAGATCAGAACCATACGATATGCACCACTTCTCGCCCGCCTACCTCCCTCCCACCCATGCACTGCATCTCACACTTGTTCATCAAATGACTCTTTCATGATACAATATTGTTTATTTGTTATTCATTTATTAGTAAATATATGTTACTGTAATCTATGTTTATTAATGCCCTGTACTATTCATATACAATACCCGTACTGTATATATCTCACAGGTAAAATATAATGTCATCATGATTACGTCTCCATATAAGCAATAGTATAATGACCCCTTAGAACGTTGTTTTGGATAGCGCTCCATTATCCAGGAACGTATTTTGAGAGCTAAACGGGGTATTACTGTATCTAGTATCTAAACTTCGTCAAACAATTTAGAGATGTAGCACTTCACTGTACTGATGTATTAAAACCTTTTATTCTCCGTAGTTACAAACTGTATCAAGTTACAGTTTCAATATAAAATACAGCAACCCTCTCTAGCTGTGAGCCAGCCATGTTTATTGTTGATTTGAATAAATAACAAAAGGCTGAAGTAATATAAACAAACACTAATATCAGAGGTACTAGAGTTGGCAGAGCATTGTAGCTGAAGTCAAGAGCCAGAGCACACTTCTGACAATTCTGACTCCAGCTTCAGTTCTACTCTGACTCCAGGCACTGCCAGCCTGAGTAAGTGCAGTATTCAGTTTTAAAGTGCACAGCTATCATTAAGAATTTTCCTTCAACAATCATACCTATCTGTTATTACTTGGAAGAAGAAAAAAAAAAGCATTGTGAGGACACTGTAAACAGAGTAAAATCAATTAAAAATATGGTGAAATAGGCACAAGTAAAAATGCCACGGTCCTGTAATTAAGGCGAGTATAAACCACTCATGATGACAGACAAAAGAAACCAACAAAACACACCATAAGTATAATCTATATCAGTGGTTCTCAACCTTGTTTGCCCCATGCACCCCTTTCACCATATGTCAGAATGTCATTCCCCCCTCCTTTCCAAGATTGTCTGCCTCAAAAAGTACATTCCAAATACTATGCATATAATACTGAAAATCCTTTATTTTTTCCATATTAGTATCAGTTTCCCCCCCCCCCCTGAAAACCTGAGGGGGGAAATTCCCCCCTGGTTGAGAACCCCTGATCTATATGAATATCATTGGCAGATTTGGTTTGGCTGGTTCATTTTGTCAATTATTTTAATTGGTATAGGCAGGGTAATGTGGGTGGTCTTGGGACAGGAATGAAGCAGACCCCAGGGAGGGATGGTAGGGGAGAGGCTCACTCACCCTAGGCCCTTGTTAGCTTAGATGTGAGCAGCTCTCTGCATTTTTCCCTCACTGAATACATAGCATTTTGTGACTAACCACTTTATCCTTTATGATATCAACTTTAAATTATATTGAAACACCTCAGCTATTGTGGGACATATCTTAAATTTGACATTACTTTGTTTACATGAACTTTCTAGTGAGTACAGGGGGCCACCCAAATTCGCGGGGGCTAGGTACTCAAGATGGCCGTGAATCGCCAAATCCACGAAAAATATCTTTACTTGTGTACAAAGAAATGTATACAAGTACTGTACTGTATTCCCCTTAAGTGTTTGCCCTTAGGACAATTATTTCTTTTACCTGTAATATTGTATGTGTGTGTAAACACACATACACACACAGACAATACACATACAAATAAATGATGGGAAAATCCCCTCACAAATAATCAGAACCAAATTTATTAAAAATGTGAGTCTACCCCCAAGTATGTGCTCTATTACAGTACTTTATTAATAGAGCACGGACTTGAGGGTAGACGGTCACATATTTAATAAATTTGTTTCTGATTATTTGAGAGGATTTTCCAATTATTATTTATTTGTATGTGTTTTGTGTGTGTGTGTGTGTGTCTACACACACATGCATATTTACAAGATACAAGTAAACGAAATTACTGTCTCACGAATGAATGGCTCCTTGTCCCAGCCGCAAAAATGCTGGCAACTTTAAAACTACCCTCGAACATTCTTGGATACATCCAGGGTGTCATCCGCGAATAACCAAGAACCGCGAAGTAAAAATCCGCAAAATTGGAGGCCCCCTGTACTGAAAATGTTTTCACTTTTTGTTTGCATGGTTAATAGTGAAGCTATTTATCTTATACTTTATCCAATGCTGAGTTTCCTGCACAGTAGTTTACATAAGATGTGTACTTTTTGATGCTTAATATCAGGTTTTGGGTCTCATGAAGGAATTTGATACTGAGAAGTTAAAAAGTAGTTCGTATGGCAAATGACTCGGGGTTTAAAGAGGAGACTAGATTCTTGGTTTAAAGAGATGAGAGCCTGATTCTTGGTTTAGGGAGATAAGGGCCTGTTCCTTAATTTAAGGAGAAATGGCAACTTAAAAATAGTAATAGATACATACCATTATTAATATCATACCCATTACTTGACAAAGAGAATTAGCCTGGGGTGATATTTACTTAAACAATAATGAAAGAAGTGCAGAAAAACATATACAGTACCACCACCACAACATAACAAACATGCAGAACCCAAAATGTGCACCTACCCCACAGGCACCCGTAACCTGGGTGTCGAGGATATTGTGCTGCATGCAACAAATTAGTAATGGAGGATTAGTCAAATATCATGCTGAAAACATAGTAAAAATTATCCACATCAACTGTAATCTTAACATAAAAAATAACTTTTAACATCTAATAACATATGTAAAAATTTGTGTTCTTAGTAATATATAATGAGATTAAAATTCATACTGTATAAAGTTCCTTTACCAAAATGGTGATATACTCTGAATTTATCACTAATTCCCTTGGTATAATCTACTGGCACCAGGTACCATCTCTTCAAAATGGTCAGCTGCAGTAAACATAAATTCTCTTGCTTATATCTTTTATGTGTCTAGAATGAAATTTCAAAACAGCAAATTTCACTACTTATACACATTTACTGACATTCATTTACTCCTGTGTCTAGAATAAATAATATTCCTTTCATCAAGAAGGAAACCAATGGATTCAATAATGGGAGATAAAGTACTGTGGGATGTTATATAATAAAATTTTATCCAGTTACAGCATTCCTTTTTATGGCCTAGCCCAGAACAAGGTAGCTTGTATTAACACACTCACCAAACTGCTGGTCTAAACCCAAAGCACTTGGACATTAAATTGCTGGGACTAATCTTTGTTCCTCCTCCTTCTAGTTAACTACTAGGGGACAACCCTTCCCTTCTTCTCTTCTTTAAGGGTGACAGTTGCAGTAGGGGAGGACAAACTTATTATACGATTAGTCTTGGCTGCTCATTTCAAATCTCCTAGGGTCTAGATCAATAGCTATGAGAACACATTACATACATGAGCTACCTAATGCAGGGCAGCTGGCCATAAGACAGGATGGTGATGTTTGCATTTTGAGGTCTAACTGTCTAAACATTAACCCCATTATAAGTAAGCCTCATGAAACAGAATAAGAGCATATCCTACTTAAGCACCAGTACTAGTGTCTACTACATCTTCAACAAATTCATATCTATATATTAAGCTGTTCTTACTTTCTAATTAATCTTCCCCAATCAGAATCCTATTTTCTTCCTTTCTTACATTCAACAGTTGTAAACTTAACATTAATGCTAAATGCACCTGACAAAGAAATCTAATTTATAGACTACAAACCATAAGTGGAATCAAGACTTTAAATTTAATTTTCAAAATATTCCCAAGACTTAAGATTTAACTTTCAAATTAATCCCAAGACTTTATACCTAACTTTCAAATTATTCCCAAGGTTTTAAATTTAACTTTCAAATTATTCCTAAGACTTTAATTTTAACATTCAAATTATTCCTTGTAATCATCAACTACTCTCTCCTCTGACCTCTTTAATCTAAGAATGAGATTTTCTTTTGGAACCTTCTTTGCCTTACCTTGAAGATCTTGTGGGGTGATTTACTGTTATCATAGGAGCAAGTCCCTCAGTGAAGCGATTATAATTTCGTTCCAACTCGCGATGGTATTCACGCATGTCTGGACCAATGAGAGTCTTGTTTCTCCGTAGCGCATCATGGCATCTATCAGAGCAAAATAAAAACTTCTGTGAGATGGTACTGAAAAGCGTAATACATTTCTAATCCTCTTTCCAACCAAAGAGCTATGAGGACCTTGCCGGGCCTCCTTCAAAACACCAGGTACAGTGACTATCTTGAAGCTCTCCTCTATCCTAACATTGCTATCAGTCATGCACATTTTTGTTCAATTTCTTTCCACTTTGCTTTATGAACTACTATGTGTAGCCCTCTCAATTACACACACATACAGAGACAAACTCACATTACCACTAGCCACATCCAGTGAAAAATCAATTTGGGAATATTTTCTTAATTAGCCATTTTACAATTGTTCTAATCCACCCCCAGTCACACACGTTGCTCTGACTGTTGATTCTACGTAAGTCACCCCAAGATGTGCACAGGGTATAATAACTTTGATCAGATGGATGGATGCACACAGGAAGACACAAAAAGGATAAATAATTAGAGGTGATGGGGGTACACCATAACAATTTCATTATACAATTTGAAACTTACTTTTTGGAGAAGTCCTTAAAGCACAGCCTGAGTTTGTTCTGTAAACGACTGGGAGATTTCCTACTCTCTAGAAGGTCTGACAAGAAGATATGAGCCACTTCCATTGGACCCTGATTCACTGTTGTGCCAATGCAGCCCTGAAATTTGAAGTACGTACAGTGTTCTATAGTAATAACTAGAATGATTTACCTTCATTACTTAAGGAAACTGAGGAAAATTACAGAAAAAATATTTACCAATTTATACATTACAGTATTCCCTCGGTTAATGAACACAATTCGTTCCAAAAGGTCGTTCGTTAACCAAAAATTTCGTTAACCGAAACCATTGTTTCAATGGGATTTTGGGTAATTGGTTCCAGCTCACCGAAAATTACATACAAACTAAAAATAAATGCAGTAAAGTACACTTACTTTGAGGTGTCCATGTAGAGGGCTCCTGGTTGATGATGATGGGAATTAGAATAGGGGTGGAGGAGAAGGTAGAAGAGAAGGCATTGGGGTGAAAAAGAAGTCACCCCATGCTGCCATTTCACCCATAAAATCTTAGTTCACTTGGTGTAATTCAAGATTATTTTCTTTAAATCAACACTGCACTGCATTATATATTGTCAATATGTAAAATAAACTTCAGAATGACCAATAATTGTACTGCAAAAACATAAAAATACTTTATGTTCAAGAGAGTCTCAAGCAAGAAGCTTCCTCCACTGAGCAGGGACACACACTGACGCCATTCTGGGTGAGTCAAGTGGCTGTTTGGCACGCTAAAAACTAGTTCCCTGTACTTCAATTACGTTAATTAATTGTTAAAATGACTAAAAACTTTAATATAAGATTTGGAAAATTATTGAATAGTACAACTTTCTTGATTTTACTCAAATGGTAATGAATTTAAGCCCTAAAACCTATTACTGTATTCGCAGACTAATACTACAGCTGGTGAGCAGGCAAAAGCAGGCGAAAACATGTTGGGAAAAATTCGTAAACCGAAATTTTTTCGTTAACCAAAGTGAAGAATCTTATGGAAGGTAATTCGTTAACCGAGGGATCACTGTAATAGCAAACTTTGTAGCCCGAGGTAAACAGTACAACAAGGATTTCTCTACAAAATATGATCCACATGATGCAGACTTTTGCTCATGATTACTTGCTTCAGTATCCTAAACTTACTCAAGCTACTCAATTCCACTGGTAAAGAGATGAAAAATCAGGCCATCCAACACCACTCATCACTTCCTCCAAATTATATACTAAACCGAATTTCCTTGTTTATCAAGTCAATTACATGTATGTTAATTTCTATTGACTGTGAATGTTTATTTATCTTTAAAAGTACACATATTTGGTCAAAACTCATCTTGGAATAATGTTTTGATGTGTGTGTGGCAGTATTGGTGGGGGAATAAGGTTGTGAAGTAGTTGGTGGTGTGGATAGTGACAGTATGTGTCGTTGGTAGTGAAGTTGTGGTGTTTTATGGGCCATGGTGTGGGTAGTGATGAAAGGGTGTTGTGGGTAGTGATATGGGTGATGATGTGGGTTGTGGGGGAGCAGCATAAAGTTGAGTGTGGTACTGTAGTATGGGAGGTGGTGTTGGTAGTACCGTAGTATGAAGCTGTGTTGTGGAAGGCTTGGATCATACATTTTCAGGGCACCACACCCAGCAGTGGCTCACAAGGCCTGCACAATATGTCTGCTTGACCACCATGCCACCACCAGCATTAACACATATAACAATCTCCAACATAATTACTATTTTCTGTTACGTAAAAATTACAATATATACTTAAAATATATAAACCTTTGTCCAAGACTACACGGCAACCAGTCTATTTCAAATAAAACTACTCTAAATAATTAGCTACAAAAACAAGAAACCATAGGGAAGTGAGCCTGAGGCATATTTTATAGTATGCTTGGGTTGTAGAGCACATGTGTGATGGTGTAGCAATGTAGACTTTGTACTTACCTGCACTACCATCTGTAGTATCTTGTGGTCAGGGGGATCCTGGTAGATAGCAGCAGCCAGTTCTCTTGTCCTCTTCTGGATGTCTTCAATGGCCACCTCTATTGGTGTCAAGACCCACTATTCAAGAAAAAACAAGGATGTGATACCCACACCAAGAGGAGAAACATCGACTTTTCAATACAGTACTATACAAATTTATATAACTATACAGTATAGTCTCCATTTACGTGGATTTGGTATACGCATTTGGTCATTTACGCGGCACCTTGCCAGACCGACAATTTTTATTTACACGGTTCATTCCATCATTTACGCGGGAAGTGGCCCGGGCAGGGTGCGCACAAGGTCACCTAGTCAACAAAACATTACTGAGTTCGCCACCCACCACAGCCGGACCAAGTCAGTGATAGTGAGGATATGGACTTTGAGGGGTTTGACAAAGAGGCCCTGCAAGCCTCTTGTGATACAATTGATACAAGTGATACAGGTGAGGGCCAATAATCTGCCCTCTGCCTCGGAACCAACCCCCCATTCCCGTGTGCCCAGCCATCTTTTCTACTAACGTAAGTGTTAAAAAACCTAATATTATTGATATTTCTCTTAAATATTAATTGTGTGTGCATACCATCATAAAATTAAGATGTTATTTTTACTACAACGTTCATATTGTGTCGGAAAAAGTGTAGTTTTGGGGTCGGCCCAGTCTCTATTTCAAGTAATCCCATATGTTCTGTTATTTCGTTTACGCGTTTCTCGTTTTACGCGGACCTCCACGGGTTCAATTGACCGAGTAAATGAAGACTGTACTGTACAGTAAAGCCTCGAATAACGACGTTAATGTGTCCTCCAATATTGCAGAGCAAGGTGAATCGTCTTATCGCGAATCATCAATTACCATTAAAATAAAGCAATAATAATGAGATGCGTTCCCAAGTGTGACCTTTCCATATCTTTTGTGTGGCATTTTACCCCCTTTCCCCCCAAAAACAATACAATTAATGAAAAGTGCAAACAATATTCTTTAAATAATGTTTCTGAATGCACCTTATACAATATAAATGAATAATAATATGGTCACACAAAAGGAGATGGGATGCCATTGTTTTCGTTTATGTTTACAGCCGGGAGTCCGGGACGATAGTTCTACACGAGAAAATTAAGAAAATAAGACCCTGGTTGTAGCTGTAGTAAATTTAATGTAAAAAAAAATAATTTATATGTTTTAAGTAATGTTATTTAATGTTAATAAATGGAGCAATCGAAGTAGCTAACTACTAATGGCAAAGAAAAAAAAAAGATTGATTGAGAACGCCAACATATACGAGCGCATTTAAGGATACAGCATCATTTATCTTAAGAATATGTACAAAAGATTCATTATTGTTTATTACTGAATATGTATTTGATTGAATTAATCTTTATATATGCAAAATGAACAATACAATTCATTAATACGTAGAATATTAAAACACATGAGGATAAGAGACGACATTGTTGTCAGTGTTTACACCCAATGTATACGTGCGCACTCAAGGAAACATAGTCATTTATCTTAAGAATATGTACAAAAGATTCATTATCGTATATATATATATATATATATATATATATATATATATATATATATATATATATATATATATATATATATATATATATATATATATATATATATATATATATATAATGAACAATGCAATTCATTAATAATACGTAGAATATTAAAACACACACGAGGAGACAAGACGGCATTGTTTTCGTGAATGATGATGGTTCTACATAAGAAACTGAAGAAAATAAAACCCTGGTTGTAGCTGTAGCGAACTTAATTTAAAAAATGTAATACCTGTATGTATGTTTTAAGTAATGCTATTTAATGTTAATAAATGGAACACTAGGAGTAGCTAACCACTAATGGTAATGAAATAAGGCGAGACGATTGGGAACGCCAACGTATGAACAGTAAGTGCGTACATGTGAAAACCTATTGTCCTTTCTCAACATATGAATATGAAAGCAACACTTATTTACTGTTCATATGTGTTTTGAATAATATATACGAATTTAAAACTAAAATTTTATTCACCAATGGCGGTAAAGTCTAAAACATAAGGACAGCCAATGAATATTGTGCAAGTTTTTACTCAGATGACAAAGTCATCAGGTTCAACTCTGTCTGAAGCTGTAGGTTCAACTCTGGCTGAAGCTGTAGGTTCAACTTTGGCTGAAGCTGTAGCTTTCCATAAAGCTGTTGCTGAAACTGTTACTGAACCTGAAGTTGATTTTGAAGCTGCTCATGATGCTGAATTTGATGGTTTAGGCCTTCGAATAATAAAGCTCTCAAAAGAACCTTGCACAGCTGCTTTTTTTTCTCATACATTTCTATGTAGAGGTCATTTGCATTTATTTAAATTTTAAGACTTTGTTCTGTTAATGGATCCACTTCAGAAAATATGTTCATTGCTTGCTCCATATAATATCATATCATTTTAACACATCTAGTTTCTCGGCTAAGCTTAGACACTTTCTATTAGCTTTTGAAACAACACTACCATCACTTGCTCTCTTGCTCATGTTGAATAGGGATGCAAAAATGCTGTAAGAAACCTGGGAAAGTTTTTCTCCAGTTCCTGTTCCCGATGCGTGAAAACAAAAGGCCCGCCAAGCTCAGTGTTGTTTACCACTCATTAGCAAGGCAGCTTCTTTGTGCAAGGTGCTCTTCATTTTTTTAGTCATTTTCTATTTATTTTTATAATACATAATGGGATTTAGTTATTATTTATATGAAAATGTAATTTTATTTTATTTGTATTATATTTTGGTCATAAATATGAATGAAATAAGGATGTAAACTGAATTGGGTCCTAAATTATCTAGGGTTTCAAATACAAAAAGTTGTTGGACTTATCGTTGTTATCCGAGGCTTTACTGTATATCAAAATGCATAGGAATAAAATACAGCACACTTACCGACATTCTGTCAACAACTTGAATTCGAGTCTTAACATATGGAAACATATGTTGTGTAGTTAGAATGGTCTTGCGTTTGTACTGTTCATGAAGTTCTCCATGAGCTCGGCCATCAGGAGTGAAGGGTGTAGAAAATATAAAACGTTCTGTGAATAGAAAATTTTAATTAATGTAAATACTAAACATTTACCTGATATTAAATCTCAGAGAAAAATAAAATAAAAGCATAATCTTACTATATGAAGTCACTTTAACCATCAAAATAGCATGAGAGGGGTAAAGTCTACATTCTAAATCAAATAAAATGATCGATTGGTTCAAAGTGGTTACACAGTATCACACAGTCACATCTTTATGAAAATTTTCTGTAGACTAACCTCAAGTTCTGAACCTATAAGTCATAATTAATGAATTGGTAAGTTCAGTCTAACTTTTACAATCCATCATTATACTTCACATGGCCAACTTGTCCCGCACAAGCTTTCCTGATGGCAAGTAATATCAAGACTAACTCGCAAAGAGATTAATGATTCTACCTTGTTTAATTTCTTTAATTACTTAGCTGATACTGTACTAGTATTTTGGTAGAGGCAAAATATCAGTATTACCTACAGTAAACTACATACTGTACTTGTTATTGAATAAGACTGTTACTGGACCTGAGGTAGTGGCCAGTTCAGTCCTAAAGCTTCATTTTTGAGGAACATCCTTTTAAATAGGCACAACTCAACATGCTCTATTATATGTCATGTGTGCAAATAAAAAGTCATTTACATATAATCAGGAAGCCCACTACTGGTATATCTACTGATGACCATATTTCATATTCATTAACATTTTTCAACCACTATCCATTGTCAAAAGGAAGTAAAGTATATAATGACATAAATACCTGTTACAAAATACTTACTGATATTATAGTTTTTCTCAAAGGATGTGACTCTGTCCCTAAATTCATATTCATCAAAGTGTGGTTCAACATATGTTATCTGGATGCAGGCTTTATCTGAGCACAACTTGGTTATGTCCACTGTATTACTGTCCTTGATGATGGCAGTATTCTCTGGGCCAAATCGATCAGAATAAAAGCTCTGGAAAGTTTTAAAGAAATTTTCAGTAATATCAATATAGAATATATTATCTAACTTCAATAATTCTTTAAGAAATATTAAAAATAATCTTCTCTTCAAAACCTCTGGATACTGTACTTATCTGTGCTCTTATTCATCCTCTACTTTAGTATTCTTTCAACGAGAAAAGTCCATTAAATAAAGATGAATCATTTATAATACTTAACACAATATGAACCTTACTCACAACAAATGGTAAAGAATAAAATGAGACATCATGCAGAAAAGACTAAAGAGTTTATTTAAAAAAAAAAAAAAAAAGGGCCAAATTTGTACCATATTTATCTACCTCTAATCGGTGTGAGATCTCCGGCAACTTAGTCAGCATCGGTTCCTTGTATATATATTCCTCTCCGTCTAAATCTCCAAACTTAGAGCCGTAGAATCCTACGCGGAAATATGTTCCAAAGATTCTTCTCCCTTCTAAAGCATCGATCTTTGTGAATGCATCTTGTAATTTGGAATATATATTGATTAGTTTCTTCCAGTCTCTGTTCTTCTCAGCAACAGGGGTAAGAATTTTATATACCTCATTAAGGCACTCGAACATTCCAGCCTAAAAAAAGAAAAGAAAAGAAAAGGTAACAGCGACAATAGTTTGTTGTTCTTAAAAAATATAAAATAATATAAAAAAAAGTGCAATAAAGACAAGCGTAAGATATGAATACTGTATCTCTGATGAGTAATAAAAGTAAGTTGTGGAGAAAAGTTCTTCCTGGACTACACTATTACATAAGGGAAAGAGTAGACCCTGTAAAACTAAAATGTTCGTAATGCATATACACCTGGTGCAGTGAGGAGCTGGCTTGCTCTAGAAGGCCAACAAGTCCATTTTCAGTGAAGTATTTCCCAGTGCAGATTCCTTCCTCATCTGGACTAAGGACATCATCCGACACTGTCAAAAAAATTTATTGTAAAAATTTGGAAAAATATAAGGGGTTGATCCTGAAATTCTGTTTTATGAACTCGCCAACTAGCACAACATAATAATCTTGTTATCATGATTCCTGCACAGAGGGAAGTAATACAGGCATTGCTATCTTTCCACTTAGGTCTAAGTACATCTCAATCATGGGCATATGAAAGGACAAGAGCCTTAGAAGGTTTTGAAGAAACGATGAATGATGAAATGTGGAGGTTTATGACTGAATAAAAAGTAGTCAGGGCCAGAATACTTTATATCTTATTATTAAATGTGGGAATGAATAAATGGTTTACTGTGAGTGTGAATGTCTCAAGAAGTAAGAAAAGGGAGGATGAAAGAGAGATTTTGAGAGATCCAAACTACTGTAATGAATGCTTCAATATGTGGGATACAGTAGTAAGTTGTTCTAAGGTTAAAGAGTTACTATTAAGTGAGGGCAATGAATACCTAGCAACTAGCAGAGCACGTGAATGACGATACGATAGCACGGTGTCCGGTAGTTTATGGGATGTCACACCAGTTAATGAATGGAAAATGGTAAGTTAAAGGAATGAGTGTTTTTGCTCTTAAATCCAGCCACCCTGCAGGATAGTAGAAAATGGCTGCCCCTTCCTCCAATAAAATAAAAAATTAAACGAAAATAAAAAAAAAATAAAAAAAATGAACATAAAAAACAGCATACAAAATAATCATACAGAGAATCCACAAACTATCAGACCTATTTCAAAACTTTAACTCAAAACCTCTAAAATAATACCTGTACCTACAGAAGACAGTGCATATGTAAAACTCCACCAAGACAAGAAGAAACAACCCAGGCGTATAATAAAATATACATGTTCTATCAATCAAGTTTTTGAAGCCAATAAGTTTTGAAATAGGTCAGATGATTCAGGAACACCTTGTAGAGGAAGATAATTTTTTTATAAATACATATCTTACCAGCACTTTCTTCCAGCACATTAGGTGAAAGTTTGCAAAAAGAGACAGCTCCAGTGGGTAAGTGAGGACAATCTTCCAGCATGTAGAGGTATTCTGACACCAAGGCAGCACTATGGATGAGACACATGGCAGCCTCAGCATGTTGAGCGCGTTCACTATGTTTCTGGGCCATGTTGGCAAGCCATGTTAGCCGAAGGTCTGGGGAGTTTTGGTATCCCCGGGCTAGTGTGGGGAAAGATTTAACCTTTTATTACTCTGAAACGTCATATAACAGACAGACAGACAGAGGGAAGTACAGGGAGACCTCCAAGTTCGTGGATTTATATTTCGCGGTCTTCTGTTATTTGCGGATGATACCCTGGATGTACCCAAGAATGTCTGTGGGTAGTTTTAAAGTTGCCGTCATTTTTGCGGCTGGGACAGGGAGCCATTCGTTCTAGAGACAGTAATTTCCTTTACCCGTATTGTAAATACGTGTGTGTGTGTGTCTACACACACACACATAATTATGTACAATACAATATACATATATACAATCAGAAACAAATTTATTAAAAATATGAGTCTACCCTCAAATCCATGCTTTACTAATAAAGCATGGACTTGAGGGTAGACTCACATTTTTAATAAATCTGTTTCTGATTATTTGTGACAGTATTTTCCCATTATTATTTATTTGTATGTGCTTTGTGTATGTGTGTGTGTGTATACACGCACACACACACACACATATATATACAATACAAGTAAAAGAAATAATTGTCCTAAGGACAAACACATAAAGGGAATATACATTTCCTTGCAGACAAGTAAAAAATGTAACCCCCACCAACCACCGGTCAGCAAAGGTTATTCGCGGATTTGGCGATTCGCGGCCATTTTGAGAAGCTAATTCCCGTGAATTTGGGGGGCCCCCTGTATCTCTTTCACCAACAAAATATGGTAGCTACTATTTACTGCCTATGTGCAAAACCCAGTTCTTGCCCACCTGACCTCAATGCCCCTTGACATGAGGTTTGATGACTACACTGAAATACTGTAGTTCACTTCCTGAGATACCAAGTCCTTAATATACGATCCCCTTCTTTTATACATGAAATAAAGTTTATCAGCACATTCATAATAACAAGTGGGTGTTATTATTAGCTAAGAGAGAAAGAGCAGGTATATGCAAGTGAGGTACATCTGTAGCTAAATACATATGTTTATAAGTTAAAATACCAGTTTTGCAAATACATCACATGCAAATTATGGAGAGGACTGATAAAGTCTTGCTAGATTGTAAAAGCTTAAAAAGTATTCAGTATTTCAACTAAACAAACAAATTTCTATGATTCTATTATAATCTATTACTTGTCACATCAATGCTGACCACAACTTCTGGATGTATAGTACAATATTGTTTTAATCTTACCAATTCTGTACATGAGATCAAGTAACATCTCTGGATCCTCTTGATATTCTTTCATCTTCACGGTGTCTGACAGAATCATGTGTAAATTGAAGACTAAATCTCGAACCTGTAAAACAAGCATTCTTTACAGACATATACTTCACTTAAGATGATTCCTGTATGAAAACTATATTAATAATAATGATAATACACTGTAATAATAATAATAATAATAATGTTATAATAAAAGATGAAGCTGAATAATTTCCCTCCACAATTTATATTAATAAACAATAATACCCTAATTATGACTCCAGTTAACATACCTGCTCTGGAAAAGATGTGTCTTGAAGGTCAGCATCTTCTTCAGCATAGGTAAGGATGGTCTTCAGAGATCGCCGTAAATAAGCTTCATTAAAGGTCTGGGATGTTCCAACTAAGGAACTAAGAGACATTGTCACTTGCATCTTCACTCTTGCAAAGTTCTGTTTAGATTAAAAGAAATTGGACATTATTACTTCACAGGTACAGTACTTGGAGACAAGCTGAACTTTTATCAATGAAAGATTGAACCAAAAATTATTTCATAAATGAAGTAGGATAGGGTAAGCCTGTACACCTGTATAATATGAAAGCATATGGGATGAAATTATGCATACAAGGGACCCAAACTTGTGAGCAGAATAAATATAAAATGTTTAAGTTAAATCACTGTGACTAATATTCCAAAGTGAAGAATTTGTATATAATGATTTGAACAGTTTTTTGGCTGTAACATTATAAAATGCAGCCATGTGATCCTACTTTACATAACAAATCTTTGATGGTAATATTGTCAATGAATTGTTTGTTTTGTAAAGCAAAATATAAAAAGGAGACTCACATTTCCAATTTCAAAGTTGTGTCTCATGAGGAGGTAGAGTGATGCTGCTGCATGGGATCGAATGGTACAGATGCAAGATGAACAATGTTTCAGCAGCTGAAGGCACAAATCTGCACACTGTTCTGTCTCTTCATCAAACAACAAGCCTGGGAACTGAAATACAAATATATTATCATATCACACTAATTTCTCAATGTTAATAACATGGTAATGTCAAAATCAATCAAGAATTCCTGGACTTGTGCAAAAACTTAATTTTCAAAATCTCTGAAAACCAAAATTTTTCTTTTATTGATAAATGATCAGGAATGGCAAGTAAGAAGTGTACAAGTCCGTTAGCATCTTGGTTTCAAACTTAATTTTATATTTTAAAATAATATTCATTCAAGCCTGTTGCTGCTTTAATGCACAGTTTAAAGATATATGTAGTGTAGTAGTACATAAAAATCTTACAAACTCAATGTATAACAAAACATCTGTAACAATCCACCTTAGCAACTAATGCTCGTTGAGTGTTGAACATGTTGGTTAATGTGGTGGTTGATTGGTGGGAGGCCAGACCATGAAGTAGTACTCGAAAAACTACAGGCAAAAGACCCTGTAGGTGGTCTGCTAACGTCACCACCTGTAAATATGAAAAATAAATATTAGTTCATTCTAACATTTTTATCAACAATGGCAATTCTTTAACAGTTATCATACTGTACTAAATAAAATGAGCTGCCAAACTGTATCAAACAAATAAGTCATAGATGAGTTACCAGAGAACTACAGTTAGGCTTAATAAAAAAACAAGATTCCTTAACTACGTGTGTATGAATCTCCTCTCTGCTGAATACAATCACCTGGGATTAGCCAAATAAAATATTAAAAGTGGCGTCCCTGTACTGAAGTGGTTAACAATTCTGTTATAAAGAGTGTCCTTGACCTGACTTGTGACTCCCTAAAATTAGTTTTATCCAACTCATGATTTATATAATCATCCTATCTCAGCCTCCTTGTTATTTGTAACGCATGGCCCAAGTGGCTTACATCATAGGTTGGTGTAAAAATGTTCTCCAAGTGACCAGTGAGCAAATGTAATAAGACTGCTGTACAACTTGGTCTACTGTGGCAGCAATGAGAGTTAAGCAATAGAATAAAAAAAATTTTTAATTCTAATTACTAAGCAGTAAACTCAATGTTCCTTACCTGGACTATATTTTCCAAAGTATCAAGAATAACCATATTAGCTTCAGCAGCCAAGTGACCCTCCACCTGAGACTCCTGCTCAAGTTCATGTTGCGGTGAACGATCAGTGTCCTGCTGGTGGTGACGCCAGGGGAAGGATTCTTTACGCCAGCGTAACTTTTCTCCAGTTCCAGATGGAGAGGGAGGATTACGGTCTAGTGACCAATAATAAATATAGTTGAAATACTGAAAATGTTACACACAATCTCTGGAACTCAAAAGTCTTAAAATAAATAAGAGGCAATACTCAAAATATATCTTTTTCTGTTTTTAATTAATTTGAAAACCAAAGAACTAAGAACCTATATAAATGAAGAATGAATACATATACTTATGAATTTCAACAAATGTATAAAGTAACTCGCAATTTCAACAGGTGCAGTACTAATAAGAACTGTACTTATAGAATTACACATATGGTTCAACTGGCAGAGAAACACAAGTTCAAAATCTGGAAGAATGCAAAATAGAGGATTGAACCAGAAATCCCCTTTTCTGGTGGAACCTCTAACCATAACCTGACAACTCCTCATAATACAAGCAGCTAATTGGGGCCATTCTATCTCCTTAAACAGCCCCCCCCTCCCCCAATCATTCAGGTTTGGGTGATATATCAGCCAGTGGGAACACCATCACCCCCACTTCCTCTTTACACCCACTGGCCTAAAATTTATGATATTAACAATTATATTCTGGCAACAGGTCTTATAGTAAGGGTGTCATAATATAGATGTGACCCATTAAGTGATACTGTACTGTGCTAAAGTACTGTATAAAGCTGTCCCTGGGATTGTCAATTTGAAAACGTCCACCCTTGATGGTGTGTGGCTATGAAATAAATCTATGACAGTTTACTAATTCATGATAAAAGATGGCAGAGCTATTGCTATGGCAAGAAATGTGCTTACTGATCAGGCTACCTACTGTAAGGTCTCCTGTCTCTTGAAGAGGACAACTGTTGTACCTGATCTCTCAAATTCTAAGTGGATGGGTGTGATGGAGAGGTGGGTTTATTATACCAACTTGGGCAGAATGACTGGAAGCTAAGGACACTAAATCCCCCATTTGGCAACAAGAATATGGGGAGCCACCAGACAGAGGGAATTAGCCAGATAATCAAAGTTCTTGAAAATCTACTTTGGTCATCTAAGGATGGAAAAAACTGAGTTTACACAATTTTACTGCTCTACACTGACTACTTTTCATATAAACCTACTAACACACCAATGTAGGACAGAAGTACATACATACAGGCAGATGGATGGAAGGAAGGTGCACATCAATATGCCCTCCTGTAAATGCAGTGAGGACATAAAAACAAGATTTATTTGTCTAAATGAGACTGTGATATTTTAAAGGTTCTGGCCACTCTATAACCATCATAAAAGGTCAAGAATGTTTAAATGCAACAGTACCACATTTTTACTAAAATATCATAAGCAAATTTCACACACACTCATTTTAAATAAAGGCTTTATCATGCTTACAAGGGATAAGACACAACCAAGCAGACACACAGACAAAACCAGAGACATCCAAATGACACTGAACACATCCTTGTCACAGTCTCATCTTATCATGAGACAAATGGCAAAATGTCTCGAATGTATTCAGAGATAAAACTTTCAAATGATATGAATATTAATACCTTCATAAACCAGATTATTGATCACAAGGACTTAAGTGTGAACAATGAGCCGCCAATTCAATTTTGAAATATCAACTGCTGCATAAACAAACTGTCCAGAAAATTTAAGGGACCACTCAGTATACATTTCTTTTGACAGTATATAAACCAAAAAAACAGAAAGAACTAAACAGAAATTAAATATGATGCCTCACTCCTTCAGGTAGTTCACCTCTAGGGAATGGCCAAGGCAAATGCACCTCTAGATTGCCCTTTCAATGCATCCTTCCTTTCTGATCTCTATTCCCTTTATCCAATATTTGTTCTGTTCTTTACTTTGTTTCACCTTCCCCAAGCATGGGTATGAGGTCTCCCTCTACCACTTAGTCATGTAAACAAACCTCAATGAAACAATATTTGCATGACTTAATCCAAGTTCCCATTAACCATCCCCAGTCCAGGGGAGAGTTGGCCTGGGACACATGCTTTTGGTGACAATGAGCTATGAACTGAATGCAAGATGGCTTGGAACAAAAATGGCAGAGCCACAGCATTGGTATAAAGTGTAATGACTAGGCAGACAAGTCTAATAAGACTTCCAAGCCTTGAGGAAACAACTACATTAAGTCTACCTTATATGAAGGAACAGTATGATTGGGGAGGATGGATGATTGACAGATCAAAATGGATGAACAAATCAACTCTGACTGACATTATAAAGGGTGGTGTGATGACACAGAACCTTTCCACTAAACAGTCCAATATTACACAAGATCCCGACTAGACTGTTTTAAGCTATCATTCCATTCACGCGTTAGCGCCAAAAATAGATCACATTGAAATGTACACGGTTGTTTCCATTGGCATGGTTGCATTAGAGTTATGTGTTTGCAGTACATGCCAATCGCTCACTATAGTGATTAAAAATGCAAACGCACTGCATATGCACTGCAACACATGAATGGAATCCTAGCTTTAGCCAGATAATTTTATTTTTTAAATCTCTTGATCATATTTCAGTAAAAGCCATAATTTCAGAGTGGAAAGTATTCTCATTCTTAGACCCTTTGACTATGGCAACTCTAAAAAGTTTGTTAGCATCATGGTAATCACTTAGGATTGATTTCAACCTTGTATATTTGGGAACATGTGACATAGAACTATGTCACTTTAAATTGGTCCAAAACCCATAATTCAGTTCATTTATCGTGTAATAATTGTGGGAATCAGCAAATACACTATAAAATAAAATGTAATGATGTCAAATATATTCTGTAATATTAAGTACAGTACCTTATATGAGCAGCATATATATACCTGTACATATGAATGAGTTAACCAGTCAAATTAATATCAGCTGAAGCTCTACATATATATATATATATATATATATATATATATATATATATATATATATATATATATATATATATATATATATATATATATATATATATATATATATATATATATATATATATATATATATATATATATATATATATATATATATATATATATATATATATATATATATATATATATATATATATATATATATATATATATATATATATATATATAAATACAGTATATTATTAATCCTTGCAAGCGATTACTGTAATATGTTAGGAATGAAAAGAAGAAACTAGTTAAGTGATCACATTGTAATACATAAAGCTTGTATCTCATGTGAGTTAGTGATTTCTTTCAATTAGATATTACAAATTATCTTGCACATGCTAACTCATACTACATAAGATGAGATACAATATGTAAGTTGATTAATTCTGGGAAGCAATTATTATGAAGAGCTTTTCATGAACTGTATCATCAAACAGGACGACGTAAGATACAGCTGAAAATATGTGAGAGATGTTCATAGATTTTTAGTTACATAAGAACCGAAGTCTGGAGGAACACAGCTGCACCTGAAAGTTCCTCTACAGTAAAGAAAATATGTACAGTATGCTAAACCTCCAATCTTCACAATGTCTAAGCTGGCATTTGTCTACTACATACTATACTTATTCCATGGCTTCTATAAATTGCTATGTAAGAAATATAACTAATGATCAAAATATACAAACTAAAGACTGGAATCCTATAAAGTTGTCATCATCAGCATTTCATGACCATTTTCCACGCTTGTGTGGGTTAGCAGTACAACTGGTAGTATTGTGAACTGCCGTGATTTACCTGTAGTTATTATGAGAAGCGAAGAGACAATGAAGTTACTACATCCAACTGGCGTCATTATGTACAAGTAGTTATCAATTGGAATCATTACTAGTACCTATGAGCAACTGGGCACCATTATGAGGGCTTGTCATTTACTGTGAAGCTCCTGGCATCAATTATGAACACCTGTGAGACACCTGGCATCAATTAGGAACACCTGGAGTTATTATGAACACCTGTGAGACACCTGGCATCATTATGAACACCTGTGAGACACCTGGTATCATTATGAACACCTGTGAGACACCTAGCATCATTATGAACACCTATGAGACACCTGGAGTCATTATGAACACCTGTGAGATACCTGGAGTCATTAAACGCAACTGGTAGCATCACCTAGGCTAGGATTATGACTAGTCCCGTGATATTATAATGAGTTCAGTAACACTACACCGTATCTGACTAACACTTGGTGAAAACTAGTAATTTAAATTCTAATTTCTAGTACAGTACAACCAAATGAATCTTAGTTCATTTGTTTGTATACAAAGGTAATTAAATTAATATAAAGCACACAATACTGTACTGCCCGGCAATTGTGACCATTAGCAATTTGGTGTTATTGCTTTGGATATACGCATAGTTCAGTAGAAATGGCAGATAATAATACCCTGTAGTAGTAATAATTATAAATAAACAATAATACTAATACCAACAATAGTAATGATAATAACTATATGTACTGTATTCCATTCAGTTGCACTGCCCCAGTTCTACATGGGTACACACAAGTCATCTTAGTGCCAGAGGTCAGGTCAAAATCCCACTACTGAACCTTGAACTCCTCGCACACATAACAAAACTACATCTCTATATCAAGAAGACTTGTAGTTTTATGACAGTCTAAGGCATTTGGTTATGAATGTTATTGTCCATTCATTTAATTCTTAATAACCTAACCTAACCTAATGTAACCTAAACTGAACTGACCTAGCTTAACCTTATCTTATCTAACCTAACCTAACCCAATATTAACCAACCTAGGACACCAAAAAATACACATACATGTACAAATATAACCTTAAAAGATGAGAGAGAGAGAGAGAGAGAGAGAGAGAGGTTAATTTGGGGTCCATCTGTTGGTTTAGATCACTGATACATTTCAGGAAGATGTTGACGAGTATGGGGAGTCCTATATGACTTTCCTTCAGTATTTAAAAGGAAGGAATGGTAAAGTAAACATTGGATTTTATAGTCTGGCCATCTTAAAGGTCTTACTGCACCTAAGAAGTCATTTGGAGGTCATTATGTGCATCTGTGAGTCATCTGGAGGTCATTATGTGCATCTGTGAGTCACTTTGGATCATTATGAGCATCTGTGAGTCATCTGGAGGTCATTATGTGCATCTGTGAGTCATCTGGAGGTCATTATGTGCATCTGTGAGTCATCTGGAGGTCATTATGTGCATCTGTGAGTCATCTGGAGGTCATTATGTGCATCTGTGAGTCATCTGGAGCTCATTATGTGCATCTGTGAGCCACTTTGGATCATTATGAGCATCTGTGAGTCATCTGGAGCTCATTATGTGCATCTGTGAGTCATCTGGGGGTCATATGTGCATCTGTGAGTCACTTGGGATCATTATGAGCATATGTGAGTCACTTGGGATCATTATGAGCATATGTGAGTCACTTGGGATCATTATGAGCATCTGTGAGTCATCTGGAGGTCATTATGTGCCTGAGTCATCTGGAGTTATTATTGTCTAATGATGTACTTGACATCATTATGAGCACCTGTGAGTCACCTGGGGTTAATATGAGTACTGTACCTGTAATTCACCTGGTATTGTCAAGAGTGCATAAATGACACACCTGGTAAAATTATGAGCACTTGTGAAAGACAATAGCATTCTAGCACAAACTTTTGAAACACCAATGGTTGTTATCACAAACATTAGTTAGCCTAAGATTATTATGAGCACCTGTGTGTCACTTGCGTCATTATGAGCACTTGTAAAAAATCCCAGCATCAGTTTGAGCACTTGGGAGACATCTGATGTCATAACGAGTACCTGTGGGACTACTGGGGTCATTAAGTGTGTCTGCTACTGCCATTGTGAGTATTGTGATACATTAAGGTGTCATCATATAGTGTGAGTGGCACCTGTGGGGCTCTGGTTGCCATTAGGCAGATTTATGAGGTATCTGAGGTCATTAATAGCAGTGATGATACAGTGGGAGTCATTATGTGCAGTGAATGAAAGGCAACAAGTGATCTAAGTATCGATGATGTTTTCAAGGGCAGACACCTGTCACCTCTGTCACATTATGAACACCAGTGAGAGACATCGCATTATTATTAGTAATGGTGCACCTTACATCACCATCACGACTATGGTAGCCTGTTAGAGGCCGAGGGATGGAAGGGTCGGGGGGTTGGGGGTGGTGGTGTACGACTATGAGTGGCAAGATGGGTAATTGTGTTGAAGAGGCTCATAAATACAATTTTGAAATGCAATTAACAAAGACATTTTTTATAACTACAGTCTGGTAATACTGATCTTTGACTTTATGGCTCCCAAAATCTATATACTTTTCCTCAATCTTAAATGTTTCTGGTTATGAAGTTTTATGGAAATGCCCAAAGCAGAACTAGCTATTGTTCTGACAAGGCTGTGTCTATGAAAGCATCAAGACAATATCTTTCTGAGTACTCTTTCAGTTTGGGACAAAAAAGAGGAGTAAATCTGTCACACACACTGTACCCAAGAAAGTGGATGGCATAGTTAACAAAGACAATTTGATTTGATACAAAAACTGACAACTTATTAGGGTAATAGCACAGTAGCATGAGTCCAAAATAAGGAAAAGAAAGTCTGAATCAAATGTGAGAGATTAGCAGAATGAGTGAAAAGATTTTGGAAAGGAGCAAAAAAATGTATACTGTACAGCATATATGAGTTTACAGAAAGAACATTAATGACTTGCTGAAAGACAATGCAAGAGCTCCTAAAAATGATTGGAATACATGAGAAATTACTACAGATACCATTCACTTTTTATAGGGAGAGAAGCAAGTATTGGAATTATGTGGGAGAATAGGACTATGGTCAAGGAATAATGATGTTAGCAAAGTTATTCAATATTTTCATGTATTTGCAAGGGTCCCCGGGTTATGAACGGGTTCCGTTCCTGAGGACGTTCTTAAGTCGGAACACATGCTATGTGCATACCGTACTTACAGAACAACATTTAAAATCCCACTATATAATGGCATAAGTCCTTATATACATCTAAAGTCACTTAATTTAAGACAAAAGAAGAAACAGAATGACAAAATACAGTAAGTGAAAGTAAAAAATAAGTCAGCAGGTAAATAAAATACTGTAAATTTCAAGTTCAACCCCGTTCATTTCAGTGGCCGTTCGTAAGTCAGGGACCTCCTGTATGTGGTAGCAGAGTTATGGTGAGGGAAGCAAGATCAGCAAAAAGGGGTTATAAGATGCAAACGGGGGAAGCAGATCAGCTACTGTTTGTAAATAAAACTGCTCTGACGGCCATGAAAAGTAAAACTTACTAATGCTATGAAATGAATCTGGATACATGTGTACTACAAAGAAATTAAAAGTGAATGTGAAAAAGATGAATAAAAGTGAATGTGAAAAAAGAAATTCAAAGATGAAAATAAATGGTTAAAGAGAGATAGGGTTTATCAATATGGGTAAAGAAAGACAGGGATAGATCAATGTTATTTTCAGCAGAGGAAGTGAAAACGTGTTTCAGGTACAGTATCTAGGAATGATGGTCATGTCAATAAATGGAACAACAAATGATGAACTAAATCACAAGAATGCAGTGAAAGGAAAGTGAGAGTAACAAGTGCATTGAGAAATGTAAGGAGAGAAAGAACTGTATCAAAGGAGGTATACAGTAGATAAAGATATGGTGGGGAACCAATGACCTGAAGTTAGAAATAAGTGAGAACCAAGGACAAATGGGATGAGTAACATGCAGAAAAAATGAATAACAGAAAAGATGTGTTGGAGAGAGATAAACAGGACGCTGAGGTGTTAAGACACATCAAGAGATTAGGACCTGAAAGATCCTTATATACAGTACAGTATGTATATTTATATTATTCAGAGGTGGATGGTAGGAAGGAGAAGACCAAGAAGGAGATTGAGTGAAGGGACAAAGGATACACTATAGTAAGGGATGAACAGTATGTGTATGTGTGTGTGTGTGTGTGTGTGTGTGTGTGTGTAACCAAATGTGTGAAATATTGAGATGAGCAGAAGATACTGACATAATGCAAGTGTGTCCCAGACATCTACACAATTACTCACAAAAACATGTAAAAAGCAAAACTAAAAGAATTTGCCAAATTGAAGTTGGCCACAGCGATAGAAACAGCAATAAATATGGGAGCCAAATCACCGAATAATGAAGCAAAATATGACCAGAGGGAGAGCTAATATGAAAACTGTGAAGCACCCTAATGTGCCATAGCCAAGTCTAATGAGCCAAAACTAGGTAGAGTAAATAAATAAGAGATGATGATTATTAAGCTCATCTAAAATCTTAAGTGTGATACAGTACAGTACGTCTATTTGTACAGTACATACCAAGTTTTGATAAATCTATAGCTGTTTTTATATATATTGTGTTTAAAACTCCAAAACAGACAGACAAACACATGTATTTAAGGACAGCATGCATTGCTATGTTCGCTTCTCAGGATTGTAGAGGGAAATAAGGCTTAACCAACACAATTTCAGATGAAGCTCACATTGAAGTCTAGGATTATGGATCAGAACAATAAGGATACAGATAAAGAATGTCTAGATGTATAAATGTGATCACAGGAGCATCATATATAAGATTTGATAAACATGATATTTTAAATTCTGAACAATATAGAGGGAGACTGCTAAAAGTAACTTAATTGTCAATGTAAGAGATTGTGCAAGAACTGAAATGTTAAAGAAAATAAGAATCTCTTGCATTCTACAGATTTAAATTGCTACCCATTATCCATCTGTATATTATTGTCTTACCAAGCTAAGTTTAAAAAAAAGGATGACATTAACTGAGGACAACTTCACAAAAACTCTGAATAGATACAGAGTTCCTCAATATCATAATAAAAGTTCAGTACATACATCACCATGCAAACAATGAATTCTAAGAAGTGAGTGTTAGGATATGAATATACTATTATGTACACTTACAGCAACTTGAATCATGAAGTAAATTTAATTATTGAAAAATAAATACCCTAATGAGATAATCATGTCCTAACATCATGTAAACACTAAGAGAATCCCCTTCTATCTTCCTCCAGACCTCAAGCCGACAGAGAGGGTTGTGAGAGGGAGTGGGTTAGCGGTGCGAGCCACGGAGTATGTACTAACTCCGGTACAGTGCACAGGCAGCAGACAGAGCCACATTATTGCTGGGTTGAGGGAGTTGGGTGGTTGACTGAATGAGTGCCTCACTTAATGTTCGTAAGTGACACAAACCTGCCCCTTGGATGTAGAATTGAGATAATCCAACAACATGAGGGGTGTTGGGGGGAGCGTTACCTCGACGACGAAGCATCATTTCTGAACGTGCTGAATTCTGACCCATGATGGCCTCCTCCAGACGACTCTTCATGGCTTCTTTGCTCCTCGTGGTGACGGGTCCACCTCGGTGTGAAATCTTTTTCCCCTATAATTCAATTAAAAATGTCAAACTGATAAGGTCTTGGATATATAAACTACAATAATGAATAGCATACCAAGGTATATAAAACCTAATAAGGAAAATATAATAGCAATTGGCAGAAAGAAATTCAAGCTTCAAGTCAAAAGAGCTGGTGAAAGGTAAACAACCCTCTCTTTAAGTGTCCAAGCATTCATTCTGAGCTTTTTCAAATTACTTACCAGTGTATTTTCTGAATTAATTATTTACTGGATCTATTTACATACAGTAAAAGTCCAAAAATCTGGATACCAGAAATCCGGACCACCCGAGAATCTGTTCTTTTCGGAAATTCAATTATTATTTTTTTTTAAAGCGGGCTTTTGTGTACATGTGCACATGCGTGAGTGCCACAGCTGCACAGCGACAACAAGCGACCACGCGGTCGCCACTTTAAAATGAGCAATCAAACTGACAACGTATGTAAATTTGAGTCCTACTCTTTTCATTTACAGAGTACTGTACTGTACTAGCCCATAATAATGGCTCCTAAAGTAGATAAACTTCGTTGTGTGAAGAGAAAGAAGAACACGTTGAAATTGAGTGACAAACTTGAAATAATTAAGAAACTAGAACATGGTGTGAGCAATACTGTTCTAATGGAAACATACGACATTGGAAAGTCTACAATTTATGATATAAAAGAGGCAAAGAATAAAATTCTAGAATTCACAGCTTTTTCCTTAAAACTGCTCATTTTGATAAATGAAGCATGCTATATTTGCTAATGAATAAACTATCAAATTGTACCTGTTCATCTCTTCTTTATTCCTCCTTAAATTTGAATTTTAAAAGTACTGCCTGAGAATCCGGAAAATCCGAACCAACCCAATCCCCAAGCAGTCCGGGTTTTGGGACTTCTACTGTATTAAGTAAAGTACAGTATAACTATTTCTTTGAGATTTATGTGAATTTTAGGTTGATACAATGGGAACTAGAACATAACTCCTTGGTACTGCAACTCTTCATAAGACTAAGGAGAGACAAGGGTAAGTTTAGGTAATTTCCTCTATTACTATTATTATTATTACAATATAAAAGGGAGGCTAAAACATGCAGCTCATTTGACTGCAAAAGCTACCAATGCTAGACTTTTTACAGTGTGTGTGTGTTAGGATTGTACCATTAATGGGAAACCAAAGCGCAAAATTTACAAATCTGGAGCGAGGTATGATCCAAACTTGAGATAAAGAACAACTCTCTAATACTGTATCTGTAATGTGTATGCAACAAATTATAAAATATTACCATTTTCTACAATAATTTGAATCACCTTTATTTTCCTACAGAGGAGGTATACTGGCTCTCTCCTTTACACTTCTATAAAAATACATACAGGGTGAACACACAACTGTCTTACCAAAATCACAGGAAGAACACATGACTAAATTGACCCCAGTAACTTGAACCATCAACACTGCCTCAGATGAAAGATATATTTTCACAACAGACAAATTCAAAGTAAACCATCTCTGTAAAAGCATTATGTCTATTTTACACACCAAAAAATTCCACCGCCTAACAGGTATGGAAATACTGTATCAAAACCATATGAATATGATTCAAGTTCACTGAAAAACATATTTCTTCGGACATCTCAGAGAAGCTTTCAAAAGGATGGTATTTAATGATGTTGGAATGGAGTGAAAAGGGGCTAAGGCTATACAGTACATTTTTTTAACACTGTACAGAAAACACTTTGAACACATTATGCTTACCATTATAGTTATCTACTTTTTAATAGTAAATACAGTACAGCAATAACCATAACTTCATTCTCATGTCACCTTTCAATAGCAACTCCACTATTGATAATACATCCTATGAATGCCTTCCTTAACACATCAGTATAATCCTAAGCTACCTGAACTAAAGTGTTGTGATCCTGTGTTTGGGATATTGGAGGTAATGGAGGCCGTCCATCATTCAGGCTGAGAGAGATGGTGTCTTCAGAGGCAGTGCGGCTCACAGCTTGGTGATGGTTGTGGTGGTTGTGGTCCGTGGCTGAGATGAGTTGAGGGAACATGGCCGTACTGACAACTTTCCCAACGCCCTCACCTATAACACAGTACCCACAGCCCTGGGTGGTGGTTAAAATATATACATTGTAACTTTCTCTCTCTCACACACACACACAAACCAATTCAAACACTTCTAGAATTCTTATTATTTTCTAAAAATTAAATTAAACAATATTTCTTAATTTAAGAAAATTAACCATGGCACTGGATATAACATTGAAATGTATACAGTATACTACTGTATATTGATATAGTGTACGGTATATACATAAACATATGTATGTATGAGCAAGTCATTGTGCATTTCAGTTACATTCATAAACATTCATTACAAAGAATTTAAATGACATACGTACAACATATTTATATGCCCAGCTAGCTAGCCAAGGAGTACCACATTACTATGGCCTTGGTAGTACTTCATTTTTTTTAATTATAGATTAAATCATAGGTTAGGTGATGAGTGCCAAGTCAAAAATTATTACATGTTAATCATATTTTAATAAGGTTATTTTCATGGATCTCTCAGAAGACTTTGCTCTGTAAAATACCTTCAACTTAAAAGTGCTTAGTATCCAACAGAAATCCAGGAAACACTTAGTTATTAAATGTATGTTCTTTCCTTAAGAGGGCAGAACAATAAGATTGTGGACTCTGGCTTTGTACACATTTATTTTACCAGGTAACTAAACCCTACTACCACAGCTATATAACTGCAGATTCACTTTTACTCTTTTTAAAAATACAGGGTTGGCCGATTAAACCATCACACACACTGCTGCTTCCTGATTATTCATCTCCCTCTAATCCAGTACCTCCCTCATATTATCCATCCATCACTGGGTCTTACTGATCACAAGATACCTGATGATGAATACATGCCAGAGGGTGTGCAGGTGTGTAAAACTTATGATAATCCAAATGCTGCCTTACATTTGGCAATGTTCAAATTGCCAAATACTACCCTAGCTATTTTCCTATACCTCTCTGGATTACTGTAATATATATACCTGTATATAAACTTATCTTTTGTCATAAACTAATTTTCTCTTACACCATCAGAAGGGAATGACTTTATGTCCATGAATAAACATACGGTATTTAAAAAAAATACATTAAGGAACACTTGAAGCATGGCAACTGTTTGATCTTCAACACTGGCATGTAAGGATAAGTATCACTGAGCAAAGTGCCTGAAGGAGATCCTGTTTTAAGCTTCATGCTTTAGAAAAAAAGGAAATGGAGTAAACAATGAAAAAATAACAGATAAAATACAGTACATGATCACATAATTAAACATGCTATTATTTTTAGCGTATGATAACTACATTGAAAAAATATCTTAATATAAATCCAATATGATATACAGGTAACGAAGAACATTTTAATAAGGAAAATAAAACATACACAGAACAACTAGAGAGTGAATAATCTTCAGCATGTTTACTATTATGTGGAGACAATATTAATTTAAGCTTTAAATTTCTTGAAACAGAATTGTCAGGCATTACAAAAAAGACATTAGGGTAACCTAACTACTATTTAGACAATCAGGTAACAAGCCCTTCCAGGAATCTGACATAAGAAACAGCTACCAATGGAAAATTACAATCAGTTTTAAAAGGCTATTAATTGTCAAAAATAAACATGCACCATATCAATCATACTGCTAGCAACACTTTAACCACCACCATAACCACCACTACCACCACCACTATTAGAGGAATGCTAGCTACCATCACCATAACTCAATCTAAACCTAACTCATATTTCAGAAGTAAAACAAAAGTTCTTAGCAATCGTGTCATCCAAGGTTACATGTAAGTTTGGAAAGATTTCAGTGTTAAATAATTATGATAACATTCCACATAAACAAGTCTGGTTACAATAATGTTAACAGTAACACATTTTCTTGATGGTGAAACTATTGTCCTTCCATGATTGATGATGCAAACTTTGTGGTGCATCTGTCACAAGACTTGCAAGAATTTAAGTTGTTTTCACTGACATGCATTTTAGTATAAAAAATTGCAACTTGCTGAAAGAAAAACGTTCACAAAATGTAATAAAAAATTTGACTACACAAAATTCAAGTTTGTTAAAATGAACAACCAAAGAATAGAAACAATAAGAACAATTAAATTCATTTGCACATCAGCTTCTATGCTCGTACACCATACCATTCCACCATCCCTGAGACTTGACACTGCATGAGAGCTTCAAGATTCTGACTATCAAAAAGAAACAAAGAGTTCAGAATATTACTGGGCTTATTGAACACTGCTGGAATTATTATAAAATTTGACCACCCAGTAATGAAGCAGGAAAAGACTTGCAAGAAAAATATTCACTGTACGAGGAATTCATGTTTCAGGTTGAGTGAACCTAATGATTAATAGTGTTAAGTGAATAGATAGGACTTGAATGTCTTTGTTTCCTCAAATCCATCCCCTTAATTTCTCTGTGTTCCTTTGAGAATTGAGCTCTTGCAATATGTCATGTCTCAGAGAGAATGGATTGACATAATACTGTATACTGTATATGGCTGTTGGCAACATACACATCTTTTCCTAATGAAAACTTAAGCACTCATAATCTCTCTGACACATGAAAGACATGGGTCACAACTGGATTTACGGTACCTGGATGGATATATATATATATATATATATATATATATATATATATATATATATATATATATATATATATATATATATATATATATATATATATATATATATATATATATATATATATATATATATATATATATATATATATATATATATATATATATATATATATATATATATATATACACACACACACACACACACACACACACTAAGAATGAAAACTTGAAGCATTACACAAATTATGAAAATACAGTACTCGTATAATGCTAAATAGTTCTAATATACCTTAATGAAATAAATACTAAAATATTTCATCAACATTATCTATAAAAACTCACATACTGTACTATACTATTAGTTATAGGATGATATAAACCTAAAGAGGAACTGAAAACTGTTATGTCACAAACCTGGTTATCTTCCATATGACTTTAACATGTAAATTAGAACATAACCTCTGAAACATTTTTCCCCTCTTACCTTATATTCAAAGCAAGACACAGCAATGTACAGCACATCTAGAAGTTGGTGGAGACGAGTGTAAGGTAGTTCAGAGAGTGTGTGCCGAAGGGTTATCTCGTCTGCATTTCGGAGAATCCACAGGAGGCAGATGAGTAAGTTTCTTGTCGTCTCCGAACTCAAGGGACATTTGCGAGGTTGCTGCTGTAAACCCAAAGTGAGGACTTAATGACAAGGACAACACCTAATAAATTCCTAGTACTGTACAGTAATTAACACATCCATAGAAATTTTTGTATTTTGTTTAAATATAAGTTAGTTCTGTATATGAACAAAATGTCAAGAAATTAATGGTATGAAATAATTAAGAAAACAAATATGTATTCCACAGTTTCCACATACTGTACTGTAGCATAAGTGATAACATGTAATGTTCCTGAAAGGATGAATCTACTATAAAAATGTAAACAAGACACAGTGAAGAAAGGAGATGGACACTTACATTTTCCATCTCCTCTTCTGTCGTCTGCATGCAAGTGCAGTGCAATAAAATATTAATGGTGCATAATTCTTTGTCAGTAATTACATATAAATGAAGCTGGTTGCATGTGAAGAAGAGGCACTCATATGGTTCCTAGTTCTGTTTTATTTCCATTCACCCATCTGTTCATTACATCATACAGTATAAGAGGTAATAAATGCTTACTGGTAATGTTCAAAAAAATTAATTCAATTGTGTTACCTTTTTCTCAAATTTCAGGCATGTCTAGTAAATAAAGATTTTAGGTTAGGCATATATGATATAATCCACTTTCATATAATATATGATACAGCGGATTATATGAATGCATTAAATCATTAGGCATAAGTCAGACTACACCAAGCCAGTTGCCTTTTGATTAGCTTGCTATAAGAAGTCGAGTAAACCTACCATGTACTGTACATCTTCACAACAGTAAATCTTGACTATCTTTATCACTTCAAAAAATTCAATCAATGCAAAATAATGAAACCTGTGTGTGTAAAGTTGCAATAACTTCTTATACCCGTATTTATTGATTACCCAATAAATTTAAAAGAAAAGCATTAAATCTGTCAGCGTGGGAAAATGGACTAGGTGACCTGACAACAATGACAACTGTGTGCACTGCCCACAACCCAGGCAAGTTTCCCATGCATTTCTTTGCATTCTGTATCTTTTTATTAGTTTATATTTATTTATACTGCTCAATACTATATATCTAAAGTTCTTCCTGTGTTGCACTGTTAAATGTGAGCACCTTTAAAAATAAAATAGAGCACCTTAACAAGTTATCTGCTTACTGTAATTACTTACCTTGATGAAAGTAGGAATTTCATTCCTAATTCACACCTATCACTTACATATATTCCATGACTTAGGCTACATCCAGAGACAAAATTTGTCCTTATTAATGATTAATTTTCAATATACCTCCAGAACACTTTGTTAATTCACTACTAGGATTTATTAAGCTATGATGCACCTGAATGACAGCATTCTTATTCCCATCAACACCCTGTAGATCCAGGTTCCCTGTTGGTAAAGTATGCCAAATATCCTAGTACAAGTACTGCACTCCTAGACAACTGGCTATATGGCCACAATATAGAGGGAACTCCTGATTATCTAACTCTTCCAAGAAATAGTTTGGTTATATCCAAATACCAAGTTTTATTAAAGAACATTTCAATCTGTTCAATTAACAGGGTAAACTAGTATATATGCATCCTTCCAGGACCCCTGCTGTCATGCCACAAGCGGCAATTATACCCTTTCCACTCTAACCAGGCCCATAAACCCCGCCCCTCGTCTATAGCTACAAATAGCTGATTGGTTTCCCTGAGCATCTTACACCCCCCAGGACTGTCGTGTACAAGCCCGTATTTATATCAACCTTTTATGATAAATATTAAAAAATATCTAACATCCTCTCTGAAGTGCTAATGCCTTGAAATCATTTGCATTTTGATAGTTCAGATAATTATTTCACATTATTTTATATAATAACAGATCTGCTTACCAATTGTGAGCACATTTAGCCTGAATTTTCTATGAACCAATCAGCTATTAGTACTGTATAGAAAAGGGCATGGCTTACAGGAAAGATTAGCGTGGAAATACTATACAGTAGTATGAACGATGTAAATCCAAGTACAATAAAGTCATGCAGAGAACTACATGACTGAAGTTTCAATTGTAAATGTGAATTAGATCACACTAAAAGATGAGTAGCTTACAAGTAACACTTCCTGGTAATGCTGGATATCACTCAATCTGGTGACAACCAACTAAAGAGGACACATCACTCCCATATACCATCCTTCAAGAAAGGGAAAACAGAAAGTAAATCTGACAAGAGTTGCCAGTGTGGAGTCCACCTTTTATACAAATGTCATAAATTTCAGCTGAAAACTGTAAAATAAATTACAGGACTGTATACTAAACAAACAATAATTTGGGTAAAATCTGTCCACAATGTGTCATTGTTCAAATGTAAATTTCTCATCATTGTACATCATGTATATCAACATTCATGAAAATTTTCTAAAATTAACCCAGAACAATCATTTAAGTAAGGATAAATAATAATTCCTGGTACCTCCTTTGGGATTAAAAATTGCAGCAAGAATTTTACTATGATTTCATGAGTACATCGAGGCATGTAGTTCGGAAAAGTATTTTCTATCTCTTATGACATTGTCAAGTTATAAGTGATCTGAGCAATTAAGAAAATGAGCTGCTCACTACCACATCTCTATGCCTCCTCCCACATCTAAACTTTTATGGGCTGAACTAGTTTTGAACAATGATTGTCACATAGGAATGGAGTGATCTTTAGACTGCCTTCAGTCGCACATTACCAAGGGGTTTAACAGGAAAATGCCATATACAATGGGATCCATACTTATGGGTAACTCAGCATTGGTGTTACGTTATAAACATAAAATACTGAAACATGTACAGTAAATTGTAATTAGTTTAACATAAAGCATAAATTTTACCTAAATGTCAAATAACCTGACACACCTCATAAAAGTAACAGGCTGAGAATTCCTAATTTGAATGTGTAACAATATTTAATTTCATTAACAAGAAGTCAAGAGCATCTTGCATGTATCCCAAGTCATGGTAACTATGAGTAACTACCAATATAGTAACTCAACACATGGTCTTACCCCTTGAATAACATCATAGTCACTCTCCTTGTTTGCAAACATTGTTGAGCCAGCAATTGCAAGAGCAACATTCTGGTGAATATGTGTTGGCCCACCTTCACTATCATCACCAAGAGATGACGTCAAAAACCGATCTGAGAAGGGAAGAAAAAAAATCACAAATATTTACATTTTACATCAATATATTTTTCACTCAAGTTTTCAGCTTAAACCAATACTCTACTTCAATTAGTCTGCAGAAGAATACTCTGAATCCCAGAACGATGCAAGTCACTACAGATATTATATAAACCTTTCTGCTCCCATCATCCTCCCCCTCATTCTTTTTTCCTTGCTACATAAGTTATATCACTTGCTGGGACACCCTCAATTTGTAACTTTATAAATATATATTCTTAGAGTGCAATACGTAAGAGTTTCTATTTATGTAACATATTTTTCCCCAGTAATTCAATGCAGTAGTTGCAGTTCTTGGTATGCTTATGGGTTATCCTAAAGGTAAGGAACAACTTTTCTTCTATGCAAATCTCTAAAATACAGTACTGTAACTAGTTACTAGTCTACTGTAGGTGCACAAGATCAGTGAAGTATTACTATTTCTTCTTTTTAATGTGTGTATGGTATTAAATTATGAAAATAAATAAAGTATGCTGAGGAATAACTTCACTTTCAATATAAGTTATCAGAAATTCCCTGTAAATTCTTATATTCTTATTAAGTACTGTACTCACATTCTCCCATTTAAAACCTGTCCCTCCACACTCTCCCAACATACGTTACAGTCAAATGAATCAATAATTGTTAAAATGCTTCAAATACTAACCAAAATAGACCTGAAATTTGCTTACCCTCCTTTACCTATTTTGCCAATTTATCCACAACTTTTCTATAAATATTTCTAACCTAAATGTATTTCAAAATTTGAACTTCTTAAGTTAAGATACACATACTACATATATTTAATCTTGAAGCATTTGATAAATATAATTTGCTTTATTGTAAACTGAGAGTAACCGTGATCCTCCGACGGAATGAACATACGAGACTATGGGGGTAAGAAAGGTGAATCAACCAAAATCAGGTTTCGAGATATGAGCAGTTTTGTTTCTCGCACATATGATTGTGTGTATCTCTGTAACACACCTTACAAAATGAATGAAACTGGTCTCAAATAATAGGAAATTCAGTGTACTTTCCAACAATGTTACATATATATTGGGGAGGGGGGCATCAGTTGGGTCTAAGTTGGTTGATTTGGTTGATTCACCCCTCTTACCCTCAGCACCTCATATCAACCTATATTTGGAGCTGTATCAACTTACACTTAGAGCTGGCAAACGTGTGAAGTTGAGGTAAAGCATCAATGACAATACTGATGAGAGGCAAGTACAGACCCACCACACGAGCCTTCACTTCTGGCTCTGTGTAACGATCATCTGTGTCGTGACTTGTCAACAGGTTTCTAACAGTGTTTACTGCTCTTCCATGTATGGTTGGGTTACTGTAGGAGTAGAGAAGTTGTCTGTTAATAATAAAAGATAAACATACAAATTACATAAAAAGATAAACTACCTGTTGTTTTATAATTACAGTACTTACATTATCACAAATTTCAAGAAAGAAACCAAATAATATGATCAATAACTTTTGGGTCTATCGTACCAGGAGCCTTTGGTGTACTGAAAGCAAGAGATGACTTGTATAAAAGTTACCACAGTATGAAATAGTTTCCATCATGATCATTACATTTGGGTCATTAAGACTGATCTACAATAGTAGTCTCCATAGCTTTCTGCTTGTGGATAAAAAAAAAAGGGATGATGACTATTGAGTACAAATACAAAATATACGATATGGGAATACCTATACTGTAAGTCATAAATTATTCCGTAACAAAAATTAATACTGTACAGGTATATATATATATTTTTTTTTTCATTCTCCTAATGCCTTGTGTGTGTGTGTGTGCACTCACAAGGGGAAACAACACCAAGTAATCCAATACAAAATACTACCCGGTAACCTGCCATAAACAACCAGAAGTTACAAGATACTTAAAATTCCCTCCATGGGTCGAGTAGTGCTGGAGGCTGTCTAATGTGTTTTATGACAGGGGAGGTATTGCCTGAGTGGAGGAAGGGGCCGATACTTCCAAAATGGGGAGGTAAAAAGGACATGGGATCACCCTATTCAGTCACATATAATAGCTTGCCTAAAACGTAAGAATAAATGAGGTTAGAGAGTAGAATAGGAGAAAATCAACAATATTTACAAGGGGAGGAGGCACTGAGGCATTATTTACAGTAAGATAAACAGTGAAGAAGAGAAGGGAGTTCACTTATTCAAATTATAAAATATATACTGTGTCATCAAAGATTGCAGTGAGAACAAGAAAGACAAAAACACCAGAACATGGTAAGCATAGAAAACAAGTGTGACTAAGAAATGTGAATACTTTAAGCTCAGTGTGGGAGATGTTGTCACCTTGGAGAAAATGCTGCTGATTAGCTATGAGAGATTAGGAGAGCTGTGATTAGTTATTTGGCATGGGACATTACGGTAACCAAACAGCATATGTACGCCCAACTTGCTGAAACATTTGCCAATACACTGCATATGGTACTTTACTGGAAGAGTACTGTATATCAAAGGTAAAAATCCATATTGCAACTATGTTTTTACCTTTTTTGAGAGCAAAATTTAAATCAATGGTTCAATAACATAAGAATGAAGTCCAATACAGAATTGCCTACTCTCAAACTGGATATATTTTACTCTTATTAACTGTATCTTTGTTTCTCTGCTTTGTTGTTTCAAATACAGGGGGTCCCAGGGTTACAAATGGGTTCTGTTCCTGAGGACGTTCTTAAGTCGGATTTGCATGGAAGTCGGAGCACATGCTATGTACTTACAGAACAATGTTTAAAATCACTTAATTTAAGACAAAAGAAGAAATAGAATGCAAAATACAGTAAATGAAAGTAAAAATAAGTCATCAGGGAAATAAAATACTGTAAATTTCAAGTTTAACCCCGTTCGTATAGGCGGGTGTTCGTAAGTCGGGGACTCCCTGTACATTTCGTTAACCTTGTATCATTAAATCTTGCCAGAAATGTAAAGTCTTTACAAAACACGAATGACTGGGCAAGACAAAAGTACAGTACTCTACTAATCATATGTATTAAAATTATCAATGGCCATTTAAAGAATGGGTGATGAAATGTGTAACAAAACCAATGATTACCAGTATACAGTATGTATATGTGAATGGAAGGAGTGATCCAAGTATTTGTACACTTGATGAAAGTTATCCTGCACCAGAAGAATACAAGTTCAACTATATAATTACTTGATCTCAAGGGCTGTAGCAAGATCTGACAACACAAGTCCTACTAGGAAGTGTTGTTTGCGGAAGGAGCTGGAGAGCATCATAAATGCACTCCGGTTTCCACCAAACACTGTGGAGATGAACGATGACTGACTAGTTGTTGAACCAATCTGAAAAATTAAAGACAGTGATGAAATAAAAAAAAATTTAAGCTATGTCACCTGTTTTTAGAAATATGTTACTTACTGTTACCTTCTGCCAATTTTCAATCTACACCCAAATATTACAAGTAAATTCTAATCAATATAAGCCCCCTGCAGGGACACTGAAGAATGGAAATAAAGCAGCCAGTAAACTAAACCTCCACTACAAAAGGAGGTAGTGTGGTCAATAATGAACCCAACTGCTTTCACTTCCCAGCTGTAAAGTTAGGTAACCATTTAAGCAAGATGGACTGGGGTGCCCTGAGATTAAAACAGTAATCTTTATGACAGAAGATGACTGCTGTATCCACTAAGCTGCCACACTTCTTCAGATATCTTACGGTAGTCAACCTTTAACCCCCACCAATATAAATGTCTTGCACTTCTACAAAACTATTAACTAATTTTCCCTCCCACTACCATTTTAACCATACACATCCCAGTGCTTATTCTTTGAAGATGTTTTAATGGATTTTTTAGTTTGTTTTAATTACTGTAACTGCATTTTACGAACAAGAAATCACCAGAATATTACTTACTGATGGACAAGGTGATGATGGGGCAGATATTGCTGACAGTGGTGTGCAGAAGGGCAGGTTCAGGGCTACATAGTGTTCGTGGCTGCACACAATACGCACAAAGTCCAACTGAAATGAAAATAACAGATATGAACAAAATGATATTTGATATATGTGTAATTAAAAAAAATCCCTAGCTTTTTTGCTAATTAATTTATTTCTCATCAAGCAATCCTATATTCTGCTCTCACATGTAACATGCATGAAGAACTGTGTTTCTTGAACCATCATAATGCATTGATCACTTGAAAAAAAAATATATATAAATATATATTCACCTTCAGATTGATAAGAGCTGCAGCATCCGGTAAAGACATAATCTTGTTGCTCATTTGTTTACAATAGTTTTGCATGAGCATGAACACAAACCCACGATCCATCACAGACAGGAGGTCCGCCAGAAAAAATGCTAGACTGCTGTTCACATTTTGTACAAACTGTAAGAAACATTAAATTATGTTGAAATAATGGTATCAAACAAGAAAAGATACCAATAGTTAACGAAGAAACATTTAATATTACTATAAAGCTGAAGATATAAATTTAGGTAACAGGGAAATAAAATTGAAAGGTAACTGGAAAACACTAACTTTGTAGGATGATATGGAGTGAGAGATTATTGCTAAACTGTTCAGAGGGGCATCCACTACCTACTTATCAGTCTGTTACTTTCTACAAGCAAATAAAGCACTGTAAAAGCAAAAGACTGAAATGCACAATCACATCTTATGGTTGAGGGAAACAGACAAGTGGCCTGAGAGACTCCATCACCAAAACACCCTAGGGCACTGTGCTGTCAGCTCAATAAAGTAATTGTCATACAAAAGACCACTTGCTCAGTCACACACAGGATTATAAAACTATTTCAAGCCTCAATCTGGTCATTGTCACTAAAGTCACGGGTCAAAAGGTCCCCTGGCCAGACATTAGGAGTTGGTTTACTTACATCAGACCACTTCATCAAAATTTACCTTACAAAATTCCTTCTTCATATTTTATTGATCATAAGGAAACCTATCAAAAGGAGAGGAAGGAATTCCATGTCACTTGTCTCTTTCCACTGACCATAAATGCTCAATAAATAATACTTTGAAAACATTATTTTCTGAAGACTATAAGTAGATTTGTCACTGACTTAACATAAGAACCAAGTCATTAAAATTACATTCCACTTTGTTATTTCTAATAAATACTGTATTCCCTAAACTTTCTATAATTCTTAATTTAAAGGCAACATATTATTGAAAAATACAATCGTGTAAGCCTGCAATCCAAAAGTGCCAAAATAACTTCATAGTGGCACTTCCCCGCAGAGCAACAATACTCTTAGCTCGTGCGCAGCCAATCACTGAATATCTTCATCAGTAATGGGCAGAATGAGCTATGTTTTATGCTTAAATTCTATCTCACTATTTGAAATCCAGTTCATAAAACCTCTCATCCAATACAAATTAGATATGACCTCATAGTCTTCTGCCAAAATCTAAGATATTACCAAAGAAATTAATGACTACTGGTGAAAGGTATAGCAAGCTGAAATAAACAATGAAATACAAATAAGACTTTTGGAAAAGATAACTTTCATAACTAATCTTATCTCTACACCTGTCAGTGAATTGTCTTTATAACCCAATATGTTAAGACTCCCAGCAGAGTTACTCCTTGACATAAGTCCTAGCACATCTCACACTGCTTCATAATCCTCTCATACAGACACACACACACACACACCCCTCTCTCACTGTATTTCCAATATACTGTCACTACTCTTTCTATACATAACCAAACCATCTTCTCTTATTCACAATGCCACATTCCTCTAGGAGTGGACACAACACAACAGAAAAGCCTCCAGGCTCTCCTGCCTATGAAGTAGATCAGTGGTCCCCAACCTGTAGTTCAAAGGCACCATGGCACCCACGGAACCATATTATGGAGCCCGCAAGGGTTTATTAGATATTTTTGAATTATTTGGAATTTTTTGTAAGAGTGAAATGAATGAAAATATGTAATAAACTTGATACAACTGCCATGTACAGAGAAAGAGCTAGCCTTCTCATTGGGGTATGTACATCCATCCCGTCCAAGAGTAAATGTAAAAAATATTTATCTGGTAACAGTTAGACGTGTAAATTTGCAAAAAACTGTACAGTATACTGTATAAGATGGCGCCCTCCACTATATTTACAATGATAAATGTGGCCCAGAGCCTCCAAAAAGTTGGGGACCACTGATGTAAACAGTCTCACTCCACCCACATCTGCTACATCGTCTGTTTACAACTTCTCTTACTAAATTGGTATTCCTCTGCAACCTTCTCACATACCCACACCATCTAAATAAAACCTCTCTTCACCCACTCCACCAGTCTGCCATTTTAAGCATCTCAAACACTTCACTTTCTCATCCCTTTCACTCCATTAACACCAGATAGCAGGTCTCTGGTAATGCATCACTACCTTAAGTAAAAGTACAAAGCATTATACTACTACCATTGTACATCTCCTTTAAGTAGTTTTTTCCTTTCTTCTAACAAGTAAATATTACTTGAGAATAACATACACTAACTTTTATGAAAGTGAATAAGACAAGAACTTAAGATACAGTAGTTAGAATTAACCAACAAATGATGGAAAAACCTGTGTTGCTTTTGATTCTAGTCACCAGTCTTGAGATATTATGAGAAAACTAAAATTTCTAATAATGTCTTTATATTTTTTTCATTTAATGGATTTTTATCTTACAAACATTTAATGGTATTTTTTGCATCTAAATGAAATATTATCATCATCATTATTATACTTCAGTGTTAACAAAGAAAATGCCTACCCTTGTGTCTTTGACATCTTTGTTATGTAAAGCTATGATGTCATTTGTGATGGAGGCAGCTAGATTTTGTACATCATCCGAAAATTGGTGAGAAAATCTCATTTTGCGAAGAGTGTCTTGGCCACTACTCCTTGCTAGATGTTCTGTCATGGACTTGATCATCAGCTCAAAGAAGAACCTATAATGACAATACAGTACTGTATACAACAATATAAGAAGAAAAAATTAATACAAAAGTTTTAATGTCATAAATTTATCTAAATATCCATTTTCTACATATTATGCCTTTTATTACATATCAGGTACATATAATTTTAAGAATACTGTACAGTACAAAACTATGTAAAAACATTACATATGACCCTGCCTATGCTGGTCACTGAGCTCTATCTTTTGGTTTTGTTGTCGTAAAATCTTAAAACTGGACCAGGACTTTGTGAACACCCTGTATAATAAATGTACAGTTTTGTGCATGTAATTACATACCATGAATTAGCCAGAGCTTTCTCCCTTCCAGTACCATTGGATACAACCCACTGAAGAGCTACCTCCTCATGAGTAAGTTTCCTTCCTGCAGGTCGTTGAAGAGTTATAAGATTTTCATAATTACTACCTGATGGGGGAAAAATGGAATCAATATTAAAACAAACCGAGAAAATTTGTTTAAGACAATTTTAATGAATAGAATACATGCGCCCATATTTTTTGTAGAGACATAATTTCCAAGTACTGTAGAGACAAATGTATTAGGAAGGATGCATCATTCATCCTCTTCAAAATATCAAATGATCCAGAAACTTGCTTTATCCACCATCAAAGTGTCAAAACATAACTATTAACTCAATCTAAAATTCTGAATAGTAATTGTTAACTATTATATACTGTACAGTAGTTAATTTGCTGTTCTAGACATTTTAGCGCAGGTAAAATATATCAAATGAATAAAATCTTAATTATTATACTGTACTGTACAGTAGTGTATATCCTTAAGGGTAACTATAGCTTACATTATACATATACTGTAATTAACATATATAATACTTCTAGTGGAAACAACCAGCAAATAAAAATTAATCTAGAAATCTTAATCAACAGCCACTATACATACAATGTTTCTTATTAAAAATTTTACAAACAAAATGAGGGAGGTAGCATAGGTGAACTTACCCTCTTACAATGCTACTATGAACCAGAATCAATGCATGTTACAGCCGGTTATGCAGTATAGTTTCAACACTCCTAACCATTTCCCTCTCTGAACTCCTCCAGTCGTTTTCAGGGGAGTGGGAGCCATAAACCTCACCCTTTGGACCAGTGCTGACATTGATACTGTCATCCTCAGAGTATAGTATTATCTACCATGGAAATAATTATGAAGTACAGTGTACTGCTTTCCAAAATATTCAAAGCCTTGAGGTATTGTCGTCATCCATGAATGTAGGCGTATGCGCATTGTTAGTGGTGTTTTGTTAGGTTTTTTATCAAAACTTATCAAGGAAACTTATAATTTTTGATGGACAAATTTGAAGCACACTAAGCATCATCAATAACAATCAAAGCTATCAGTGGGCTTGCTTGTCTGGGGTCACAGGATCAAGAGATAAAGTTAAGTTTGCCATAAATAAGAGCTTTGATAATAAATCTTGCTAACTGTATAAGGAAACATGGCCATTCTCCACAGGTTAAGTTTACCATTCCATGTTAACTAAAAAATAATCACAATAAATTATAAACTGTAGGAAGCAGTGTATACACCATTTAAAGCATGAATACAGTAAAATAAGGCAAGTCTTACCTTTAATATCCAATAACTCCTCACCATTATCTAGTTGGAGGGAGACATGCAAAGGAATATGGGAAACAAGGCTTCTTTAGTCCTTGATGTAATGTTAAAAATTTCAAATTAACTTAAAATGTTACGGAAAATTCCATTATGAATTGTGAAAAAAGTATGATTTAAAATATTATATGATCAAGTACCTATTGTCCTAACTTTTGCATTACTGTACTGATAAAACTCAAAATAAGCAGCTGTATAGGATAAAAGTCGCACCTGTTCTCATGGAGTTGGTTCGGTCTAACCCACGGGCGAAGATTCCTCCAACTTCTGCATCTGCATCAATACCAAGGTCTGGATTGCTGCTGCTTCTGTGGTGGTAGGAATCAAATTGTAGCAGTAATGAGTACAACAATACCATACCCACCCCCCCCCACCTCCTTCAAGACTACCGTATAGAATCTTCACAATCTTCAATTAATTATAATCCAACATTTATATCATAACTTCATTCATCTCACATGTATTCATTAAGTCCATCCTTCCCTCCTTATGCATTACCTAAAATCTACTCTCTCTCTCAAATTAGGACTAAAAATTTTCTAGGATATAAAAGTAAGTGTGTGTGTGTGTGCGTGTGCGTGTGTGTGTGTGTGTGTAGGGGAGGGGGCGGGGTGGCATGCCAACAGTGATTTAACTACTAGCTGGTTTGGGGGTCAGGGTATTTCAGCAATCTATACACAACACCCTGCTGTAAACAGACTAAATGATAATGATCAGGTTGTGAAGGATGTAATCAATAAGTATATTACAAGGCATTTGTATAGTAAAAAGTAATTATTATTGACCCCAGAATATCTCCTAATATTAAATGCATACCGCTTCAAAATGGTCTCAAAATGCCCATGATATTCGTCAGGGAAAAAATAAATAAAATAAAAAATCTGGGGAAGCTTACAGCACCCCCCCCTCAAAAAAACAGCTGGGTGGGGTAGCTGTGCTCACCACCCATAACGTCTTGGACCCCCCCTCCCCTTGATATTCCTGGATCCACCCCTGATTCATTTACAAAAATTTCTTACCTGGAACATTTCCTATGAGTAGGCACTGAACTTGGGGGATGAGGATGATGTGAGAGTGACGTTGCAACAGGGGTCGATGGCCCATCATCAGGGTGAGGTAGTGTTGCCTGATAAGCCACATATGCCAACAATGTACTATTCCTCCCATGTTGATCATTCTTTTCCTCCAAGAGAGCCTAACACATACAGAATTCATATCGGTATAATTTAAGTTTTCTTTCACATACCTATCACAGCATATCTTATATGGGAAAATATTTGTCAAATTTTGAAATACTGTATTACAATTGGTTATTCATTTAGACTTTAAGCCTTTTTCTGCAAAAAATCCTAGAGAACAATTTTAACTGTTAGTAAACCTACCTATAACTACTAAGAACCACATGAAAGTGATATTTCTACCTGCTTTATTACTACTATGGCATTACCATGTCAATACTGTGCTAAGGTATGTCTTCCTTTGTTGTCTGTCTGAAAGCATTAATTCTATAAGCCAATTGCATGACACAATCAGGGAGCCCAAATGAGAAGGCCAACCATTTTGAGAGCCAAAATGCATGAGCAGCAAAGGTAGTCCATTGGGAGCATGGATTTCAATTTTGAAATTTGATGGTTAACTGTATGACAACCATGTTGGTTGTTTGGAGAAGGAAATTATTTTATATTGTAGTAGTATCAGAATTATCCAGTTCAAACAGTGCAATTACAATATATCACAATAACCATGACCCAAAATATATTTACAGTATAAAGTGACAACTATGAAGGTTCAAGAAGCCTATGGTATATCATTGAACATCTGATACACTTACTGAAACACGCCCTACAAGGGCGCCAACAGTTTCAAAGCAGGCCTGGGCAATGTTGACAAGTTGGCCAGCTAGAGTGGGAGGCCAAACCATAAGAGTGAGGAGACGGTCTAATAAAACTGGGACGAAACGGACTAGTGGTTCAGGATAACAATTCATTAGCTCCCCCATGCTGGAAAAAACAATTATATAACAATAAAATGTATATATTCTGTTTACCTTTGTTTCTCAAAATAAGATGAGGATGCATAGATTTACTGGAGTTTCCAGCATAAATATATAAACTGTACAGTATATTGAGTATGACATAAAATATACTTTATAGTAAAGTACTGTTTACACCACCCAAAAAAAAAATTACAATGTTTGCATGTTTTGTTTTGGCCAATCTTGCTTTATTATTATTGTTACATAGCATAGTACTGTAATGTAATTATCGTTGTCTAAAATTTTCCAATAAATGTTCATAAATGGTAAGAATAACATAACAACGAAATATAAAAATATGAAGACCAGTACAATGAAGAGTGAATAACTAATCTGGCTGACATTATTAAACACAAAATAGTAGTTCTTTATTTATCGAAGAAGAAAGATGGAATTCCCTTATCATTAAAAGATACTTGTGGGCTGTCCTTAAAAGTTGAAATATGAGTAATAAGTAACAAAAGTAACCTGAACCATACAAATAACAGAGTAGGTGGAGTGAAGCAGAAACTGGATACTATATACAGTATATGAAAGAGAATCAAGGTCACCAGGAATCATGTACAACCAAGTACTGTACTGTAATGATTAATGCACAGTAACACAATTGACTAACACAACACTTCACTACACTTATCCCATTGAGACTGGTGGATGGTAACATGCTACATCTACTGTATATCCAATTTGGCTTTTGTATTTACAAGTAAATATAGTACAGTCATTTATTTCAACAAAAGAAATTTGTTGTATTCAATGGAGGCATCTGTTGCATTCCAACTGCAAGAATTCTAATTTGATAGATAACAGGTTAATATTTTGCAATCACCTGCATCCTCCAAATAAGATTTCAAGCATAAAACTAAAATACTTACGCTCTCTTCAGTTCCCCCTCCATATTAGCTTCACCAATGCGTGCAGGAATATTACCTTCTTCTACCATCTTACATAGATGGAAAAATCGATCAATGTGTTTGTCCTGGAATAAGAAAAAATTATGTAAAAAGTGCCCAAATATGTGGGAGACAAATAAAGTCCCACCTACTTCCCTGTCATAAGTGAAATATGTGAAATTAACAGTTAACATCAAACTCTTCAACAATCTTTTAATTCAATGTTAGACCAAAATACAAATAAAAATCTCTCACTAGCACCATCATCATCAATACCATGTATATACACTAGCAATTAAAATTATTACAAGTACTATACACAGTCTTATTTTTCAATTCTTAGTTGGTGACCAAACTGCAAGTCACTATAGTATTTCCACGCTAACCTGGTTAGTAAGCTAAGCCCTCCTTCTACAAAAATAGCTGATTGGTTCAAAGAAAATGCTTATGTAGCTATCCATTTTGTCAGACTACTGTAAATATGTTCATAATTGGTAAGCAGAACTGTTATTCTCTAAAATAATGTTAAATATCTGGACTATCAAAATGCAAATGATTTTAAGGCATTAGCACTTCCGAGAGGATGTTAACAATTTTTATATTTATCGAAAAGGTCGAAGTCAAAGATGAAATTCACTTTCGAATGAAGTCTTTTCATAATTTCTTTGTTTTGTACCAAACATAAAACAAACAGAAACAAATGATACCGAACATATAGCACAATAGGTAATGAAACACAGTTTGTATGGCTGGATATATCCCAAATCATTTATATAATGGATAAAACTTGATATAAATACGCACAGTCCGGGAGGGGGGTTAAATGCTTAGGGGAACAGCCAATAGACTTGGCGGGAATTTCACTATCTCGACTTCAACTCTCAACTGTCAACAGATTTCAGCGCTGTGGTACTTAACCAACAAATACATTTCTCACACCCACGAGCAGATTATTAAATACTTTATCCACTAACTTGTCATCTCCCCATCTTAAATACTGCATTGTGACAAGATTTATGTAATAATATATGACACAAGGTATTAAAAAGCGATGTGGAGGTTTAACATTTTCATCCTGTCATCAAGAATCAAGAAATTTGGTGCAAATAAAAAAAATCTCGGCCAATGATGGACGAGGTATAGTTAACTTGTGTGTCATGGTATCCTAATGCGAGCTCTACCACACTGGCAACATGAGTCAAGTGTCCAGCTGATCTATCTCTCAGCTAATCACCCGTCGAAGTGGCCGTGAAGTCTAGTGGCTGTTCCCCCGAGTGTTTTATCCCCCTTCCGGATTGTGCATCTTTATATCGTGTTTATCAGGTACATAAATGATTTGGGATATATCCAGCCATACAAACTGTGTTTCAATACCTATTGTCCTATATGTTTGTTATCATTTGTTTCTGTTTGTTTTATGTTTGGTACAAAACAAAGAAATAATAAAAATACTTCATTCGAAAGTGAATTTCATCTTTGACTTCGACCTTTTATGATAAATACCTGTATTTAAAATTTTCTACCATTTTCTTTGAAGTGCTAATGCCTTGAAATCATTTGCATTTTGATAGTCCAGATATTTAACATTATTTGCCAATTGTGAACATATTTAGTTTGAATAAATGGACAGTTACACGAATATTTTCTATGAACCAATCAGCTATTTGTAGCTATAGACGAGGGGCGTGGCTTACGGGCCAGGTTAGCATGGAAATAGTACAGCATAGTCCCACAACATCAAGAATACACAGTTATACATCAGCAACTATTATGGCTTGAAATTATTACATATTTCCTACTCAGTCCAGTAAAATTCTCTTCTTACTATGGTCATATACCTGAGCATGGACAGATGATACTGCTTCAACACTAACAGTAAACAGTCCTTTGTGGTTGTCGACCCATTTTGTGCCAGGTAATTGGATATCTGCAGTGATGTACGGGTAGTTGCTGGGGGGCCGTTCCATCATCACAGGTAAGCTATGATAACCTGTCTTCAGTCTACCATCACGATACACGGGAATCCACTGTAAAAAAAATATTATTCATCATCTACTAAAAATACAGTAACAGCATTTAACAGTATGCAAATAAGGATATGCTGAATTATTTAATTTTTTTTTGTAACATTTGTGAAGCCTTTTCCTATTATAAAACAGAGTCCTGGCCAGACTCAAGAACAAATATAGTACACACACATTAACTCTCCCTTTATTCATTATCAGTAAACCATTCTTCCTTTAGTAAAACATGAGGTGAGAACCTGACAAGCAACTAAACAGCATGAGATGTGTTTATTATGCCAATAAACTCGTTTCAAAACTACTAAACTTCAACTGTGTTTTCTGGCATTTTTCACCTTTGTTGCTAGTCTTCATGTGTGTTCTAATTTGCACTTCCCTTCCACCAGGTCGCATCACCCATTAGTGTCATATTCTTTCCCATAAACACTCATGATGCACTGTTGCTTCCCTTATATCTACCCCCTTCACTTCTAGTGCATACTTAACCCCATCCTTTCATCTACAGTAAATCCAGTTAAAATCAAGAAGGTTCTGAACATATTCATTATAGACATAAATTCAAGATAGAAATAACTCAAAGTACAGTACTGGGGAAAATAGGGGTCTGTTACAAGCCTAACCAACATTAACATACAAAGTGCAGGGATAAATTATGCTGGCCATATACTGTATTGAGTGGAGAAGCCATAAAAGTGTTATATTAATCACAAAACCCACTTAGTATCCCAAGAGCAGATATAAACATAACATCAGAACAAAGAACATCAACCCAGCCACGACTTGGATACTTATTCATTAATGGTTCACTCATTTAATATATTATTATTTTATTAATATCATTACAACTTTACATGTTAAAAAAGTTCCATGTTCAACAACCAACTACTTTATTCTGTTAAGCTGAAATAAATGTAAACCACTCTGATAGCCCAGGTAATTAATTTAACAGTTACTAAAGACACAAAGAGACACGATGTAATGTTCCCCTACTTACAGTGTAGCCAACAGGGGTCTCAATGGTTTTCTCCTCATTTTTCTTCTGACATGAGATATGATAAAAGGTAAATAGAATATGATGTTGGTCCCCAAGTACTGGTGGCAATTTAATCTTGAACTCATCATAAAAATCTGGTGACTTGTTGTGGTAGGTGACAGCAGTGTGAACTTCTGTGGTATATTCTGGACAAGAGGATTTACCAAAGATGACTGACATGGCTGCTTGTTCCTCTTCCCCAGCCATGAACTGGATTTTGACAGCAATGTTGCGCGCAGAACCTATGTACGGTGATACAGATTTAACATTTTATCTTCATTTGTAAGTTTAGGAATAAAAGGGTTGTCAAGACACATGAGTGCAGAAATCATGTATAACAGTGTAGCTTTTGCCTGTGTATTTTGTATTAATTCTTAACCACTTGAGATATTGTTTATATACCAGCTCCATCTACAAGCAGGCTGAATCAATGTATATTTGTATAATGATTTTAATGAACAAACAAATATTTATCATTGTCAGAACATGGAAACTAACCTAGAATAATATGTATTTCACAGAGGTAGAATAATAAATAACATGCCAGCAACACAATATGAAGGCGTATGACTCAACGTGTTATGTATTACTTGCCCCCAAAAATTAATTCTTATATACAGTATATATCACACACACACACACATGCACGCACACACGCATGCGCACAAGCGTGCACACACGCACACACACACACACACATATATGAGAGATATGACAATAAAATTTTTCACCTGGTCTGTTGTTGAAGTTGAGATCCCTTGGAGATACAAACAGAAGGTTCCTGTAGAAGTAATGCGGAACAAAGATATCTCTGGGTGGGAATTCCACAACTTCTTTGATGGGACGACACTTTTCATCTACAGTTGAAAGAGAGATAGGAAACAAAAACATTTATATATATACCCTGTATTTATCCTAATTAACGCAGAAGGATCACAAACCAGAAGAAATACACACACATTTTTTCTTTCATGCACTGTCAATAATTATCATACTGCTGCAAAACATGTATTGGGTAGTGGTACTGTATTCTCCTTCCACAACAAGGCCACAATTCTGGTTTACCCTTTTTGCTTCACAAGAGCTACCATCTTCCATCAGCATTTACTTTCCCCAAAGGCATTCATCCCCATGTTCTTCACTCACTCACACATTATTCCTTATTGAATGCTCATTCCTCTCACTTCTAGTACAACCTTGAAGCATTCCACTTTCCTTCCTTCCTATCTATAAATAATAATTTTTTTTTTACCAATCCTTTACATTCCAATCTCTCAATACCAATATGGTATTTCCCTATCACACATGCAGACCCTGAGCCAATCTCTGCCCAACATTTTTCACACCCACATCTTATTTCTGAATTTCTTATTCTATTCATCCTATTTACCTCACATACTACTTCCAAGCAATTTATTTCTGTTGCCTAAAATCTGCTCCTTCCTAGTACAGTACATGGTTCACACCAATTCACTAAGTCTGGCCTAACAAATCCCCATAAGAACCCTATCCCGCTTTTTTTTAACAACATTTTCTCTCTCTCTCTATGTATCTTATTCCACATGTTACCATCTCTCCTTCCCCCCTACTCTGCAGTTCAACTCATCAGTCATTATATTCTTGCTCTGGTCACGTCCACTCCCAGATATCTGAAACACTCCATTTTTCTCCAATTAATATTCTTTCAAGTTATCATATATTTCTCCCTGTCTCCCTTCTTGAATTATTTCCATCACTCTACGTAGTTCACATTCACTAACCAATTTCTCCCAGTACAAACTCTTCCAAACACATACCCCAACACCTGCCATTTTTTTCACAAATTTCCCCACAAGAATTATCAAAGTCTCCTGCAAAAAAACAGCTGACTTGCCTCATGCCAGTATTCACATTGTAGTATTATTTACAATCTTGCTCTATCTTTCTTACTACTCCATCCATAAAACTACTATATAGAAACAACTGAGTTGATATTATACAGTATATCCTTTATGTAGGCCTACTGTCACTGGGTGCTAAGTTCCTTCTTCCAGAAACTCTTGACAAATGTTTCATTTTCCACACCTTATGAAGATTAGGAATCCCTCACTTATTTCAGTGATGATAACACCTTAATGCTAAATTGAGGTGTTAGGTTAAATTATAATATGTTAGGTTAGATGATGTGAGTTACATTATGTTAGTTACATTATGTTGTGTTAGGTAAGATTATGTTATATTAGTTTATGTTAGGTTAGATTGTGTTATGTTAGGTTTGATTAGGTTAACATTAGGGTATTTAATCATGCAGTGAAATAAGTAGAGGTTTTAAATCTTCTTGAGATCCCATTTTCTTTATGCTGGAAAACATTTTCCCAAACAAACGTTTTCCATATTTTCCCACATTGTTTTTCATAATTTCCAAACAGTCTACCTCATAGTTTTTATAAAAAAATTAAATAAATAATAATATAAATCAGTCCCCTGCATACTGTACTAAGTTCTCATTATCTAATATCTATTATATTTCTTTCTGGTGGAGTCCCCATATACGATAACCTTCACCTGCATAAGAAGGCCAATTGGACTCTCTTGGCTAACCCCCCCAAAAAAAAATCCTTAAAAACATAAGAATATATTAAGCACAATTAAAAAACACTGTTTACAAATTCCTCCCTTTTTGGGATGGGATCTATTATATTCAGTATATAAAGCATACATAATAACACATTCTCAACATTATATAAAAAAAACTTCAAGTACTGGTAGCCATATAAAAAATACAATTCAATGAGATGTTCTGAATTCCTGAACAGTTTTTGTAACATAAATACATCAGATACACCATGCATAAAAGAGAAAAGCTCTATAGTATTCTATGGATAGCACAAAATTATTCTTATTAGAGTTAGTAAAACTGTATAACTATTCTACACTTATTCTGTTAGTTCAAAACATATTTACAAAATCATGCAAACATAAAACATCTCTAAAATAAGATAAGCAAACTACACTCCAAATTTTCTCTCTGTTCACAATAAATAAACAGCATGATAACAACAGCTTAACTAAACACCATTTTTAAAAAACAATGTTCAGCAGTCAGACTTGGCTATACTGTACAGCAATGGCAGAGGTTCATACAAACTCTTATCTCTTACTGTTCTAATTAGTGTTTGGCCATGTTACATTCTTAACCCTTTCGGTGTGCAATTAAGATTTAGCCTGCATGCAAAAATAAATAAAAAAAATAAAAATACTGTAATAATAAAAAAATAAAGCCCCCCCTTTATTTCTAGCTTAAATTTAGTAATACAGAAAGAAACCAGTGAATTTTTCAAGAAAAAAAAAATTATAGCAAAATAATATCATATTATTAACTGCCTAACACAAGTGTGATGGACAGGCATGATGAATGTGTGACAATGGAAAAATAATAAAAAACAAAGAAAATTATAACAAATCATATACAGTCTCTCCTAAACTTACGACAACCCGGACATAAAATGTTTTTCACATTACGTATTTTCAAGTTCCGAAACGTTTTTGTCATAATGTGACCCCGAACAACAGCATGGGCCGGGCTTCCTCGTGGTGTACAGCATCCACGCCATAGCCGCACAGTTGGTGTTTGGCCGTCGTTGTTGTTGTTAGTGATCGCGCTGTGTACTGACAAATTTTTTTTTTCTAATTCCCTTTAAAATGACTGGCAAGCATAAAAGTGAGAGTTCTCGTGGTGCTGAGAAGAAAAAGAGACAGTCAATTACTTTTGAGATGAAAATGAAAATAATAATGCAATATGAAAATGGAATAACCGTAACACCCATTTCACGCGACCTTGGCTTCTCTCACCCGACGATATCAACGATTTTGAAGGACAAGGAACGAATTCGTGAGGTAGTGAAAGGATCAGCACCTATAAAGGGAACAATGATAACGAAAAAAAGACAAGGTCCTCTTCATGAGATGGAAAAATTACTTGTGATGTGGATGGAAGATCAGCTGCAAAAGTGTGCATCCTTAAGACTTCTAACCATACAGGCTAAGGCAAGAAGCCTTTTCGAAAGCCTGAAAGAGCAGGCAGGAGATGAGTGCGACCAAAACTTCACAGCAAGTCATGGGTGGTTCCAAAGGTTTAAGAAACGTTACAGTTTGCACAGTGCAAAGGTGAGTGGAGATGCAGCAAGTGCATAAGCTTTTGAGGAGGAGCTAGATAGTGTCATTGTGGAGGGAAATTATTTGCCTGAGCAAATATTTAATGTGGATGAAACTGGCTTAATCTGGAAGGGCATGCCAGAACGAACATACATCCACAAAGAGGCGAAAACCATGCCGGGATTCAAGGCATTCAAGGACCGAATCACACTTCTGTTGGGGGGGAATGTAGCTCGTTTCAAGGTAAAACCCTTCATGATATATCATTCAGAGAACCCAAGGGCTTTTAAAAATGTCAGCAAGCACACACTGCCAGTGTTTTATCGCAGTAATAAGAAAGCATGGATGACCCTAGCACTGCTTGAGGATTGGTTCCTATGTTGTTTCATTCCACGAGCCAAGGAGCATTGTCTGCAACAAGGGGTTGCATTCAAGATTTTATTAATTTTAGATAATGCTCCAGGACATCCACTACACCTTGATGACCTGAACCCTGATGTTAAGGTAGTCTACCTTCCACCTAACACTACCTCTATCATCTAGCCCATGGATCAAGGTGCTATTGCTGCTTTTAAAGCATATTATTTACGTACAACCTTCGCTCAGGTTAATGAAGGTGAGAAAACGCTCAGAGTTTTGGAAGGACTACAAAATTTTGCAATGTACAAAGACCATAGCTGCAGCATGGGATGAGGTTACAGGTCAGTGCATGAATGGAATATGGAAAAAGGTCCTGAAAAGATATGTGAACAGTTTCTAAGGATTTGATGAAGATGAAGCAATTTCTGAGATTAGTAACAAGATAGTGCAGATGGGTCAACAGCTGGAGTTAGAAATTGATAATGAAGATGTTGAGCAGTTGGTGGAAAGTGTAGCAGAAAAGTAACAAGGATCTTACTGAACTGGATGCACAGAAAATTGCAGAGGAAGAAGAGACAAAATGTAGAAGAACCGGCACCCCCCAAAAAGTTTTCAGTGAAACAAATGGCAGAGGCATTTACTACTATTAATAAGGGGATGAAAATGTTTGAAGAAATGGATCAAAATGTTGAACATTTTGCAAAAGTTGACAGACTGATCCAAGATGCACTTGCTTGCTACAGGGAGATTTACAATGAAAAGAAAAGGCAAACTGTTCAGTCTAAATTGGACATATTTTTTAAGAAGTCCCCCCACTGCTGTCTCCTCACGCCCCACCAGTGCTGCCTCTTCACTCCCTAAAGATGATCCAATACCTTCAACAAGCAAGTATGTTAGCCTGTCTGAAGAAAGCGAACTTGATGACCCACCCAGCCCTGTCTCCTCCTTTGCTTCATCCAATTAATGTAGTCTACATGCTTAATTAAAAAATTATTGAGGCCCTGTGTGCATTCAGCTGACTACATTAAAGGTAAGTGCACAGTAACACTTTATTCATTTTTCATTATTGAATGCTTTTACTGTACTGTATTTCATTTTAGAATTTCTATGTAATATTTTCGCTTTTTCGACTTACGACCTGGTCGTCAGGACGGAACCCTGTCGTAAGTCGAGGAGAGACTGTATTTTACATTTATTTACAATAAAAAAAATCAGTATGGGCTGTACTCACCATTTTGCATGGTGAGTGTGTGGTGAGGTGGTGATGTGATGTGGGAGATATGGTCATATAGTATTAGCAACAAGAGCATATTTAAGGCCTCTGAACAGCTGAAGAATGAGTCAATAAGCCCAGGAACATAACGTTGACCACTCGAGAGCTTAGAATATTGGTGGAGAAATTCAAGAATCTTAAAGAGGATTTGCTCACCGATCTAGAAAGGGCCACAATACTGGCTCAGAACACTGAATAGGTTAAAGTGGCATGGTTAAGATACCAATTCATTACTGTAACATCAGCAACATCCAGGAACACTTGGATTCAATGCCATAAAGTGACCATATTTTTAGGCTAAAGACACTATGAAAACTTCAATTCTATTCGGCTGTAAGTGTTATCCCCATACTGTATGACAACATACAGTACATGACTGTATCATATCATTTATTAAGACTGCTGATTTGGTCAGGCATTCTCTATGTATCATTTAAATTTTCTTTTATGTCCCAAGGAATGTTTGGGAGTAGTCACGAAAGCTGTTGCAAGCATTTTTTAGAGAGAAAAATAATAAATTCTTCTTGTCCATTAAGAAGGAAAAGGAGTTGCAGTAAAATCCTATTTAAAGATGTGGACTGTTGTTCATGCTATGGTGTAGTGGAATGGCCACATCCCATCCAGTCCATAACACAAAATCAAGTTACAATATACATACTGTAATTTACAGAAAAGTGTTTCTGAGAGGATTTCTAGTAAGCACTGACAAAATTTTTAATTTATTAAATTATGGAAACAAAACAAACCAAGCAAGGTGGTACAATTATGAAATTATTAACACCTACAAAGAAACACTTTTCAAAGCACCACATAGTTGTGAGACAAGAAGGAGCAGGCATGAAGCATCTACATGCAAGTTTAACTAGGCATTTTGAGCAATAACTGACTTACACTCCTTGTCTTCCTCCTCCTCTGTCTCCTCTGCTGCAATAGGGTTAAATTCAGATAGAAATATTCGTTGACATTACTTGAGAACTATATTTATTATCATAATTCTTCATCAAATGATCAACTTCATAACCTGACCAATATTCTCAAGTTATGACAAAGAATACCAATGTGTTAATATGTTAGATTCTACATGAAACAAAAGAAAATGTTATTAAAGATTTGTATTCCTGTGGTAATGCACATTAACATATTAGTCCATCTGAATTGTTTTAAATTAGAAACCCTGCATTATATCAAAGCCTTAGATCCAGTAAGCTGACTATTACTGAAAATGTGAAGAAGTTTATGCATTGCCAGAAGTGATTCCCCAAAATCATTCAACATTATAACACAAGCTGTAGAAGGTAAGAATATCCATGTCTTGCTGGAAACAGACCCTAAACCTAAGAGTTCAAGAGGATCTCTTATATGGTTCCATATTAATCATTTACACAAGATTATTCCATTTTCTCTCAAACCAATCTAATCTAACGAATAGACTAATAAAGAATAATTAAAAATCATTTATCTAACACTCTACCACAATCTTCATCCAAGATGTTAACATCTGTTCCCATATCCAATATGTTTATCACATGCAAATAATTCCCCAAATAATTTGGTTCCTGACCAATTCCATACTGTTTGTGATGAAGGATAAACATTAATACTGTATTCAAAGTACAGTAGTTAAAAAATTATATATGCTGCCTTATTGAGCAAGTAGACAAATTACAAGAGGAAAAAAAGTTTAAATGTTTTAAAATAAGCCTAACTCTTTTTTCCAATTCAAGCTTATGACCTCTAAGTCATGATGGTATAAAGGAAGTCAAATTCAATAAACAGGCTTAGTGGGTTATGTGCAATACATTCAGCCAGGTGTTAGGCCATAAAGAATATTAGAATCTCAGTCTTATTGCATTACCCAATTACAATTCACTATTGCACGGACCAATTAACATGACAAGATAAACCATATATAAATTTCATCATACCTAAGGCATTTAATTTTCCATGCAGTTATTAGCAAGACATAACTGCCATCATAGATACAGTGTGATCACAGCCTAAAACTAAGCACCAAACTAACTACTGTATACCCATGATAGCTCTCCTGCACTCGAATAATGAGACTATGTAATCTTGAATAAAGTCACAAATAACTGCGCATATCTATACATTTAGTGACACACGATTTTTTTATTGCTTTGAAAATTTATTAACTTCTTTTTCTTTAACAGTCTGCCATCTGATGACTTGAAATCTTGATACACTGGCTACTCAGCAGGTTTATACATGAGTCAGCTCACATGGCCCTCAAATAACTTTCACAGACAAAGTTGATTATGCATATTTTCCCAATTTATTAAAACAAGTGCAAAATCTTACGTGCATATGATAACACAGATGATAACTAACTAAAAAATAAATCCACTAGTACACAAGAATTCTATACCCATTATCCAGGCTTAGATACTGCATATGAGAAGCCATCACCTTCTACCTATTATGCACTAAGTTCTAGAAAATATGTAGAGACAATGAAAGCAATCATTTAGCTAGAAGTATCCTACCCCATTCAATTCCACCATAACCCAACCTCAAAACCTTAAGCCTTGTCTAACCTGACCAAACCCACTCTAACTTAATCTCTCTATCAAAAATTAAGCTAAATCAACCAAGCCCATCTCCAATCACATTTGGGTATTTAATGGTTAACTTTTTATTCAAATCGTTACATGTGAATTAAATGAATTTCCAGCTGTAACTTAGTTTTTAATTCAATCTTTGCACACACACACACGTTTGAGAACCTTCCTCGATCACATATCTCTAATTGTCAACATCAGGAATTATGACTTATTATTAAGCAAACTACTCAAGATTTTACTGAGTACATATTGTTACTGTGAGTACCAAAAAATTTTCAAAACAAAACAGATTTAGCTGCAACACTTCACATACCTGGATAAGGATGAAGTTTATCAAGTTCTGGCGTGAGACAGTACTTGGGTTGGTCACGCACTGGTGATATGTCTAACTTGAGCAAACCTGGCAAACATTTTTTCTTTAACTGATTTGATGGACGCTTGAGATCAGCCAAGAACTTATACAGATCATCATCACGTAATTTATCCCCTTCCTGAAAAATAAACTCACATGGTAAGATTACACAGAGAGATGGGTTTAGTAACACTCTATAATTCTAAACATGCACTATTTTATGACCTGTGTGGCATGTATAGTAAAGTACTGTATCACAATAAAGGGTCTGGGATACAGAAGTGGGTAATTTCAGTTACTGGTGCAATACGTACTGTTGGGCAGTGTTTGTATATTAACTTTAATATTATTATTCAAATGTACAGTACTACTTTTCTGAGACTTCCATTACCCTATATACAGTGAACCACATTATATCCTCCAGGGTAAATAATTTCAGAGAATGTTTTTATACCTGTATATAAATAACCAGGGATGTACACAATGCTGAACACATACTGTACAGTACTCAAAGACAAAACAAATGGCCACTGTGACATGTATCCCTACAATTCTTAATGTTATTGGTACAGTATAAGTGCAGAAGAATGTGATTTTATAAATATGACTAAAGTTAACTTTAAATATAGTATTTTCAAAGACAGCTTTGGGAATGCTGGACCTGGGAGGTGTGAGTGTACAAGAATACTAAAAACACATTTACCTGCTTGAAAAATGATGATACAGTAAGAGTGACAGGACGAAATGAATCAAGACAAGCACCAAACTCCTCAGGCGACCAACTACGTCTCTTCTCACTGAAACTTCTTCTCTCTAATGACCCTCTCCTTGTAAGTGATCCAGAGCCACCTTTTCTCTTAAGCTCGTCATAGCTAGACGAACTCTGCTTCCGATCTAAAGAGATATGATAATGTATAATTAACGGAAAGAAATATGTAAGTTACAGTACAGTACTCATTATCAACCCCTCCTCAACTGACTTTCTCTTTTTCAAAGTAAATAATTGTGTTGGAGTTTCCTTGTGTCATCCTATTACAGACACTTTAGAAAACTAAAACAATTATTAAATAAAACTTCTAGTCTTTAGGTGTGAATTAATGTTCATGAATCATCACACACCACCATTTTTTGCTGAAATTCTTAAAATTGTTGGTTAATGAATATTTTCTCATGTTGTGTAATATCTAATACAGTATACTGTATCGTGTTTACAAAACATTTGAATACTGTACCATATTAAAATGTCAATTTATGAGCTTTGTTAATCATTACCTTATTACAGTACATACTAAAAACATAGAAATTACTCACTTACTAAGAAGATAATAATGAAAAAATATATAAATAAAGAATAAAAAGATCTAAAAACTAGAGAAAGTAGTCATCTCACCAAGACTGTTTGACCCCGAAGGTTCTCTTTCGGGAGCATTTTCACGGTCTCCATGAACACCTGTAAAAATGTTCATGAGGTTGATTGCAGTCCATGCTAAAGGCATACGATACTTCCCAAGTCGTTCACAGCAAGCTACGGCTGCAGATTTCAACTTCTCTCGGTTCTATACAGGTATATGAAATAAAAAAAATACCAATTACTGTAAAATTCATATTAATGAATTTCAAATAAAAAATATATAAATTTATACAAGAAATGTAAACCTTGAGATTCTTATTATCAAACATACACACACATGAATGTACCAGTAACTAAAAATTCCAAGTCAGAATTTAAAAATTAAATACAGCAATCTCATTTTTTGACAAACTATTATTCTATATACTGTACTAAGACTGACCGCATCATCCTTCATGTATGGCCCCACCACATCACTAATATCACCCTGCAAGACTTTCTCGAGACGCACAACAAGAAACAAGTCACTAGATGGATAAGTGATGTCAAAAATACATGTGCGACTTAAAGTTGAAATATCCTGGAAAAGATAAGAAGGTTACACAATTTTTTTTGAGCTTAAATTATATTCCAAAACATAAAAATAAAAGAGGAATATATTCAATATATTCTTTTATGCATTTAATTTTTATAATAGACTATGATAATAAATGGCAACTACATTTAATGATAACTATACATCTCTTGCCTAAGTTGAACGTGAGCTTACACTGTACACTAAACTTAGGTACATTACCAACCTGATATGGAATATGGGATGTCAACATTCTCTTCAGCGGTTCTGGGTTCATATCAAAACAAAAATTCTCCGAAATTTTCTTTTTATCTCTGAGGTCATACAGGGCCATAGTAGCAAATATTGGCTCTATTTCCAGCTCAAGGCGGAGATTTATACACTTGACCTGAATGCGATGACCTGAATGTGGCATTGGTACATCTGGGTACAGGCGACGCTCTATCATGTCTTCTTCATCTTGAGGAGGATACAGCACAAACATGGAATCCTGAAGAAAGAGATTCACTCAAATATTATCAAATCTACTCAACAAATACAATTAAAAATGTGCAGGAGGCTGAGAGAACAAGATGTTAATTATCTTCACATGCCAAGTTCCCTTTTGAGATTAATCCCTTTATTAAAAGTGAAAAAAGATCTACCTGTCTGTTTTCAAGTCTTGCTTGTTGATTATTATTGTCAACAGTATCCAATGGAACGCGTGAGAGTAACGATGGGAGGAGAGGATCAGCAACAGAATTCCGTAAATCAAATACTGAGCTGGCCCAGCTTCCTCTTGGTGTGTCAGAGAGATGTGAGGAATGGCGGCTACCTCCAACATCATGCTGCAAAATAAACTGTGTTAATGTTGCCCTAATAATTTTAACATATATAGGAGATATTTCCAAAAGCTTATTGGCCAGCATCAAACAAGCAAATTTAACTTATACTCAAAACAAATTCATAAAAGAAAGTCTTATAAAGTATTACAGTTAAGCCATAGTTCAGCAGAATTACCTAATGTAGAACTGTAATGTAAATGGAAAGTCTGATAAATGAAAAATCCAACTTGGAAAACAATACTGATAAATCAATAAATGTATATTACAGTAGACTAGAGTACAGTAGTATAATCAATTGTGAGAAAATTGGAAACCTTGTTATCTAAAAAACAAAATACTGTACAGTACATACTCTATCTGCATCACTGTGCCTAGGATCATCCTCCAAGTCAACTTCAAACTCAGGCTGTGGACAGGACTGTAAATTTGCCAGGTGGTCTGGAGTTAACTGACTGCGGCCCGGGACAGAAGTGGAATACTGAAGGTACTGGCGACTGACATACAACCAATCCCTGGTGTAGCAGCGAACACAGTCTGCTACATGGGCATCATAGCCATCCCTGGGGATATTTTAAGAAATGTTATTACATTGGATTTTCTGACCTCTTTAAAGAGCTAAGAATATATTTCAATGTTTTTCATTGATGCACTTTGCAAGGTGGCTGCTGACTGGCCCTTCAAAATCTCAGGAGAGTCCCCAGCCAACCTTATCTAGAGCCCATGTACCTGCCCAAAGAAAGCTACAGAGAGCAGTTTGGTGTAAAAGGCCTTCCCCCACCCAGTTTTACTATACAATAAGTGTGGAGGACAGTACTGTACATACATTAATGTTGAGTGCTTATAAATACACTGATACTACTGTTACTTCTTTCTGGTGTACATTATTTCAGACAAAAATATAAAATCTACAGCAAGAAGTTTTCACATTTTGGAAAAGGTGTTTACCTCATATACAGTACCAGTAGAGTGAGGTCACACTCTACATTACTTGGAGATACTGGTGGGTGGCAAAGGCTTTGTTACAGTGAAATTTCTGTTGTTTCAGAACATCCTATCCAATAATAATCCAGTGCAAGTACATACAAGGTACTACATTCCAAGTGATGCTAACCAATCTATAATATTCTAGTGAAGTTAATTTCTCTAGTAACACAAAGAGCCATGGAGTAAGAGTAATGGTAGTTGACAGATTTAACTTTAGTTTCTATTTTGGATGCATCAGAAATACAGTAGAATATGAGAAAAAGCAAAATTTCATGGAATTTGTTAGGATACTAGTGATAACATAAACTACAAAATATAACAGCAAGATAATATGGGGGTATTCATAGAATGGTTATGCAAAAACTTAAAACTGAATGCAGTACTATAAGTAAGAGACAATATGAGTCTTCACAAATAAGACTTCTTCATAAACAATGTTCCTGTACAGTGAGAATACCAAAGAGAGTAAAGATTGAAAAAATACATAATAGGTGAAAAGACAGACAATAATACAGATATACAGTACTGTATAAACAAATACACATACAGCTGCAACTTCCAGACAAGTGAATTACTAACCCTTCTTCTGGAATGACTGGTTGCAGAGTGCGGATCTGCCGTGGGATTAAAGTGACTACAATATCATCAGGTGGGAAGTAGAGTATCTTTCTTACTGGATCACGGTCGGCCTCCAGCTGGTGTTGGTCGAGGAAATCCTCATAATCAATAGGATCCACATTTTCTTGTAATGTGTCATGCTGGAAGTGCACAACAATCAAATACTGCACATCATTAAACACAATTATGAAGTATGAGACACCACGGCCAAACTGAAAACCTTTTACCAAGTTCAAAAATGGACTTTAGATGAAGCAAATACAATTAATAGGTCTGACTATCAAAATGTAATGACTGATATACGTACACCTTATGAGGTTCTACTCCTGTCTTCTATTCATTGTGACTCGGATCATTATTAAATAAATACATTCAACCTTGTTACCTGTTAAAGGGAGCTTTTATTGTCTTTGTAGGTATTACAGAGCACCTGTTTACCCCTCTTTACTGTGCAGAACATTGTCTCATCAACAAATTCAAACCAAATAACAGAAAACAAGAAGTTTGACCTGCATTAATTACATGTTTCATAGGCAATGAATGTTCAATTAGACAACTCTACAAAAATCCCATAAAAGTTACTGTATACAATATAGTACAGTATTTACAATTAACTTTACTGACAACAATTAGATCAATGATAATATGTTATAGGGTCCTGAAAACAAGCACAATATTACCCACTTGGGTTCATATTTCTAAATCAAACAAAGATTTTGTCCCCCAAGGACAAATGACTTGAGCCACCCATCAAATCAAATAATTTAATAGAATTGCCAGAAGGTTACCTCAGACTAAGTGGATATAGGAAAATTTTCAAGTTTACCTCAAGTAAATATGCAAGAACTGATCAACCCCAATGTGTCTTGTTAAGTGCAATACTAAAGAATTACATATACAGTACAGTACAGTGCTATACAGTATATTCAGAGTGTTACTTACTGTTGAGAGTGTTGATACACTAGCAGAACGAGGTGGATCCTTCCCTGTTGTCACTGAGCTTACTGTCCTTCGCACATCAGCTGCATGTTGCCTGTGGAGAATTATATCATTTTTTATCACCTAATACACTACACTTAAGTATCAACAAATACTGTAAAACTTTGATTAAAAGCAGAAAAGAAATGAAGGGCTGATCCTGAAATTATATTTCACTCAATATAACCAACTTTAGACTAAGTGAGGAAACTTCAAGGTGAAAGGGCAGCAAAAATTGGTGTCTTTCAGGCAAAAAGTTGATTTATTGGACTAGGTTGGAAGTGGTCAGAGTGTGGCATCAGTGAATCAACATTATGGCATCAACAAATTGGCTGTGCACTATATTACGAAAACTGAGCAAAGCATAATGGCTAGCAGGACAGAAAATGCCCCAAAGAATGGACAATATGGAAAAGCCCTATGCCTGTGGATCAAATATCAGACACAAAAGGTAGCCCTGGGTGGCCAGGCCATACTAGAGGAGTCCAGACACCTACAGAACAGTACATATATATGAGCATCCAGTGCAGGTGTTTGGTGGTGAAGGGGTTAGTACAGAAGAGTACTGTGTTAGCTCAAATATGGTTAGCTTTGTGCGAGGGGACCCTCTTCCTCTTTCCCCATGAGCCTTTAGTATCAACATTCAGTTTCACCATTTACAGTGATCTTAGGGATGTAACTCCCACAAATACCAAGGGTATCTTCAACTATCAATGGTCCTTTACCTTCACATGTTACCAGGTTAGGTTAGTTAGTTCATTTTTTATTTTAAATGATGGTTTTATTATTTTCACCCAAATTACTTCTCCTTCAATATTAATACCCATAAATTGGGCAGTACTTTGAAGATACAAAATGTAGGGTTAAAAAAGTAAAATATACAGTAGCACTTTACCTTACTTTACAAATGTTAAGCATTTAAGTGTTTCTTTCATTGTTCTCGGCAGTTGACAGAAATGTTACAAATGTCCAACCTCTCCTTACAATAATAAGGCAGTATTACATACTCTAACCAAACCAACCTAACCTAATTAATAAACTTACTCATTTATTAACGAAAGAAAGAGAAATGGGCCATAACGAAAAAAAAAAAAAATTACACAAGAAATAGTTTACACCAGTGGGTAGGGAATAAAAATACCTTAAAAACCCATGTTTCATTGTTGGGTTGAAGAGACAGTGTTTTCAATACAGCTTCTCCCCGACTTACGACCTACTCGACTTACGACCACCCGCACTTACGACCTGCCTCAGTTGCACCAAAATTTTGTCAAATTACGTATTTTCGAGTCCCAACGTCAGTGATTCCACTGTGTACAGTACTGACAAAATTTTCGTTTGTAATTCACTTTAAAATGGCTGGCAAGCTTAAAACTGAGAGTTTTTAGTGATGAGAAGAAAAAGAGATAGTACAGTATTTAAACATTTTCGACTTACGACCTGGATTTGGGTCCCTAACCCTGTCTTAAGTCGGGGAGAAGCTGTATAACTAAAGTAAAGCTAAAATTTGAATATTTAAATAAAGTTTTCAACATTTTTGTGTTATCTTTGGTAAAATTGATTTCCTGTGTACTTTTAGCTGCATAACTGCACTGCCTATGTATACATAACATATCTACAATATCTATACAATGTACAGTCAAAAAACTTCTCAAACAGCTTGGCACAAGATTTCAGAATGAGCACTCTGGCTCTTGTTATCTCAGAATGGTTGGTATGCCTGGTTGTGAAGTGACTCTCAATATTTTGTATATGTGTTGTTCCTCTTTATAGTATTTACAGGTGAAAAGTAATTCAATTTACAATAAAACTTTCTCGGAGAACAATGTTCAGATATCTCATTCGTTTTGTCATAGTGTATGACGCTAAGAGGTTAGAGCGTTCGATAACTATTTGTACTGCCTGTGCACTGTCATTATACTGTACCTACAATATCTGGTAAAATTTCACTTATTGCCACTATACAAAACTGAAGTTGAAACTATGTTTTTCCAATGACTTTTCATGTGTTATGAACGAATTTGACCTCCATTTCTGGTGCAAATCAATAATTTGAGATAAGCCCCCCTTCCCATCTCTGAATCTAGAGATTTACAATAAAAATCAAGGTAATAAGTGTTCAAAACACATTGAAAGCCATAGGAAACAGTTTTGAGTCTAACCTAACCTAACCTAACCGGGGAGCTTCACAGTCGACAATGCACAGGCCAACCGGCCTAATGCAGACTCCTTATGTTCTTATCTAAAACAGAAAGAAAACAAGCGAAAAAAAAAATTTTCATGTGAAAAACGGTCATGCGTGGATAACGAAAAATGACCTAAGAAAATGCCTTAGAATTGTCAAAGCTACTGATTGCAAATATAAAATTCCTGAGATTCGTTTAGTGGCAACAAGTGAAATAATACACAATAGAGAAAGTATGTACACATGCTGGACCAGTGAGAACTTATTAACAATTATTAACTGACCCGCCGGTTCTTTAACATAGTAAACGATTATAAAAATGCCACAATTTCAGTGTTGTTTAGAGCAGGGGTTCTTAAACTTTTTTCAACCAAGGACCCCTTATATATCATGACGCATACAAATATTGTCAATAATCAAAGAATAAATCATAGTCCAAAGCATTTGTTCATTTCAACCCAAATCCAAAATATCCTGCCAATTGGAATCGCCAATTCTCTCACAAATGTTAAACGCACTATTTCTCAAAATCTTTTCGCGGACCCCAGTTTGAGAATCACTGCTTTAGAGGACACGGTCGTAGTGTGCATTTTTTTTAACCTAACCTAACCTAACCTAACCTTACCGTCAAGAAGATAAAGTAGTGAGCAGCTTAGGCATCTAAATATCTACCAAACGAAGCATTTACACAAGAAATGATTATCACATCAGTACAGCACTCATTGATCTATCTACTGCATTTGTATGTGTTGCAACTATCCTACTGCCAGTTTGATCTGCGAGTGGCTCAGCTGTTTAGATCCTTCAGTGTCTCCCTCCTGTACTAAGAGAAGGAGTAGGACATACCCTCACAACACCTCCCAGTATAATGAACAAATATTTCCTGTCACTATTTGACGCGTCAGCCAAAACTTTAGATAGTCTTTAATGGCAAAGTTTTATCCGCTATAAGTATAAAAACAGTGAGGATGATTCTTCTAAGAATTAGTGTGTTATATTAGGTTATTATTGACTTACTTAGACAGTTTCTGGGCGAAGGCCCTCTGGCCCGACGCCATCTTTGACAACTATCACTGAATTCATTAAGGCGTAAAATAAATATTTAAATGGTTTTATTATTTATCAAGTTCCAGTCATAGTACTATAATTTAATATTAAATTTTATTGATATTGATATTTCTTAATATTTATGTATGTAAAAAGTAAGACAAAAAATAAAAATCTTGAATGAATGATGCAGAGGAGATGACTTTAGTGAAGTAAATAAAGTAACATCGTCTAGTAGTTCACATTAGTTCAGCAAATAAATATACACAGGCAATATTAAACAGTGTGTAGTATTAAGATAACATCCGTGCTGACGTTTATAAATAAAAAAATTATTCTACCCCCTTCTCTACTGCATTTGGTGTTATTACAGATAAGAGCAGTTTTCAGTAGCTGACAGATCTGAGGAGTGGGGAAGGGAATAGAAAAAAATATGTTTATAAAACTACAGCACGAATGTTTAATGCTACACACTCTTCGAGATTACATAAGAACATAAGAAAATAAAAAGTACATTAGGGCGGTTGGCCTGTGCATGGCAGCTCCCGTCGAGAGTACAATCACCCTCTATCGTCCATGAATCTATCTAGCCTCCCTTTAAAAATTTCCAGCGTCCCAGCACTTACTACAAAGTTGCTAAGCTTATGCCACTCATCTACCACTCTATTTGTGAACCAGTTTCTTCCTATCTCCCTCCTAAACCTAAACTTATACAACTTAAATCTGTTGCTCCGAGTCCTATCCTGTTCGGATATTATAAGGACTTTCTCTATATCCCCTTTATTGATTCCTTTCACCCACTTAAATATTTCTACCATATCTCCCCGCACTCTTCATCTTTCTAGGGAATGCAAGTTTAGTTTCTTTACTCTATCTTGATAGGAAAGGTTTTTAAGTCCCGGAATCATTTTCGCCATTCTTCGCTCCACCGACTCCAGTGAATTGATATCCATTCTATAATAAGGGCACCAGAACTGAACCGCATAATCGAGGTGCGGCCTGACTAGCGCAAGGTATAATTGCAATATGACCTCCGCACTCTTATTGCTTACACTTCTCGATATAAAATCTGATACTCTGTTTGCCTTATTTCGAACATTAACACACTGTTTTTTAGGCCGAAGGTCCGGGCTTATGAGTACCCCTAGGTCTCTTTCACAAGTCGACTTCTCTAGCTCGATGATATTAAGGCTATGCATATTTATTTGCTGAACTAATGTGAACTTGTTAGACGATATTACTTTATATAAAGAAAGAGAACCGGAAAGTGGTCGGTACTTTAATACAAATATATGATTCACTTCTCACGAACTGTACAACACTTGCAAAACTGGAATTGCAGCAAAGAGAATCCTGTCCTGGTTAAATGTTAAGGATAAAATCAACTCAGCACAGAAAAACAGCATGGCTTAGTAGCCATCTACTGGGTTCAAGGATAGAGGAGAATATTAGACGAGATAGATAGACAACGTTTAGGAAGATGCAAGCTGCCGTAAAGCATGAAAGCTGTTGCCGGTATTGCTCTGACTGCATAGTCAAGGTGAAAGAGGCAATTACAAGCCATGGGGGAACGAGTTCCCTAGGGACGAAAATAGATGAAGCTGGAGCCTTGCTGGCTGTCAAACTAGAAAAAGTTGGGAAAGAGATCCTTGCTGAGACTGAGGAAGTAGCCAATAGAATGGAGGTGGTTGCTAAGAGGAGTTATGCTGAGGCATTAGCAGGGCCACGGGAGGTGTCGGAGAGTAATGCAGGATCAGAACAGGTTCTACAGCAGCTAGGGACTCTGAAGAAGTGTGTCGAAGAAATGAAAATTAACAGACCTACTGTTAGGGGAGAGGAGGAACAACGGGAACGTTTCCAGCGCAGGAACAATGTAATAGTTTTTGGAGTCCCTGAGAGCCAAGCGGATAGAACTGAGAGTAAGATAACACACAATAAGATGCAATTAAAGAATATTTGTACAGAGGTTCTGAAGATACCATCAACCCCTCAGGACGTGAGGAGGCTGGGACAAAAGCAGGGGGATAAGCTTCGCCCCTTCAGGATCACACTAGTGAGTGAGGAGGAGAAATAGGAGGTTATTCGGCAGGCAAAAAACTTAACAAGGATCGAGGCATCTCGGAATATATTCATTCACCCAGATCGCACTGTAATGTAGAGGGAACAGCACAAAAAGCTCCTGCAGGGCTTGAAGCAGAGAAGGGGAGAGTCGAGGAGGAACGGGGACGGGTGTACATGGGTTATATTCAGGGAGAGTGTAGTGGAAGCAAGTGTTCCGACACAGGGCCAGGGGGCAGCAACGCACCCTCCGCCCACAAATTTTGGCTTGAATGTCGTGTACACTAATACTGACACGTTCCTTGATAAGAGAGAGGAGTTTGAAATACTACTGAAGGTACACCAACCAGATATTGTAGGAGTTGTAGAACTGTTGTGCAAGAACGGGAGAATCGACCCAGAGGAATGTGAGTTCAGTATTGCTGGATATGACTCATTTACGAACCTTTCTCAAGAAACCTGCAAGAGGGGTGTGGTTATCTAAGCTTGGCAAGACCTTAGAGCCAGCCAGGCGAGGGTACAGAGAGAGGATGTTTTTGAAGAGTCCAAGTGGTGCAAAATTAAATCAAAGGGAGGGGACTTACTTATCGTCGGGTGTATCAACAGATCCCCAAACTGTGACCCATTAAATCAAAGGAACTTAAGAGCCTAAATAGACAACGCGGCGATGCTCAACCCTAGCCACCTCCTTATCATGGGGGACTTTAACTATGGCGACATCGACTGGAGAAACGAGTTCACCCCAAATGACTTAAATAACCCTGCTACTCTTTTTGTGAAAACCCTGAATGATAATTTTCTGTTTCCACATGTTAGAGACCCGACACATTACAGAGGGGAGCAAACATCCAAGCTACTTGACCTCATCATAACAAACGAGGAGGGTATGGTGGCCAAACTGGAACACCTTGCCCCAGTTGGCACCAGTCACCATATAGTGTTGTCATTCAGATTTAACTGTTACCTAGTTCAAGATAAGGCCAGGCCAAGGTGCAAATATTACAAGGGAAATTACAATGGGATGAAAGAAGAGATGAGGGGTATCAACTGGCCTGACTCATTAAGGTACAAGAACGCAGACACTACGCTGAATATCAAAACTAGTAAAGTGACCCATTTGATCGATAAATATATCCCCAAGACCAAACCCAGTGCCTCTAGGATTTCGAGGGGTGTATACGCATCTCAAGGGGCACTACTCAGTCGAGTGTCCTTACTTGGAGCTGGCGGACGGTCGCCCCACAAGGGGTCACAGCTCAAAATTGAAGAAGCCGCAGGTCCAGAAAACTCTGAGGGCAAACTTTTTCGGAGTGGGAGTTGTGAATTCTTGGAAAAATCTACCAGAACGTGTTGTGACGGCACCGAGTGTGAGCTCTTTCAAGACCAGACTTGACCAACACTGGAGCAGGTTCAGGTACATTCAGGAGCCGGTGCATGCCCAGTACTTGCCAACAGTGCGTAACAGAGACCTGACCGATCGCCCAAGCGGCTAACGAGTCGATCAATTGGTGAAGAGGATAAAAGAAAAAGAAAAGTAACAGAGACGTGACCGATCGCCCAAGCGACTAACGAGCCGATCAGTGGTGAAGAGGATAAAAGTAAAAGTTAAGTACTACATGGACTTCATGACGGCCTCTAAACAGCTTCTTCGTTGGTGTCTGTAAAAATTCTTGGTTTTCATCTTTCTTGTAAGGCAAATAAGCCACAAGCACAGACAACTGTCAGAGTTTGGAATAACAGATGTGCACCCTTGGAATAACCTGCCAGAGAATGTTGTAATTGAACTAAGAGTGAGCACATTGAAAAACACTGGCACATGTTCAGGTACTGTACATCTAAAAGCCCGTACTGTACACGCCCAATTCTTGTCAGCAGTGTGTAGCAGAGAACTGGCCGACCGACCAACCAGCCAGTAAGCTGACCAAGGACGAAGTGAAAAACAGACAATGTGATTAAACGTGAATGGATTCATGCGTGACAAGTGTAGCGGCATCCCACACGGAACTGTACGAGGCCAGTATAGAAGGAGGCATTTTATTAAAATATTGTCAAGAAGCAGTAACTGGTGTGTAGGTGTACTGGTGTAGACAGTGAGTGTAGAGATGTAAACAGTGAGTGTAGATGTGTAGACAGTAGCGTGGGTGTATCAGCACTACTTTGGGTGGATCACCTGTTTTATGATTCATCACACACCGTTATCACCCCACAACAGCAGGAAATATAAAAAAAAATCTACTTTTCCTTATACTGCAAAGCGACCTTAAACAAGATTCGGATTTTACTCTGGTTGATAGAACGTTAATTTTTTTAATGTAGCTTATGGTTGAGTGAATCTACTGTAGTGCTGGTTGAGTTGTTTGGTGTAACTTATTAAAATGTCGCCACATAGGTGTAGTGAGGGTAAGAATAAGCAGGAGAGCCTAAGGGGCGCGACACGTCCTACCCTGACGTGGCGTTGCTGCTTGGTATATACCCTTCAGTTTTTGTTTCACCCTGATTTGTTGTTGGTACTTCCTTCATATTATATCATGTTCATAGGAGTACAATGTAAATTACATCTAAAGCACCAGTATCATGTTGTATATATATGGGAGGTGAGCACTAGGGAGTAACTATAATAGCCGGAGGCAGGCTAGTGAGAGGGTGGTACCAGGCGGCGCTTCAAGTTGGTAGTTGAGTGGTGGTGCTCGTCTTGATCACTCTTCTCCTCCATGGGTACTTTTGTAACCAACAGGTATGTGAATATATATATATATATATATATATATATATATATATATATATATATATATTTGTTTTTCAATATGTTTCGTCTCGTTCTTCGCGCCAGTGTAAAAAAAAAAAGTAGTTGGATCTTTCCAAAAATTGTACAATGAATAATCCGTGACACGCACACTGAAACTCATTTATTACGTAGATAAGCAACATATGACTGCAAAGTAAGAATTGTAAAGATATTTGGTTATCTAAATCTTCATTAACTTAAAAAGTACACTTGAGTTATGTTTAGCAAGCGTAACATTCGAGCATTAATAATGGTAATCATTTGCACTGAACAACTAATTTGTTATTTGTGACCGTTATTATAAATTCAATAATAAACATTGTAGCTTTGAGTATATACTGACTTTATTTTTATGTTCGTATTACCGTACATCAGGATTAGATAAAAGATACACTAATTCAACAAACTGTAGTTGCTGAATTAAAAAAAAACAATAATTAACACATAATTTGTGTTACAATAACAGCGGCTACAGGTACAATGCAACTACTAGTGGTGTATTTTTTGTATTGGCAACAGCTAAAATCACAACTTAATACAGTACTTCATTTATTACAATAAAAAAAAAAAACCAATGACTGCTACTATACTAATGCTTCTATTGTTAGGCCTACTACTACTACTACTACTACTACTACTACTACTTTTAAGTCTATTACTACCACTACTACTACTGTTAGGCGTATTAGTGCTACTACTATAGGACTACTCTTAGGCCTACGACTAAAATTTTTATTAGGCCTACTATTACTACTACAACTACTGTTAATATTACTACTGTCAGCCCCATTACTACCAAAACTACGGAAATTAGTTATGTTTATCAGTTTATGAATGGCAGTAAAAAATTGGAGACAGTATTGGGTAAGTTTGTTAATAATTTAATATATTATCAGTCCTTGAACATGTGGTGGATCATCTAAAGATCCCCCCCCCCTTCCCACCACAGATTATTTCTTTTCTTTTATCCTCTTCACCACTGATCGGCTCGTTAGCCGCTTGGGCGATCGGTCACGTCTCTGTTACGCACTGTTGGCAAGTACTGGGCATGCACCGGCTCCTGAATGTACCTGAACCTGCTCCAGTGTTGGTCAAGTCTTGTCTTGAAAGAGCTCACACTCTGTGCAGTCACAATACTTTTTGGTAGATTGTTCCAAGAGTTCACAGCTCTCACTCCGAAAAAGTTTGCCCTCAGTTTTCTGGACCTGCGGCTTTTTCAATTTTGAGCTGTGACCCCTTGTGGGGCGAGCTTCCGCCAGCTCCAAGTAAGGACACTCGACTGAGTAGTACCCCTTGAGATGTTTATACACCTCAATTAGGTCGCCCCTTGCCCGTCTGTAGTATAGGCTAGGCAAGTTCAGGCGCTCCAATCTCTCAGGGTAGCTGATGTGCTGAAGTGCGGGCACCAGTCTGGTGGCCCTCCTTTGAACATTTTCAACCAACTGACAGTCCCTAGCATATCTCGGGGACCAGACGGGGTGACAATACTCCAGATGGGGAAGCACTGCACTCCTGAAGATCGTTACGAGGGACGGACCGTCTAGATATCTGAACGACATTCTTATAAGACCCAATAATTTATTTGCCTGATTTACTTTCTTTTCGCAATGGCCCGAGAACTTCAGCTCATTGTCAACATTCACACCTAGGTCCTTCTCACATTCAGTCTCAAATAGTGCAGTTTTTTCATCCCGTTGGGACATACGCCTCCTTACCGTTGGTACGCCCCAGGTGCATCCTCTTACACTTCGTGACATTGAATCTCAGCAGCCATTTCTTCGACCATTCTTGGAGCCCACAGAGGTCCTTCTGCAGCTCTTCACAGTCCGCTTGGTTCTTGATTTCCCGAAATAACCTGGCGTCATCGGCAAACATTTGTATGGAGGAGTGTACAACGTCAGGCATGTCATTTATGAAACTAACAAACAACAGCAGGCCCAACACACTGCCCTGTGGTACCCCGTTTGTGACAGGTACAGACAATGATTTTGTGCCATTAATCACCACACACTGCTTGCTGTCATGTAGAAAGTCTTCTATCCACGCTAAGATATTTCCCCGAATTCCGTACCCTTCCAGTTTAATTTTCAGCTTTTCGTGGGGTACACTGTCGAAAGCCTTGGCAAAATCTAGATAAATATTGTCGATATTACCACCCCGTTCCAGAATATGGGTCCAAATATCCAATACCTTGAGCCATTGTGTTCAGCAGGAGCGCCCCGGAATAAAACCGTGTTGGCAATCATTTACAAGGTTGTTTCGTAGTAGAAGTTCCATTGCGGCATCTCTGATAATACTCTCAAGTACTTTACATATTATGCTGGTCAGGCTCACCGGTCTATAGTTGTTCATGGAGTGACGATCGCCCTTCTTGAAGATAGGACTCACATAAGCCACTTTCCATTCACTGGGGACCTTTAGTTCATCCAGGTATTTACCAAACAGGATCTTCAGGGGCTCGGCAAACTCGTTGCACAACTCTCTTAGCACTCTAGGATAAAAAAAAGATAAAAAAATAAATAAAGGAAAAAAACCCAGTACTTAGCTCCCCTTTGCTGGATTTAACCTCCCCTGTTGCCTTTAGGGATGTGTTCTATTTTTTCTTCTCTTCTTTTTTTTTCAGTTTACTTCGGCTGTTTGTCAGTATTTATGTGCTCTCTCTATGTACACTGCATTTGGCTATGAATAACGGATTTTATGCACCCACTCAGTCCTTTAGAAACACATAAAAATAAAATAAACTTTCTTTGGGGCTGTAATAGAATGTCTTTACGGATAGCCAAGTTTGTTGATTTCATTTAATTTGTTTTATTTTAACTAGTATTTCCTTATACTTTCTTTTCCTGTTTTCATTGACGACTATATATCTTTGTGCTATAACTGTGTACACTGTATCTTTCTGTGAATGGTGTAACGTAGGCACAGTTTCAGTCCATGAGAAAGCACACAAACAAAATAAAATTTAAAGTTTCTGTGGCACCTATAACACGACTTGGTTTCAGCTGGCAGTGGTGCCTTTCCAGCTTGCTTCCCAATTTGTATTCACTTAAAGTTATTTACAACCTCTTCCGTGGTCACTGATGACACTATGAACTGATTTAACTAAAGGCACAGTACTACACTCCCTGGTTGGCCTTTATCACAGCCATGACCACAACTCCGTAAAAAAATAAGTATATAAAAGTTTTGTCATATGGCAATGATTTTGTGGTTGTATGCCTCTTGACCTGGGCTGTACCTCCAACTCGGTGGAGAGTGAATTTTCAAAAATACAATCGCATCTAGCATTAAAAATCCTACATCGATTTACATTTTCACATCACTAAGACGGTCTTGATGATCTTATGTAATCACTGTCCAATTTCTGCAGCTCAACAACGAAGGCCCGATTGCCGAACACGCTTTGTTACAGAGACTCAACACGACCCGACCCGCCCCAGACACACTTCAACGATTCAGGTGTCTAAACAACAACTGAAGTGATGGTTTAACACACACACACACACAAGACATACCGTCTTCAGCCTTCATGGGGTGAGGACATCTGTACTCGGCGCTGCCCTCTCAAGCGGCCGTGGTCTTTTAAGCCATGAAGACAGCTGCCAGTCTGGTCTGTCGGGCCTTCCCCTTCCCCATTTCCTCCTCCCCATCGGGATTTATCAACATCTTCCCACCAACAGTATAGGGCATATATTGATGATCAACCCACAACTGATATACAAAAGTGACAATTTCAACTCGAAAGAAAGTAACAACTGTTGGAGTGACAATCAGTGCTTAGAGGTCAATGGTGACCTGACGCGGATCTGACACCCAGGGTCCGCCGTACACCCACCACCACCAACACTGGATGAGAAGCCAAGAAAGACTCCAAACTACATCAGGAGATAAATGAGGACTCCCTACTCCACCCAGGTAGGGAACTATGAATACCAAACTACATCACATGAGGAACAAGAACCACCTCCAACACCCTGTGTGAACTGAAGGTCCTACCCGGACCACGTGGTGGGTGTACTAAACATCTGCAGCTGTTAATTATTATTATTATTTTTAAAACCAGACGCCGTAATGAACTGACGTAGTGAAGTGTACAGTCAAATAAGAATGTCGGTTCACACTGTTGCAGGATGGCGTGGGTGTGGGTGGCGATGGGTGTAGTGGCCGTGGGCGTGGTGGCTGAGGAGGAGCAGCCGCGGGTGGTGACGCCGTGGGGCACCTTCCTTGGCAAGTCGTACACTTCTGCCAGGGAGGGCCGCCAGGTTTACGCCTTTACCGGCATTCCCTACGCCAAACCTCCCTTGGGCGACCTCAGATTTAGGGTGAGTGTACCTACTCTATTTTGTTGATGTAACGTCTTAAGGATCATTCAGTGCGTTTCATCGTCTTTCTGCAGGTCTGCAGCCTTCAGTACAACAAAAAAGACATCCAGCCTAGTTCAAGATAGCAGCGTATTCTGTCCATCAATAACTTAGATTCCCATCCTAAACTTGTAGAGCTCAGTGCCTTATTCATAACCATCTGGTGAATTCCATTCTACCTACCATCATAAGGCCTAACACCCCTTTTCAGTAACATCACAGACTTATGACTTCATCCTAACTTTATAGTGCCAGCAGCACATCAGGTCATCTTCCTCCATAACTTAATCTCGTGTCAGACTCACATATAACCATCATTACGACCTTGCAGGAGCCAGTGCCTTACGGTGCCCACTTGACACCCTTCAACGCGACGGGTGACTCTCCCGCCTGCCTTCAATGGGACAACCTACGTGGTCGAGGTGCCGTGGGACAGGAGGACTGCCTCTATCTTAACGTATACACCAATACAGTGAGTAAACTCTACTGTAAAACACACACACACACACACTTGTATGACACATCCAAGTGCATAATATTTGCTTTATCCTCTTCACCACATGTCAGCTATAACATAATCTGTATCAGCTACATGGTCGTTCTTATGTTGCAGTTGACACAGCCGCCGATGTTCTACAACACACAGCCAGTGGTGATGTTCCTGCACGCTGGCACCTGGATGGCCGGTAGTGGCGGAGACGGCCTCTTGCAGCCAGACTACATGCTTGAGTCTGACGTTACTGTCGTCACCATCAATCACAGGCTGGGACCCTTTGGTAAGTGGTCACCATCACAGGCTGGGACCCTTTAGTATGTGGTCACCATCACAGGCTGGTAGTCTTTGGTAAGTGCTCACCATCACAGGCTGGGACCCTTTAGTATGTGGTCACCATCATTGGCTGGTAGTCTTTGGTAAGTGCTCACCATCACAGGCTGGGACCCTTTAGTATGTGGTCACCATCACAGGCTGGTAGTCTTTGGTAAGTGCTCACCATCATTGGCTGGTAGTCTTTGGTAAGTGCTCACCATCACAGGCTGGGACCCTTTAGTATGTGGTCACCATTATAGGCTTGTGCCCCTTGGTAAGTGCAAACTATCACAGGCTGGTACCCTTTGGTAAGTGCTCACCATCACAGGCTGGTACCCTTTGGTAAGTGCTCACCAGAATTAGTGTTTAACGGAATATCTTAAATATGAAACAAATTGATACCTTAAATACCGGAAACATTCATATTTTATTCTACCAAGTTATAAGTCATAAGTTGGTGACACATAAATGAATCTCGAATTTCATTCACGATAAAACTACCAGCCCTGTAAGTATGTACTCGACACATTAGCACGCACACACGCTATCAATACCACATTTAACTCATGTCCAGCCTTGAGTAATATAAACAATGCAACATTTGTATCTAGGTTTCCTGTCTACGGAGGACCAGGAGAGCCCAGGCAACTTCGGGCTGATGGACCAGGTGGTGGCGTTAGAGTGGGTCAGGAACAACATACGTCACTTCGGCGGCATGAATGACTCCATCACCGTCATGGGGTCTGGGGCGGGAGGCATCAGCGTTCACCTCCTCGTCCTCTCCCCCAAGACTCGCGCCGCTTCCATTTACCCCGACGATCTGTGTGAGTGTTACTGTGGTGCTCATTTTCTTCAAAATGCTGTGTTTCAAGGGCCGTTTCGTGGCATCTGTGAATGAAAACGAACAATCACTGACTTTTCATCAACAGAAGCTGCACAGTGGATCTTGCAACACTAACACTGTCAACATGGCGGACTTTTCTGCCTAATCACAACTGTGTAAGTGAAAGAAATGGAAGAAACGAAGCTTCAAATTCTGATCTAATTACAGAAACTCCTAGGGTAATTTACATAATCTTTCACCCGGCAGGTTTATTCCACAAAGCCATCTCCCAGAGCGGAACAGCATACAGCCCCCACGCCATCGTGAGGAATGCCCGATCCCAGGCCCTCAAATTTGGCCTCATGCTAGGCTGTCCCACTGCTACCTCCCAGGACCTTATGCGTTGCCTCAGGTCTATCCCAGGCAGTAAGATCGTCGACCAAATGCCATCAATGTATGTGAGTATTTCTGATATACCAAGTTGGGATACGGAAAGTGGCTTCTTATATATATATATATATATATATATATATATATATATATATATATATATATATATATATATATATATATTAACGCCTCACTCTTTATTTTTCTTAATTTAGTAGTGATCTTTTTTTTTTGCCACTGATTCACGACCAAAAAGCAAAGTTAAATGTTGGTAATGTTCTGAAACACTCGTGTTACAACAACGTAAAGCTTGAATACTTAACCTTCCATGCATCATCTCTCGGTTTGATATTGACAAGATGAGATTATAACGACCAAAACTTGTAATGTTAATTTCGATAACAGTTCTTCAGCACAATTAACACCTCTACGGCGAGTCTCTTATAATGACTCAAAAATATCGTACTGTTCAGTTTCTTAAAGTAAACTTAAATTCACTGAAAAATCACACACATAAAAGACCTCTTGTGCACAGTTCATACAGACGATTGTAACATGGACTTTAGTTTATCAAAAGTTTTCATACATTGAGGAATCCTGGTAAAGTTATCAGTCATCTCTGGGCTCATGAAGAGGCAAGTAAGGCGACAGGAATTTTGTTAGCGAGTGTACATATGAAAGATCTCTGAATATGCAGTCTTATGTTGTGTACTTTGCGTACGAAATCAAGCTTTCTGGAAGTGTACTAAGCTACTGTTTTCCTCGCGTATATTCAAGGATTTCTGGATGTAGAATCATCTGGTGTTTACCTTATAGTGCAATAAAAAGTTGTTTATTTGTGATGTTGGCAGGTATGGGATGAAGAACCAGTGCCATTTGGGCCCGTGATTGACAAATGGCAGGGAAACGAGGCTTTTTTGCCGGACGAGCCACACCACCTCATCCGTCACCAGCAGTTCCTCCAAATACCCTGGATGGTCGGCACTAACAAGAACGATGGTGCCTTTAGAGTTCAAGGTGAGACACTGCTTCAAGGGTCTAGGACCTAGACTCTAAGTAAAGGGTCTCGTGTTTTAATTGCACTTGTGTTCAAAATTGCCAGGGTTGCTGATATCATAATGTGATAGAAAAGTGAAACAAATATAAAAACTCAATAAAGTTTTCAGAATATAATTTTGTTAAAGAAATAAGAAAAGTTTATATTTTTAGAGATATCAATAATTTTACCGACCACTGTTGAAACTCAGTACTTGTTAAGAGTTGCACTTTAAATAACAGAATAAAAAACATTTACAAAATCGAAATAGTCATTTATAGTAGAATAACCTAAATGTGAAAATATATTTCCTCATATGCAAGTATAAGACGTCAACACCAATATTTGTCCCTCAAGTGTACTTACCTTGTGGCAGACGTTTTGAAGGATACTAGCTTGACGGAGCAACTCAACAAGCAGTGGGAGAAGTATGGTCCTATCCTACTCGACCTGAAGGAAACCTCCTGTAAGGACCCCGTTGAAATAGCGAACAGAATCCGCAAATACTACATGGGCAAGAAGAAGTTCGGTGAGGAGTCATCTCAGGAGTTTGTGGAGGTGAGTTGTTTGTTTTAGTTGGTCGCAAGACGGGTAATTGTTGCAATCTCACCTGCACAATAGTCTGATATATACGTTCTGATTCTGAAAGCTTCTCATACAGATATAATGAACATAACAGACATTTATATAATTTTTCTAGAATTCAGTTTTATAATCGATACATTCTTCATCATATACCTAATTTTGAGTCAACTTCTAATAAAATATTCGATACATATTTAAAAAATTTTGAAATAAAAATTGTGTAAACAAAAGCAAAATATTACACCTGCAACAAATCATAAGTCTAACGATGTCATCAAAGTTAGAAACACGAACTTAAAAAAACTGATTTTTCCTGAGATACACAGGCCTTTTCTGTTTCTGTATCCAGTCCACGCATTTTCCCAAAAGCAGGTTACGTCCATCGAGACCCTCGTCTACACAATCTGGCAGATTTATCCAAAGGCACCTTTCTCACTCATTATTCTACTTTATCCTCGTGTCTTGAAGAGATAGCTGCCAGAAAAACACATAGAAGTAACTCCAGTATTTTACTGACACAGATGCTGACAGACAGGTTTTTCCTATACCCGACGGACCACGCAGTTAAAGATCATAGTTACTACCTGAAAGGCAAATACTGCTACCGCTACGAGCTGGTTTACACTGGCCGCAAGTCCTTCCTCGACATCCTTCACCATGAGAGTCCACAGGAGGCCGCCACTTCAGCCTTCGGTAAGTTGTTCATATTATAATGTCTTTGTTTATATTATTCGAATCTCATACAATTGCTGGCCTCAAGACTTAACACCAGTATTAAAACCATGAAACAAAAACTGATGTTCTATCACACAAATTACTCAACATGTACAGTATATTGACAATGAAACCTGGTATAAAGTTCAGCATGAATATAGAAAATGCATAGCGCAAGATCGGATCCAGGGGGGGATCCTGAAGGTCTGGACCCCTTTCCATCAGAAAATTCCAATACTTTTTTATGTAGTATTGAACTCAGGTGTTTTGGTACAGTAAAAAGTAATTACTATTGACCCCAGAATTTCTTAATATCAAGTGTACAAAATGGCCTCAAAATTCCTATGATATTGGTCAGATTTAAAAAACCCAGCTGGATTGGCTCGCTGTGCTCGCCATGCTCCCGCACCCACAACTTCTTGGACTGGACCCTCCCTTTTGATAATCCTGGATTCGCCCCTGATCGGCATATAATATCCAATGTACCTAGACAGAACAGGCATACACACAATAGCAAACAGTTTCGACCAAGAATAAGCAACAAAACCAACAAGTACTTACATATATATCCAGTTGGGTCCTTTGCTTAGGTTTATTTACTTTTCTAGATATTTACTTCCTACTGTCACTTTTAATTAACTAAATAAGATGGTGTTGCTGACAGGAGCAGGACTGCCCAACCCCAGATTCCAAAACACGCGGGGCGCTCACGGGTGGGGCGTGAGCTTCTTGGATGAACTGCTCTACCTCTTCCCCTCCAGCAAACTCGATTTCGTCTACAAGCGAGACTTTAACTCAGACTCCGCCTCCCGGGTGTCCACACACATGATCATGTTGTGGACCAACTTCATCAAGGGAAGGTCAGTGGAAACACTAGCTGCTGTGTTTTGTAGAATATAAAATTGAGTATAATGTTATATGATATGAGAGCGATTCTAATGGTAGCCATGAAAATACGTAAAGACCATAATTATCGAGTAACCTATGCAAGTGTGTGTGTGTGTGTGTGAAACAAAAGTGATAACAGTGTAGTGCGGTTTACAGTGACCCGACGCCTGTCCTGGAGGGATGGCCAGATGACATATCACCGTGGGGAGCGTGGTGGGAGCCCTTCCTCGGGGGATACCTTTACTACCTGCAGATCGACCCAGATATGGATAGTAAAGACGTCCCACTCAAGGATGAACAAATGACCTTCTGGAATGACCTCCCGCTCTATGAGAACCGCGACCACAATGTTCTGAGGGACGAACTGTGAACAGATCGTCGATTCTAAGTGGAAAATAATTGGAAGTTAATGGGTTTATGCTCTGATAACTTCATTCTTTTCATGGGCCATTCCAAGTAGGTCAACGAGTCGTGCGTTAACATAGGTTAATGGTATAAAGTCGTCCAGATAGAGATAATAAATGGTCACCAACAGGTCTTGTGTTATCCCTCACAAACGCCATAACAGTATCAGCACACCACCAGGTGAAATATGCCGTATTTTACTGTAAACGAGTTGAATCTATTAAGACTAATAATAGCTTTTATAAAATGCATCTATATGATCCTTTATAATGGTTTCGTAAGTTACATATTTTGTGAACAATTGTATCGTATTCTGTGAAATAATAGACATCAATTTCTCCTATTGAATAAATATATAAATCCGTGGTCCAACATACAATAACGAATTGTCAAAAAATATTGGGAAAATACAGCAATTGTAACAATAAAGCCTTAACTGTTTAGTAGGTGAATATAATTATTCGGATTCGTGCGGAGATGAAAAGAAAAACTCGTCTCTACAGTATTTTCCCTCTCAGCCAGTATTTGCTGGAGGAGTACTGTATTGTTGTCACTGAGCAATAAAGGTGGGTCTAACATCGTGCAATTTTTCACTTAATTTACTTGACTCTGTCCTCTATGCTTGACTTTTATGAAGACATCATCTTGATTCGAGCTTATTCTTTGTTTGATGAAAGGTGTTGTTGGCCCACTGAACTCTGCTTTCAACCAAAGAAAGTTTTTTTTTTGCAGAAATATTTTGCTGTTATGTGTAAGGCTGATGATCCGCTAAATGGTGGTCAGCAAGAGGAAAGATTCTTTCAGACGAACCTTACACAACTAGCGATTTCTGTACGGCCCCCTCCATAAATCAAGGCTCCAAAATGTGTGCCCTCTGTATGTACTATAATTGATTATATGAGCTATATCTGTATTAAAGATTTATGTGAGTCCTGAGAGGGACATTCCTGGACTGGGGTGGAGATGACTTATGCCACTTCATCCCTTTGAGATTTTTTTTCTCAATAAACGTATCAATCAATCATCGCATCCGAGATAGCAGTTTTGTTTATATAATGTTTAACCCTTACCATTGGTTTTTCGCAATATTATATATTTTTTGTTTGATCCAAATGCCTAATTATGTAGTTAAAAAGTATTCGATAATAATTTATCAGGACACCATTCATACAGCTGTGTGGTCCCCAGAGTACTGCTAAGTTTGGTCTTCCTGCAAAAAAGGTTGAGTACCACTGCGGGCCCACTGTGTTGGCGAGCGCTGGAGGTCGAGCATTTATTTACGTCTCCACCTCCATGCACACCATCACCTGCATAGATAACAAAAGGGTTGCGATTGCCACAGAGTCGTGTTTTGTTTTAAAGTTTCTTGTATGTTTTTATTTTTAATAGGCCAGCTTTGCAGACTACATAATACTGTAAGTGTATGACGGGCACTCTGTATGTCCGTTAATATTTTGGTGCCCACGGTCCAACAGTTTCTCTGTGGCTGTCGGCCACACTAGAATAACCCGTTATAATATATACTTCTTTCCTCACACAGCCAAACTGTGGAATAATCTGCCTTCTTTTGTGTTTCCATACTCATACAACCTGTCTCACTTTAAAAGGCTGGTTTTCCGGCATCCTCGTGGCGTAGATTAATATAATACTTTTTTCTTTTCTATTTCTAATTTCTTTTTACTCTTATTTTTTCGCCCCCTAGGTCCCGTTGTGGGTCGATGACCTGTGCCAGGGTGGGCTATTCCCAGTTAACAAAAAAAAAAATCCAAACATTGTACTGTACCTTCATCACACTTATAAACTGCCATCAGATATATGCAAATGCCTATTTATTTGGGGATCTAACATGGGTAAATGGTTAAAATGTCTTCAGGCTTAATATTTGCCTTTCGCTATACAAATGAAGGCATAGTAGTATTACGACCCTCCTTTCGCAGCGTCCACCGCTGGTTACCAGCGGCCAGTCGTATGAACAGAAACAGTAGATATATCACAAAAGTCGAATTACCAATGGCTGTCCCCCCAGTCTCCGGTAATTTTCTGACAATCGGTATCAGTGTACAGACAATCAATAGGCAGGTAGATTTCCACCAAGTCACAGAAACACACTTATGAACTGTAGTCTACTTTAATAAGCACTAAATCGTCACAAAAAACTGGTCACAGGGAATGTGACCAAATGCTTTGCCTTCTTCTGTGTTTCCACACTCATACAATCTGTCTCACTTTAAAAAGCTGGTTATCCGGCATCTTCGTGGTGTAGTGTAGATTAATATAATCTTTTTCTATTATATTTTTAATTTAATTTTTCACCCCCTAGGCCCCGATGTTGGTCGATGACCAGTGCCCGGGTGGGCTATTCCCCGTAAAATATATATATATATATATATATATATATATATATATATATATATATATATATATATATATATATATATATATATATATATATATATATATATATATATATATATATATATATATGACTGCATCTACTTGATCTGCAGACCACATAAAATAGAATTTCTCAATCACTCTGTGGGCCGCACGTGGCCCACAGGCTGCGGGTTGCCGATGCTTGGTTTACAGCACTCGGTGAACACAGCTGACTCTAAGTTTCTGCCCTGGTCCGAGTGCAACTCGTGTGGCACACAAAACTGGCAGAAGAAATGGTCAACCAGCACCTTTGCAACAGTCGTGGCTTTCTGATTTGGGCTGGCATATGCTTCCGGCCATTTAGTGAAGTAATCCATGGCCACACAGATGCACCTATTCCCATCTGCAGTGAGTGGCAGAGGCCCTGCAATATCCACTGCGACCCTCTCCATTGGTGCACCTGCATGGTGCAACTGCAGTGGGGTGTGCATGTGTAGCTTTGGTCCCTTCTTGGCACAGCAGACATCGCATGAACGGCTTACACATGTCAACCCAGTAAAACCTTTGCCGCAGGCGACTCGGGATCTTCTTCACTCTCAGAAGTCCACTGGCTGGATTGTTGTGCATCTCTCTCAGGATCTCTGACCTCATCTTCCGAGGAACTATTGTCTGCAAGTACCTGTTGAGGCCATTGGTAGTCACCCACTGGCGCTGCAGAAGACCATCCTTCAGCCGAAGAGTATCCCACTGAGCCCAGTAGTTTTTAGTCGTAGGACTTGCTACAGAGATCGTTTCCCATGCTGGTCGCACTGAGCACTGGCTCATCCACTAGACCACTGGTGGCAGATCTTGGTCTTCCAGCTGCAATGTCTGAAGGCCTTCCCAGTAACAGCTGGATCCTCCTTCACTGTACTACGACTACACTTTTTGGTAAGTGCCTCTCTCTGGCAACACTACTGACAATCAGTCTTCACCACTTCCAGACGGGTATGCAAGGCACCGTTCACCCCGTGTGGCAACCACACCTCTTATCTTGGGGTAATAACTACTGTCCACCAAGCTGTAACCTCATAACTTGAATGCAAAGGTCTGCTATATCTGCTACATAAACCGTTAGGCCTGAATTCAGAACGGTAGAGTTGCGCCTAGGATTTTAGCTCGGCTCGGGCGTGCAAATCGGGATTTCTCGATCCGAGATTTCCTGCAGTGGATTACGCATATTCAGAACATTGACCTGAACATGCCAGAAGCTGTACACTCCTGCATACAAATGACTGCGGACGATGCCAAGCTATTTAGGGAAATTAAGAACCAAACAGACTGTGAAGAACTGCAGAAAGATCTCTGCGAGCTTCATGAATGGTTAAAGAAATGGCTGCTAAGATTCAATGTCCCAAAGTGTAAGAGGATGCACCTGGGATGTACCAACGGAAAGGAGGCGTATTATATGTCCCAACGGGATGAAGAAACTGCATTGAGACTAAATGCGAAAAGGACCTAGGTGGTGCTAGGGCGCTCTAGCATCGTCTGATGAGGTATATAAGTGGCAGCATTTCTGCCCAGAGGGTGAAGTGCAACCCTAGTAGGACAACTGAAGATAAGTGTTGTGCAAGTATTGTGGAATTGTTGTGAGCAACATAAAAGTAAAAAGACTAAGGAATTGTACACTGGTAGTGTGCTGACTATATATTCGAAGTGAGAAGTCCAGCTGTGAAGAATTAGTGCTTATTAAAGAAGAATACAGTTCACAAGCGTGTTTCTGTGACCTGGTGTGAATATAGCTGCCTATTGTTTGTCTGTACACTGATACCGATCGTCGGAAAATTACCAGAGGCTGGCGGGACAGCCAGTGGTAACAGAGACGTGACCGATCGCCCAAGCGGCTAACGAGCCGATCAGTGGTGAAGAGGATAAAAGAAAGACACTTGTGATTGTAGTATCTTACATGATTTAATGGGAGAATGAGAAACCACATGCTGAGTCTTACTCCCGGCATTTATTGCTGCTATTATGTACCACGTGCCGAACACATTCGTGATTACACAGGCCTAAACACATTGTAACTTTGGCAAGAAGTAACATAATATATAATGTATATATAATCAATAAAGGCAGCATATAAACACACATATATAACAGTGATATCTACTGCTTCTGTATAAATGACCTGGCTGCTGGTAACCAGCGGAGGAAGCTGGGTAAGCGGTGAAAGGAGGGTCGTAACAATGTACAAGTGATTTAAGTCTTGTTTTAACGCACACACACACACATGGAATAACAAACAAATGTACAAATATATTAATTGCAAGTGAATACAAAAATGCCAAAGAGTATAATAAGACTAGCCAAAGGAAATATTTATTTCATGCTTCTTTTTACATGGCAGAAAGGCGATCCATTCTTCTGTTTCTCTTTTATAATATCATTTTTGTTTTTATCTCTCTCCATTTATGTATTCACTCTCTCCCCTGTTATCCCTCTTTCTTTGTTTCTCTTGTTTTTTTCTTTCACTGTTTTCTCGCTTCTTCTCTCTGGGTCGGAATTAATAAATTAGGACTATAACGACACAAATATTATACAGTATATCCTATTCAAGCAATAAATTTATATTCCCTTAGGCTGACCTTGGTTAAATCAACTTGTTTGTATATACTGCATTCCTGTACTGACTATACTTGCTGAACCACTGAACCTGCATTTATCTATTATCTAACTATCTCCACAATATTCATGTTTGAAGTTTTCATTGTGGAAAATACGTAAAACATTCCCGATACAGGAAAAGTTCAAACAGAAATAAATGTCAATGGTTGTTATAGTCACTGAACTCACTGACATTTTGAAACGACTAAACCGGAAATAACTCTAGCAGCTGTCTTGAGCTACACTTGGTTTACGTGTACGATTGTTTTTACACTTTCACTGTGTGTGTATGTACATTGCTTGTATACCTGCCCTGTCTTTACTTTACATTGCCTGTTTACCTGCACTGCTTGTGGGTACAGTACATTATTCATTAGTTTGTAAACCTGTTTATGTACAGTACTGTACATGGAGAATTTATGTGAACTTGTATGATGATTTAACAATATCTATCTATCTATCAATCCACATTTTATAGTTATTGAACTCACGTATCCCCTTCAGCGTGTAAAGCTGTGGTACATATTCCTCCAATCGATAAGAGATGGCAATTTTACTTCATTATAATATAAGTATAAAATTAGCAAAGAATGTGCTATTTCAGGTGATATAAGTCCACATACAAGAGCTTGGGTGAGAGTACGATACGTGGATCGGCGCCATAGCAAAACGAGCTGCTGGTCCACCCAGTTATGTAACCCTGCCTCCCCCCTAATGTACCCCCTTCCCTCTCCCCCTCACAGTTCTTCTCCCATTACCCCCATCAACCTCCGACCTCCTTCAACACTCCTCTCCACTTCCTTTTCCCTTCCCCCCTACTTTACTCCCTAGGCAACATGTTGTTTCCTCTCCAGGGCGCAAATAACACATCTCCCATGTCTTTCTCTGAACCCAGGTAACACACCTTGATAAAATCCACCAACCCCCCCTTATAAGGACCCCAGTAACATTCCCCTGCAAACCCGACCCTGGTAACACCCCCCCAACATTTCTCTCCTCTGGACCCCAACAATACTCCTTCCCTGCCAAGTACCCCAGCAACACCCCGACCTCTTCCATTCCCGACTCCCGAGTCCCCAGGACCCAAGCATCCCTCCCCCACCTCCCGTAGTGTGCGCACATGAAACTAGTTGCCAAGCCAACTGCGCCTCAGTGTAGAACGGCTGGAGTCGAGAAGTGTGTGTACTACGCACTGGTCCCGATTTTCCGTATATACGCTAACAATAGTGCATTCATCCAAGTGTTATTATATTACAGGTAAATATCCAGTTCATTTTACGGGTTACTTTTTAAACAGTAACAGTAAAACTTTGAAAAAAAACGTGTCATATGTATTTATATAATCGTACTCATGGCTTCTGCTTACCCACTCTTACTTGGCTCAGTTGTGGTACTTCATGCTAATGTTTCTCAGTGTTTAACAAGTTTCCAGGTGTTTGCTGTCTCTTATTTGATTATAAATCCATTTTAAGAATGAATCATTAATGATTTGTTTTCCAATCTTTGCAGTTCGTATCAGTGGTGGATTACGCAACAGACAAGAGAGAAATAAGTACCCTTAGCCTTCCCTTAACGAGAGATGTGTAGTGAGTTTGAGTGTAGACTGGAGTGAGTAGTGAGTGAGTGTTGGGTTAGTGAGGGAGGAGAGAGTTAGCAAGTGTGTCAAGTGGGTTGGTTGTCTTGCATGGGTGGGTGTTGCCATCTGTATTATTTTGTGAACAACTGAGATAGTGGACGGAAAAATTTGTGTATGATTGTTAATGGAAGTTAGTATGTGCTTTAGATTATAGGTTATTAGACAAATGCGGTAATACCTGTGTAAGCGTAGATAGATATTCTGGGATGATAGTCGAAAGTTCAGAAATCTGACTTGACTAACGTGAAATTAATAGGTTAGAAGCACATAAGCAATTAGAAGGCGTAGTGAAAGGGAAGATTAATACCTTTTTTTTGTAGACTTGTTCAAATATCTCATGGTGTGTGGAAGATAAGCTGAAAATATATTTTACCTGTGTACCAGATGAGTTGAGAGTTAATGTATGTGTTATTATTTGAGGTTCGTGAATGATATACAATAACCTTATAATATAATACTTTATAGATATATGTTCTGATTTTGTTGCCAAATTTAGGGATTAAAGTGAATGACAGTACAGTACATGTAAAGTAGAGTGTTTGAATGATTTAATGGTATATATTTAGGCTACTGTATGACCTTATAATTAACTCAGTAATTGTGATGATTGTGTGGGTAATTGCTGTGGAGAGATATTTTGGGTGATGAATCTATTTGAGTTTATAAGGTTTGTATTTTGAGCTAATTGTGCCTGTAGTGTGGCAAGTGTAAAGGCTGGGACTGGCTGATAAAGTTTAACTGTATGTGTTGATTGAAATACTGTATGTTTGGCTAGTTATATGTGTGGATATTGAAGTGATGTGTGAAGTAGAGTATATGCATTGTTTGGGTACAGTATAGGTTATATTTTTAGGCTAGGGGATAAATGAATTGAAACTCTTAGTGTGAAAATTTAATAAGTGCACATGACTGTCGGCAAGATGAGTGAACGACGAGTGTTTGAGTCACTGTGTTTAGAGCCATGTAAGCGTGGCTTCAGCTATGATTCTGCTCTCTTGGTAGATGTAGACCGAGCCTCTGATTTTGATGAAGCTGTCATACGTTTGACAACTAAATGCAATTCCATCATCACTCAACTCCGTACTTTAGGCAATCATGTTGCCGAGTTTTCTGTCACTACTACCAAAGTTAGCTGTCTTGAGGCCAAATCGCCTACTTCAAATAGCATCAAAACTAAGACTTGTGGAGACACCTTTGGATATCCTATCACACATGTCTTCAACACACCAGACACCAGGAACCTGAGGGTCATGGAGGAACAGTGGTGTGGCCTGAAGCAGAAGAATTACTCAGGCATGGTGGCTGTTGCCAGGTTATCAAGATCATCCATCCCAAGGAATGGTTCTGGTGGCAAATACTCTGTTCGAATACTAACGGAGGCATTGCTCAGCCATATTCAGGCATATTTTATGTTCCAATCGTACAACCCAGATTTTCAGCGATGGACAATATCTGGAACAGGGAACAAGAATGAAAGTCCAGAAGATGAGTATCTGATATATTTGGTGTACCGCATTCAACATGTTGATGCTGTTAACATACACAAGAAGGTCAAAAGGCAGAGTGAGATGGAGAAATTAGAGAAGAACTGGTGAGTCTTAGAGCACTGTACAGTATTGTATTTGTACTTTTAAAAAGGTGTTCGGATCATCTGAAGATTTGTTCCCTTGGCTTATTTCACCTAATGTCAACCTAACGTAAACTAGCCTCATCAGGTAGCATATGGTATTTAATCACCAGGTGAAATAATTTGGGCCACAGATCTTTAGGTGATCCATATAAAGTTCATTTGTTAATAGTGTATGAGTTAGGTAAAGTAAATGGGATTCTGAATCTATAATCATTTGTATTAAAGGTGTTGTTTAAGATCATGGCCTTGTTCAAAAATTTACTACAGTGTTTGGGATGCAGCAGCCAAGTGGATACAGCCCTTACTTGCAGTTTTATAGGGTCACTAGTTTGCATGTGGTGGTACAGTAATGCTTTATGACGGTGGTGTGTCTCAACCAGCAACTTTGAAGACATTTTTCTAGAGAAGATAAATGCATTCTTCTTTCACGAAAAGACCAAAAAGTTGACGAGGAAATAGGTTTTCATAATATAATTTTTAAAATTTTCCTGTACTGGACACTCATTTACAGCTGGGGTATCTGAACTCTGAGGCCATCGATCCTTTGTTTACATCTGGCAGTTCTGGATTTCTTTCTAAAGCAGGATTTTATATTTTTTTTTATTAGAAGATGATAACTGTACAGTATTTAGGTCAGGTAGATTAGGGTGCTCAATGTTTTCTTTTCTTAAATACGGTACTGGTAATTGGGGTGGTGGGTTGCAAGGGGTAGGATAACTGCTGGAATTGTTCACCAAGATCCAGGAATGAACCAACCTAAGCAAACCAAAAATAGTAGTTATCATATTATATAATCATCGATAAAACATTCCTGTCTATAAAACATACCAATGAAACATCCCGGATGTTGAGGGTGGAAAAAATCATAAAAAAGGTACTGCAGAAATTAATGTAGAGATAAGTTCATTGTACAGTACACTGTATTAGGAATAGAAAATTGCACCTTGAACTGAATTCTACTTAGTGATTATTTTGGTACGTATATGCTTCATTGTCATAAGTTAATTGATAAACAAGAGCAGCCAGAGCTACTTTATCTTTACCAAAACATATATGATTTTAGAATCACATTATATATACTGTACTGTACTGACTGTACTGTACAGAACATACAAAACAGTACAGGTATCCCCCAATTTATGATAGGGTTATGTTCCTGGAAACCTTTACGTAAATCAAATTAGCTAATGCATATTGGTTAACATGGGATATGTTCCTGGCCTTTCTGACAGACCTGTATCACAGAAAAAGCTTTCCTACACTAATTCAATAAATACAACAAAATTAAACAACACCTCACATTACAATAATAACAAAAAGCCTGCCGCTTAACAATGTCTAACTTCATCTCCAGAGACACGGTCTTCCTCGAAACCTTGGCTTTCCCAGAGGTGGAAGATTCAGCAGGAAGCTTGCTAGCCATTTCCAAATTTATTAATCACTTCAGTCACCAAAACAGAGCAAAATCTGAACGATAGTGTTTTCTTCTCACCAATAACGATGAATGATCTGGAACAAATAATTAAACACCCTACACGTGTCCCAGATCGACACGATCAACTTACTAACATTCTTGGTCTTTGGTTTACCTCTAACCCCTCACACTATTTATACTCAATTTCTGCCCCCTTAGGGTCTTCTGATCACAATCTTATTTCTATTAAATCAAACTGGGCATGACCACCTCCCCCACCCCCCTCTAAATGCCAACTATGGCACTATCGGAAGACAAACTGGCAATCCTTGTGAGGATTCTTCTCCGACTTTCTTGGGATGAATGTTGATTTTCCACTTGGGATGCCTCGGTATGTGCTGACAACATTGCTGGGGATATACTGTACAGGTTGGTATGAGTGCATTTATTCCATCTTCTACCAAAACTTTCACTTTACAATCATGGTCTGATCGCTCCTGTTCTCTTGCATGCAGGGAGAGAGATAAGGCATATCAGGTTGTGAAACTATCTCCTTCTTCTATTATCCACTCCTCTTTCATTACTTCTAGGAATCGTTGTAAGGTTATTCTTCATAGGGCCAAGTGGAATTTTATAAAAAGAAAGACCGCTGACCTGACTAATTCTTCTTCTTCTTCTTCTTCTTCTTGTAAATCTTTCTGGTCCTCAGCCAAAATCATCTGTAATAACTTCTGCACTCCCTGTTTTCCTCCTCTCTTCCGACCTGATAATTATATAGCCAACTCTCTCCCTGATAAAACCAATCTCTTTGGCTCCTTACTCTCCTCTAACTCCACCTTAGGTGATTCCAACTCTATCCCTCCTACTCCTGCTCCTCCTACTGAACCTACTGTATGCACTACTATAATCGCCACTCGTAGGGTTGCTGATGTGTTATCCAGGTTGGATGTGAGTAAGGCGCATGGACCGGACAGAATATCCCCTCGTGTTCTGAGGGAGTGTGCTGAAATTCTAGCCCGTTCTTGCTCGCCTCTTTTGCCTTTGCCTCAAAACCCAAACTTTTCCTTCTTCTTGAAAGCATGCATCGGTTCAGCCCATCCCGAATAAAGGTGACCATACCAATCCCTCTAACTATCGCCCCATGGCCCTAACTTCATCCCTCTCTAAGATTTTCGAAACTATCTTAACTCTCATTTCCTCCGTCACCTTGAATACCTTTCTCTTTTGTCGGATCACCAGTATGGCTTTCACCAGGCGAGATCTACTGGTGATCTGCTCTCCTACTGCACCCATCTTTGGTCATCCTCTCTTAAGGATTATGGAGAACTTTCGTCGTGGCCCTCGACATCTCCAAGGCATTTGACAGGGTATGGCACAAGTCTTTGCTTTCTAAACTTCCCTCTTATGGTTTCTCTCCCCAACTTTGTTCTCTAATTTCTTGTTTCCTTTAGAACCAATTCATTGCAGTTGTTGTCGAGGGATCGATCTTTCGCTCTTTCTTTACCAATAGTGGTGTCTCACAGGGTTCTGTTCTTTCACCTGCTCTCTTCCTTCTTTTTATCAATGATTTACTTCACACTACGACTAATTCTGTCCATTCTTACACTGATGATTCTACTCTTTACTCTTCTTCACATTTTTTCCCCTTCCCCTTAATTCTCAAACTAGAGCTGATATCATTTCATCTATCATTGCGGATCTGTGCAGCATCTCCGAATGGGGAGATAGAAACTTGGTTAAATTCAATAGTAATAAAACACAGTATTTACCATTAGCACTTTCCAAATTAGATGATCTCCCACCAATCACATTTCAGGATGCAATCATTCTGTCAAATTCTAAAATAGATATGCTAGACCTCACCATTTCCTCTAGTATGTCATGGAAGCCACACATCCATAACATTGCTAAAGCTGCCTCCCGAAAGTTGGGAATGCTGTACAGATGCCGGAGCTACTTCACTCCTGAGCAGTTGCTTCAAGTTTATAAGGGATTCATTCGTCCTAACTTGGGAGTACTGCTCTCATATCTGGGGTGGCTCTTCTTCTGTCCAACTGTTAGATACGGTGGAATCAAAGGCCACCACAATGTTGCTTCACTCTCTCTCTTTTACAGGTACTTTAACGGGCAATGTTCGGTGGATTTGGCATCCTGTGTACCGCCAGCAAGGCCGTGGGCTCGTAACACTCATCTTGCCCACGGTGCCCACCGTTTCTCTGTGGCTGTTGGTCACACTAAAATAACCCGTTATAGTACATCTTTCTTTCCTCACACAGCCAAACTGTGGAATGCTCTGCCTTCTTCTGTGTTTCCATACTCATACAATCTGTCTCACTTCAAAAGGCTGGTTTTTGGGTATCTTTATGTTGTAGATTAAATTACCCGGTAATCTTTTTCTTTTCTATTTTTAATTTAATTTTACTCTTATTTTTTTGCCCCCTGGACCCTGTTGTGGGTCGATGACCTGTGCCAGGGTGGGCTATTCCCAATTAAAAAAAAAAAAGAGTAAGGGCAGGTGCGATCACTTTGGAAGAGCAGAACTGTAGTATGCTGGGTGGCTGTGAAGTGACACGCAGGTTGGTTACGCTGCGCAGAGGATGGAAAAGCAGTTTCTGCACTGTGTCAGAGAGTTTAGCCTCCTGAAGGCTATCGCTAACGTGGAATTTGCATAATGTAAATTGTGAGAGGGTGTTAAAACCTAACGAACATTAATGTGAATTATCGGATACAGTATAATTGTAAATTGGGGGATACTAGTATGTACAGTATGTTGTGCCTTATTTATGAAATTGCCTAGTTCATGAACTGAGCAATCATTTTGCCTTGTTCATGAAATGGGTTTCTAGTCTAACCCAACCTAACCTGATCTAACACAAGAAAACCCCACCTAACAAACCTAACCTAAGATAGTTTGAGCCCATTTCATGAAATACGTAGGTAGGTTAGGTCTTGTTAAAAAATATAAATAACAAAATATAATAACAGCAATAAGTAAATGTTTCCTTGTACCCATTGAAAGGCAATTAAAGGCCTGTACAACAAAGAGGCGACGTCGTCATACATCAGGTGAAAGCAGTATAAGTAACAGTAGCAGTGCCAGCAGCAACCCGAGTGGTGGAGCCACCTACCTCAGTCCACCTGTGACACGCTCAGGTCGTCATGCCCTTGACATAGCAGCTACCGGTAATACGCCTCATCGCAGGTATCCCACAGAACGGCTACCTAGCCAAGGTGAGATAAAACAAAAGGTGGCAGTAAATTTATTAAAACCCATCCTTGTTTATACTATCGCCATCTTCATCCTGAGTGTTTTAGTATACAGTCTATCTTTACCTCTGTTGATGTTCACTGACTTGAAGCTTTGTTATTTCATTTAATTTCACCTGTCTCATATATTTATGCCTTTTTCTGCTGTGAATCAAAGTGGCCAATTTGTTGCTGACCCCTTAATTCTTACCATTCAGCAACTAGCGAGTTATTTACCCCTTTACAGGATTTCCAGTGTAGGGTTGTTTGGCAACCACACCTGAAAGTTTACCTGAGGTGATTTTATTATTGGGTGTGCATGAAGGGAACCCAGTCTTCCACGTATGGACAGGAATTGACACTAGGATCCATAGCTTGTTACATTGATACTCTACCACTGAGACATTTGCTCATACAGTACAGTACTACATCAAAGGGATGTCATAGTGTATAAATTGTGAAACACTAGAAATCCATATTCTAATGTGGATTTGCATCTATGATCAGGTAGCAAGCACTAAAGGGGAGTTCCTGTCTGTGGTGTGTACTGTATATAGGATATATTATACCAAGGCCTCTGACATGTTTCCCTTTTTTTCGTGGATGTTGCCATAGTACAAAATAGTGAAAGACAAGTTGAGAATATTGTAATTTTTCTATTATATACAGTAGCTCTAAGTAATTGTACAGCCCCCTCAAAAAGTGTCTTTACCCATAGGGTCAGTTTGGTTCTTGTTTTTTGAGCCATTAATTTTGGAGCAGTTGGTACAGTTGACCAAAGGTATTGGTATACTGTACAGTACTGTACACCAGTATATACTATGTGGATCCAAGTACAGTATCTGGTAACACTTTCATACAGCGAACTGCTAGGATTTAAAAATGATCAGTAATTTAAGTTTTATTCTTGCAGATATTTTATAAATACATATGTTATGTTTATTTGAATACTGTACTGTACTGTACAGTCAAGTGTTGGGGAGTAGGCATACCAACATATGCCAGTGCATTGGAGAATATATCAAGGCATTTCGTCCAGTGTTTAAAATTGTAAAGACAGAAAAATTAATGGTACAGTACTGTACAGTATATACCATACTTTTTGAGGGAGTGTACATGTACTAGATTCTGTCCAGTAACATTTTAATTTTGTATAGTTTTTATGAGAATAAGATATCCATGTATTACAGGTTGCACAGAGAAAAACGACTTTGTTTTGGACTGGACAAATTGGTCTACACCACGTGCATTAAAATCTCCTAGCTTGCAAAGTGCGGATGATAATCGTTTCTTCCAAAAAACACCTATGAGTCTCAGGAACAGAAAAGAAGTTTTCAAAAAGAACACAAGGTAATGTGTTCAGTGTGCTACAGCTTGTGTTGATGGATAGAAATATTGTAGTGGCTTTTATTCTCTGTATCAAGCTTTTTCCTACATGGCACAAAGTGGATGGATTCAGGGTCTGTCATTCATTATCTTTTAGCTGCTTAGCTGTAATCACAGATGAGTCCTACTGTGGTATTCCCATTTTACATCATGGCACTAAGTTTTCCTGAGATAATGTTTGCAAGTACAGTACAGTAGATTATTGGCCCACTGATTTTAAATGGCTAATGAATTGCAAGGTAGCTAGTGAGATGGATTTCTAAAGATGTAGATTTTAAGTTACATGAGTAAACACTGAAAGATGAGGCAGTTATGGAGGTATGGCAATGTGACGGTAAAATTGTTATTGCATCAAGTACTTGTACATAATGGTAATGGAGAGAGAAAGTAATGAAAGTATGTATACTTTACATAGGTGAATATTCAAGTTGGTACAGTACAGTATAGTGAAGTATTGGTACAGTACATGGAGATTTGTATTTATGTCTAGTACAGTAAGCGTAATCTTTATAAACAGATATTAATATTTTTATTTTTATTTTTTCACACAGGTTGAACAAAATTAAACCTGTAATACAGAAGCCCCAACGAAGGTTATCCCAGCGACGACTTTCTTTAAAGTAATTACAGTACAGTATACTGTATCTGATACTTGTACATCCAAGAATTGTGTGCTTAGTAGTCATGAGACTTTCTGACTCTAAATACAGTATAATGATACCTGTACATGAAGACAATAAGTGACTTCACTCGGTGATTAATTATCATATACTGTAGTGATGTAGTGAAAGGTTGTTGTGGTATGTTTGTGATCTATTATCTACTGATCCCAACATAAGTATGGACCTCCCTTGGCCTAGTAGGTAATTAATTATCAAGTTTATTAGGCATACTCTTAACTGAACTTGAATTTGTAAATAAAAACAAAAGATTTGACAAACAAATATTCTTGACCAATGTAAAAAAAATGTGAAATTGAAAACATGGACTGACTTGATGGTGTTTAACACCTGAAATGTTTTAATTTTGTCAATATGAAGACTTGTTACTTGTGAGATTTATATTTAAACTAGAAATATGTTCAGAAAACACTGGTGTCCAGTGTGTCTTGTCCTGCACCTTCTAGTGTGACTGTGACCTGGATTAGGTTGTATACTAAAGTCAAGTTCAAAATGAAATGCACCTTGTACATCTAAAGTTCTCTTTTAGTACAAGTTTATCAGTTGTTGTTGGGCAGTTCACACAAAGTGGTGGCTGTCAGCATGATGTTTGGACAGACAAACACACAACCAAGAAACTTGGTGTCCTGCGATGCCTCATAGGGCATAAAGATTTACTCTTCACAATACCTGGTAACAATTGTCAAAGGCATTCTGAATTGGATGGGTTTGATAGCAGTACAAAAGCTTATTTGATGACTTTGTCCTATTTGAAAATAGGATTTTGGACTTATCATCTGATGGTAGTATCTCATTTCAATATCTACCTCAATTTCAAGGTTAACTTTACTGTTGATGTTCTCTTTCATATGTCAGTATATTTTCTGTATTAATCGGGATAGAAGATGCAAACCCTTCCAAATTATAAAGACAGTGCCTTACCTTGATATGTTGTAAGGTATACCTTGCAGTAGCTACAGTACAGTATTTAAATAATATTCATACCGCATATAGGTTTCAAGTGTATTGTATGATTACAAAAAAATGCCACATGTTCTTATGGACTAAACATGTGATGTGAGTTTTGAAAAGTTAAGGGACACAGTAATACTACAGTATATTAAAATACAATTAAGTGTATTGATCTTGAATACAGTACACCATACAGTATGTTGGTTGGATCGATTTAACCTAAAAAATTAAAAGTAATGTACATTATAGCATACAGTAGTAATCTCAATTTAATTGTATAAATATTATGAGGATTTATTCACTATAATGAGGATGGTGAATTTAGCATTAATATAATCATGTCCTGCTGTTATTCTCTTTTCTTGGAATAGGTATACCTGTTAGGTTGTATGGGTCTTGAGTGTTGAACCAAAGCTCCTCATCAACCTATTGTATTGATGATGTGCTGTACAGTATTTTAATGCATAAATTTACTATAGCTACTGTTAATATAAGTAGAATTATTCATAAATTGTAACTTTAAAACAATTACAGTACAGTATATTAAATGTGTGATTATTATTAATTATAACTGTACTGTCAAAAAATCAAGTAGTGACTTAAAAGTTTTTTAAATGCAGTATGGTGTATATATATATATATATATATATATATATATATATATATATATATATATATATATATATATATATATATATATATATATATATATATATATATATATATATATATATATATATATATATAAAATAAGAAAGGGATGAAAGATCAGGTCTGGCATAATCCTTTTAAGTGTCTGTTAATATGATACTGTATTGATTAGATAACAAGTAGACTTGCTATCCTGCCTCAAGAACATAACCTCAGATTAATACTCTAGTCGTAACAAACTTCATAAAAAAAATTATCAACTAAAGATGTCTTTTGTGTTCACAGTGTCTTTCATGTACTGTATACAGTAGTGTATTTTGTACTCTGCTTGTGTGTACTGCATGTTTACAAAAACCATATTGTACTGTAAAGGAATTTTAGCTAATTTTATGCTCATATTTAGCTTACATACTGTTGATGATTTTAAAAGGTTAACAGTTTAATCATTATTAGTTAATGAAGGATGCGAGTGTAGGAGTTTTATCTCGGCTTTTTGGGTGAAATTACTTTTTATTTATTTAAAAATAATGCACTCTTAAGAATACTGTATTTATTTACTGGTAATATGTAACTATTAATGGCAAAACCTTAGTATCCTTCATACTTTTATTGCAGAATTAATAATCAGTAAAATATTTTTATACTTAATTTACAGTAATGCATTACAAGAAAATATTTTACAGACTTAATTCATAATGTTGACATGACAGATCAAGAAGCATCAAAATCTGTGATCAGAATTTGCAGATCCCAACCCAAGTGTTGTCGTGAGGTTGATGGTGTAGTAAGACACCTATCCACAATATAGTAAGGTCAGTTGAGTCTTGAACTGCATGTTTTCATCCCCATTTCTCTTTCAGATACACTAATGTTAAGAAAACCCAGAAGACTAACTACAGGTTTGAACAAAACTTTAGCATTCTATGACATTGGAAAAACTTCCTCTTTGTTTAACGTTAAATAATCAAGGGATAACTGTTTCATGTTATTATCAGAGGCCTTGTTGTTTTAGCATCTTGTTGAATGTTGTTTTCCTAGTATGTATATATCATCATGAATATTGAATAGGAGTTGGATTAGTTACTCAACAGAAGTTCTGACCAATTAAACTATTGCTCACTTTAAGTAACTTAGATACTCTTTTAATCCTCAGACCTTTACATCTTATAATAGCATGCTTTCCCCTGATTAGTTCAAGTGTTCTTAATTTGCTGGTTTTATATACAGTATACCGTACTTTTTATTATTTTTATTTGTTTTCTTCCCGCATTTAGTAAGTAAAGGCATTGCTTCTTTTTTCATATTTAATGTTCACAAGTGAAATTTGTAGTACACAGTGCAGTATGAATGTTGTAAATTAAAAAAAAATATAGTGTAGGAGACTTTTACAAGATTTATTACATTGATTCTCCTTTTGTTCATAATATGTTTACAATGGTGTATTGGAAGTGGTCAGGAGCACATTGAGAGTTGTAAATGATGGTATACAGTCTCTGTAACAGTCTGTATATACAATCAAGTACCGTACTGTGCATTTGAATGCATCTTTGCATTCTGCCAACTTTGCACAGTGCCTTTCAATTTTATTAACATCAAATATGAAAAGTTAGTTCTCGCATGTAACTGTGGCAAGATTCCTCCAAATTTTTGTGCTGCTTGTCTTTATCACAAAAAATCAATGTAATCATATATACAGTAATACTAAACATTAAATATTTAATAAAAAAATAATAAAATATAAAAAAAGGGGCTATAAAGATAATACAAACACAAGACACATCTAAATGCTGAATATTGTTTTATGGTGACAAAGGAAATACTGTACAGTACTCAATTTTTTTACAGTATTTACAGTAGTGTAAATACTGTAGTAAGTAGATATGAAGTGGACTATTTGGAACTTGTACAGTTTTGAAAATATATACTAGTATGTGCTGTAAATGGTAAATCCCACCTCATTTGCATGAATTCTAAACTAGTGCCTATGGGAAATAAATGATTTCCAGTACATTCTAGATTCCAAAATATTGTTCAGATATTCACTTAATTCCATCCAAAATAGTTTTAACAGTATAAAAGTTTGGGAGGTACAACAACAACCACCCACACACTAGTTCCCATGTAGAAGAATCAACTGAGCTATCATTTTTACCATTATGTAATTGACACAACGGTTCACTATGCTTACCAGGAGAAGAAGGGAGATATAGAGAAAGATTAATGGGAGGGAGAGTGTCTCTCTCTCTCTCAGAAAGCTGACTTTGTTAGGGCTTAGAGCATACAGACATTTTTAATTAACAGTAAAGAATATTTATATTTTTTAATAAGATCACTCTCCCATGACCCACTACCCCCCTCCCCGCCACACCTAAACAAAGAAGCAAGTTGGGTTTCACACCTTAGAGCTGTCTGCACATAAAAAGCATAACATTAACATATGATTTTCTTCATTGTTATTTCTTGGGAGTTTGTGGTTGTTTCTCCTGTAATATACATTATAGTAACTCCTTGCTTAAAATTGTGGTTCCGTTCCTGAAAACTGCGACGTTAACGGAAACAACGTTAACAGAGTCAATTTTCCACGTAAGAAATAGATAAAATACAGGAGTTACGTTCCCCAGCCTCCCTTTGCCCATAAAATACATTACATATACATAAATTTATGTAATTTTTATAGAAAATAGTATATATTATACATCCAAAAAGATAAATAAACTAAATAATTTTGTACTGTACTCGCCGATGGGTGGATAGTGTTCCCTGTTGTGGGGGTTAGACCTAGAGCAACACCAATGTCCACCGCACGTTCACCTTTCTCAAAACGGTTTAAAACCTCCATTTTCATAGCAAGGCTAATGGTCTTACATTGCTTCTTCATTACACTAGCATCACTAGCACTTAATGGGCACTTAGAAGGCATATTGAATGGTTACAGTACAATATTTAGAGCAAAAACACTTAAAACATGCTTTCTTAAAACAAGCACGAAAGCAGTGGAAGCCTAACAAAGACTGGGGACACTGTTACGCTCCGCAAGAGAGCGTAGCGTACTAAGATCAGAGAGGGTGATGTGCCGTACAAAGTAGTCCGTGACGGCGTTATACCGAACCAGTGGGACGTTGTCCAAATCATGGGTATCTAAAGAGTAGCGACGTTATAATGAAACAATGTTGTTGGGGGCAACGTTAAATGAGGACTTACTGTAATTGTTCCTCAATAATACAATACTTTACTGTAATTGTGCAACAGTTCAGGTTGTGTGTTTACATATTCACTGTGCCAGAACATATTGAGAAAGATTATAATGCCCAGAAACTATTAATATTCTAATTAGCCTCACCTTATACTTTTGCAAGTACAGTACAGTACAGTATATAGCATGTTAGTATTTTTTATTATTTTTTATTTTTATTGTACTTGAATATCTTTTGTTTGATATTCATACAGTATTTACAAGTTACAGTATTACATTTTAGGTCCAAATTAATCCTGGAAAGTCTTTACTGTACAATAATAATTGGTGATTTTTAGGGTTCTATTTGGAATAATAAGAAGCCCCTCAAAAAAACAAACACCTCACTTTTCACAGCTGCATAAACACCAGCTGTTATACTTTAACTGTACTTGTATATGTTGAGTATATACACCTGTACAGTACAGCATTGTAATTGTACACATTGCAAAAGTGCATGGTTGAACGGTGCTTGATTGTATATTTCAAGTGAGAAATTAATAATAACTTGTGTTAATTGAAGGATGACTCCCCATACCATTACAAATACTGTGATCATTTATAAATGTAATTTTAAAGGTTTATTAGTAAACCAAAAAATTATATTGTCAGTCTTATCAATGTGTAACTTCAGTAGTGCTTGGCTTTATGACGTGAACAATCCCTATATACTGTTGTTGTAAAATGTGCCAAACTTATGGTACATTCCTCTGCTTTTGTGTAAGATTTCTGTGGTATGTCCTTCCTTCTTTTTAGATTAGTCAGCACTGATGGTTGTTTAATGAACTGATATTATTTCCTACCACATTCCCAGTTTGTGTGATTTCTTCAGTGTCTTGTCCCTTTTGTTTACTTTTATTAGCTTCACCAGGAACAGTTGAAGTTTCTCCTGGCTATCCTTTTTGTTGCTACTGTTAATTTTCTTACAATCTTGATTTCTACATCTCTCCATAGGACACATACAAAAAGCTTATTGTTTACCAGCTTCTTTTCTACTTTCTGCCTGCTGTTTTCATTAGTGTACATCACCAAGTTAAACAGCATTAACACTTTGCTTCATAGCCGTCTGTCAAATTTACACCAGGCTAATTCTGCACTTGGTCACTGCTTTGTCTGCCCATGTTCTCCATTACTTTTGAAGAGATCTTGATTATCATAAATTTATGAGTTAGGTAAGATCATACTGAAAAGTATGTAGGATGAAGATACATATAATGATAGTCTTCATAAAATTTAGTGACTGTAAGTGGAATACATATGTTTCACGCACACCTGCCTGACTCGCACACGTGTAAGTATAAATAGTTTGCAGTTGTGATTTAATTTGATGTACTGTATATACACATACAAAATAACTGAGTGGTTGTGTTTTAGTCTGACACTTCTGCTTGTGAAATATGAAAGTGTTAAATTATTCTTCCTACTCTCCTGTATCTCTTTCCTTCATCTTACATCATTCACTGTTTATCCTTCATCTACCTCAGGTGTATCTCAATTATCTGAATTTAGCAAACAGTTATCCTCCTTCTCTGATATACATCCCCTCAGTGTCTGTTCTAGGCTTTTGGGTTTATAACTGGCTACATATTATTGACTTATTCTAGGAGTTAACTGTCCCTTGCCTCATGTCAGTTTGATCTGAGTGTAGACTGTCACTGTCTCCTGTGGGTCTTGCCTTGTTGGCCTGTACTCTTTCCTTCAGCTCAGTGACTATACCCTTTCCACTCTAACCTGGCCCATAGGTCATGCCCCTCTTCTATACTAATAGCTGATTGGTTCATAGAAAATTCAAACTAAATGTGTTCACAATAATGTAAAAAATATGGATTATCAAAATGCAAATCATTTCAAGGCATTAGCACTTCAGAGAGGGTGTTAGAAAATTTTAATTATTCAATATAAAAGGTTGATATAAATACACGCTTATATATGCACAGTCCGGGGAGGAGGCAAAATGCTCGGGGGAACTAATCAGCTATTTGTAACTATAGACGAGGGACGTGGCTTAGGGGCCACCTTAGCGTGAAAATGCTATAATACTGACTACCTTCACTAACTTTATGGTTTCAGCCATCTTCAGTGGCATTTGAGTGGACCATATTTATAGCCATTGAAATGCAGCTTCCATAAAGGTGTTTCTTATATATTTACTTTTCCTTAATTACTGTAAGTATTACCCTTTGCTTTCCTTCCCTGGTATACTTGATTATTACAATATATATCATCTTGCCTCTGCTTCCGATTACCAAATGTAGAAATCTGTCTTCTGTTAGTTGTTCTGTGTCGATATCATTTTAAATTATTTCCAGTTCAGTCTACTTAGTCTAGGAATATTATGTACTAAAGTCATTTGTAATGGTTTTACTGACAATGTGAGAAATTAAGAATCTTCTCACTAAAAATTTAAAATTGTCAACTCCCAGCTTTTGCCCTAGGCACAATTTTTACATTTTTATCATTATCATCACCTTATAACCATTTGTTTTATTTAATTTCAATTTTTTTTCCACTTGGCTACTAATCCCCCTTTCTCAGTTGAGACACCTAACACTACACTGCTGTATGGTTGAACACTACAAGTTTACTCACCAAGTGGTTTAATTCACATTGATTTCACTTATGATCTGCCCCATGTCATGTTTTCCCAATTATGTGTTGGTTTACATTTTCCCACAAAATTAAATTAACTACTGAATATTTTTGACAAAGATTTGGAGACATTATTGTACACAGAATTTATGTAAAGGACTAAATTTAGGTATCTGTTACTGTACAGTATTGTCTAAAAGAAGAGAAAGTGAGAATATATACAGTACAGTAATTGTAAACTTGTGGTATTCAATTGTATAGTTTTATTGATATACTGTACTAGACATGTGCTTGGGGAGGGGGTAGAAACACTTGGTGGAATGAGTAAAGTCCAAGGGAGAGATTCCTATATCACAAAAGCTTAGAAGAGACTGGGAGGCTCTCCTGTGTGAGTGGATGAAAGATAAATACTGTACCTACTTTTCAAATAGGTCCACGAAAGATCAAAACATCATATGACATGACCCGAAGCTCTACAGGTGCATGTCATATGATGTGACCCGAAGCTTAGGGGTTAATACTGTATTTCAGTTTTTAGACTTTGTAATAGAGTATGATTTAGTTGCTTGAGAAAGAGAGATTATAATTTAGTAACTTGAGAGATAGATTATAACTTAATAACTTTAGAGAGAGATTCAAATTTAGTAACTTGAGATTATGCTTTAGGAACTCAAGAGAAGAGATTATTATTTTGCAACTTGAGAGAGAAGAGAGTATTTCATAACTTGTGTATTTCTTTAATATGAATTTACTCAACTTTTATATTGTTAATGACATTATTGGTCTTGAAATATTTAAAATTTCTAAATTTAATATTGAAATCCCCTTTAGACATTAATGAGCTAAAGTTTACTTACTAAAGGAAATAACCCATTTACCATACACTTACGGCTCAAAATGGTTCTTGTAATACCATACAATGATGCTTACTGGGTCTTGTAGTCCATGTCCTCAGACAGGGTTAATCCCGTCACTACGGGGAAGCAACATTTAATATTTTATTTGGCTAATGCTAGACGATTTTATTCAGCTTAGAGGTAACCCCCATACACAAGGCTTAAGCCTAATAATGGTGCTTGCTGACCAATCCTCTTATGCACCATCTCTCAGTCCAGGTATTTTGCAGTTTGTTGATTTGCAAGGACTAGGACTCGCCCCCAGATAGATTGCTCTTGATGAGAGCTTGTGCATAAGCACAGGATGTCACTGTATGATTTGATTATGCATACCTGTTTCAGCATGGCTCTAGTGTTACACAAATTATTGTGGAAATATAACTTTACATTAATGTATCATTAATAAAACAGTTATTTTGAAGTTTGTGACTTTACAGTGGGATGTTGAGGTCTAATTTGAGTACTTTATTGCTAAACTGTAGTAATTTGTACAGATCAGTTCTATTCCTTCTACTGATATCAAGTAACTTCAGACAATTGAGAAGGAGCTTGTGTTCTGCTCAGTGAAAAGGAAAAAGAGATGTGTAGGTGAGGAGCACTACACTGTATACCCGTGGGGACAGTGAGGGCTTCAATTACTTGACTGTTTCAGGATGACACCAAAAGTACAGTAAGAAAGTTGGGGTCTTAACCTCCAAACCTTGTGATAATGATGGCTTAACACATATACTGTATGTTTGTCTAATCCTTAGAGCCTTAGTTAGCACCACTTCCTTCCTCTTGTCATAGCTGGCCTATGGTTGTGAGAATTGTCTGGTTTTAGGACACTGTAGTTGGAAATCCCATTTACTGGTGAAGACCACAGCCAGACAGTTTGGAAACCCTCTCGCTTCTCTGGGGTCTATGATTAGTCAGCTGGAACTGATTTGGAAAATGGTAGGTTTTGTCCTGATTGAGGACACACAACTCTTTATAAGACCTACAGCTGCTAGGAGCAATTGTTGCACCAAGTCTCCCACATCTGAGGCTCTCACTGTGATGGGAGAGATAAGGGTGATCTGTATAACAGAGTAATCTTGGCCGGGATTATAGGGGGTTTGTCTGAGAACATGAAAACTCCTCAACTATCAGCCCTGTCAGATAAGGGGATTTCACGAGCAATCATTAATTAATTTCTCTAGTTCTTAAGTACTGTACCAAAATTCCACCTTATGATTTATGAAAGTGTCCATTATTTTCAGCTGAGTTTTTGGTGTTTTGTCGAAATGCTCTTGAAATTTAATTGAATTTTTTCAAACTAAACAAGTTAAATCTTTCTTTCAAAGGTATAATACCTGGTACTATGAATGAAAGTCTACACATACACATTGATTTATGTATGTATGCAATTTTTGTATACCTCTTTAGTTACCAGTACATGCACACACAATATTAGAGATTATAATTCTCACTCCTCCATTAGTTCTTTCTCCTCGTCTCTTTATAACCTAATGCCCTTCACTTGGCAACTTGGGTAATGTACTCAATAAGTTTTTAGGGTCATGATACAGAGAACTCCTTAACATTAGTGGCTGGTATTTCCATTTATAATTAGTGTAAACACTTTTGCAATCTTTGCCCTAAAAGGGAGATTTGGAAGCAAAAGTTACCAATACAAGTAGGAATCTAACCAGTTGTGATGTCACACTAGCATGTATGCAGCTGCACCTTTAGCAGTTGCAAGTCAGCCATTTTGGATTCCAGGCTTTACCAGACTAAGCAAATACCTCCCTGCTTGCTTCTGTTGGGACCTGAGTGCCTCTCTTTCCCTTATTATTTCTCTGATCTGTTTTGGCAGGAAACATGCTGAAATAAATATTAATGTCTATGCAAAGACTTTTTGCATTTGTTGTTTCACATTACAATCAATTTTATATTTACATAAATGACCCAGTTTGATAACTGGCACTGAACATAATAGTTTGCCTCAAACTGGGCCATTAAGCAAATGTAAAATTACTTACAATGTGAAACAACAAATGCAAAAGCCTTTGCAGAGACATTAATGTTTATTATAGCATGTGCAGTTGCCAGCAAAAGTTCTCCCACAGCCCTGTGTAGCAGAGCTTTGGGAGGACTTTTGCTGGCAACTGTACCTCTACTTGTGTTAGCTTGGTTGTATTATTAGTTTCTGCAAATACAGGTGCCTGTACACTAACTTATTACATTATTTTCTAACACTCAATACAATATAAAGTATACAAATAAACTTTCAGTGTGTCATCATTCTCTCACAAACTTACTTCTCAAACTCACGTGAAGACAAGTAGACTTGTTATTCACGCCACCACATGCAATCACTAAGTCAGTTGCCTGATTGCCCAATTTCTCCTCATTTACTCTCATGCAGTATGTCGAACATTTAATAAAGTAAAATTAATCTTTACATTATTCTTAAATTTCATATATAGAGAGCTCATATCTTTCAAAAAATAATTTATTTTGTAAAGTAGACTTTCGGTTAACAGACCCTTTTCATCGCCAGTGTTATGGTTCCAGGATCTTAGGAATTATGTAGGTGTCAGTAATAACAATGTTTCTCATATATAATAATCATTATTTAAAGTGCATAAAATGCAGTCAATTTCCGGTATTTTTTTTTTTTTTTTACTTATTGTTCCCAAATACAGTATAACTACTGTATAATACAAAACAAAAATAAATCATCTGTTAAGTTCTCTATGAGCTGTTTTTTAAATGGTGACTATTTGATTACAACACAAAACTTTATTGAAGATGCAAAGAATCAACATAACCTAATCTTGGTACGGATGGGTTGGTTCATTTTGTCTAACACGCCCCATTCCCCCAAAAGGTAGCAATAGTTGGCTGGATTTGAGTGGTTTGACACAAGGAATCCAAGCTGGCTGATCTGCAACAGGTTGTGGTGTGTATACAGATACTACTAATGTCAGTATGATTGTTATCCTTGAACCTTTGACCTTTGCTTCCAAATCTCCCTGTGAGGTTGTTGTTCCAATGAAAGATTAAAATACCAGCTACTAAAGTTTGGGAGGTGGGGAGATAGCCTGGGTCCTAACCTTGTAGACTTAGTGAAAGCTGTACAGTACTTGAACCCACAAGCTGCAGTCTTGGTCATAAAAAGGTACTGTATTGTAGGATTAACCCTTCACATTTCCCTACTTTCAGGTTTTTTACATGTAGTATTTTTCTTTGTTGAAATACACCCCTCATTACACACTAAAAAATAATTAATGCAATTTATTTTAATAATTGTAAGAGAGGAAGATTTATTTCAGTAACATAGAATGCTAAAGTTAAGTAAAGATTACCCTGTCTTTGGTATATGTATATTGCAAGTAAGAACTGTAAGGATGGGAAATCGTGTCAACAATATTGGCTGAACAGAAATATTGCTGTATCATCTGAAACATGTTCTATTAGTATTGCTTTAGTTGTAACTCAACATCAGTTCAGTGAGTGGTCCTTTGACATGGTTATTTCCTAAACTACAATTGTAATATGTTTGCAAATACAAATATTATACAGGAATATTATAAATTTATTAATTGATCTTTACTGACAGTACAGGTTGACCTTTAAAATTTGGTGTAAGGTATAAATAATAAATGTAAAGGATATGATTATTTACAACTGGGACCTTTACTGTAAGAAAATAAAGTTTGTTAGAAATGTATATTTTTTATTTGTTGATTTTTTTCAGGACTGATTATATCTCCATGTAAATTTTTATCTTGTATTAGAATTTTATTTCAGACAAAAATAAAGACTGATTTATCAACTGAAACATGATGACTTTTGATACCTAACAAATAGCATGTCCACAGCATTCTCCTAACACTATTCATAATTGATCAGAGTAGAAGATTTGTCCTTTTACTGTACAATGCAATATCTGTCTGATGTAAACTTCAGCGGAAGTAATATACAGTACTGTATATCGGCTCAGACATGAGCAAGCAAAGGAAACTAGATAATATAATGTGGTTATCTTTAATAAATGGAATCTGAAACAAAGACTGAATTAACAAATAAATCAGTTGCTCGTTGGGCTGACAGCTAAGAATCCTCACCCACTTCACTACATACATCTTGAATTACACCAAGTGAACTAAAATTTTATGGGTGAAATGGCGGCATGGGGTGACTTCTCTTCCACCCCAATGCCTTCTCTTCTCCCTTCTCCACCCCCATTCTAATTCCCATCATCATCAACCAGGAGCCTTCTACATGCACACCTCAAAGAAAGTGTACTTTACTGCATTTATTTTTCGTTTGTATGTAATTTTTGGTGAGCTGGAACCAATTACCCAAAAACCCATTGAAACAATGGTTTCAGTTAACTTATTTTTCGGTTTACGAGCAACCTTCTGGAATGAATTGTGCTCGTTAACCGAGGGACCACTGTATATAAAAGCCGATTGAAAGTTTAACACAATCCCTGCTTCACCATAGTAACAGAGACCAGCTGGGATGCTGATCCCTCATTGAGCCAGCTAACTTGTGTGCAAAGAAATGTATATTCCCTCTATGCGTTTGCACTTAGGACAATTATTTCTTTTACCTTTTTTTTCACAATATGTATGTAGGATGGTGTGCATGTAATTGAGTAAAATAAAATGAAGAAAGTTACGTACACATATATTTAACCAAAAATATCAGTTGTAAAACAACCATAACACCTCACAGCTTGACCCAGTAGCCTGGTGGTTACGGTGACGAGTCTAACCTGGCTACAATGCCACGATTAATCACTATTGTAAACACTAATAATAACAGTAAATCCAGTGATATATAGCAGGGAGCAAGGAGAGTTACAAGAACAGATGACGCTCAACTAGTGGTCACTCACTCCCATTACTCGCACCCGTTGCCAGGCATAAGATTGAAATACGTATGGTAGAAATACATATCTTGTATAATTTGAAAACAGTGACAGGCACAGTGATAAACAAATTATATAAACCATGCATTTACCTACGATAACATAATAAGAAACATTGTATCATTACGAGAGTGAATGAAATAATATTCTCACAAACAACAATTGACAAATCTGTTTATGTTTCCCGCCTCAGGCACCTGTGTCCTGCGCGCTAACATCTTAGTTACACGGGCCTAAAATGATCTTTGCTCTGTTTTGGGAATGCTTCTTAGCTCCTGGAACCACCAAATTTTGTCTGAATCTTCCGAAATCCAGATTTACTGGGTCTGAACCTTCCAGGGTTCACTGTACATGTGATGGCTAAGATAAGATTTATGATGATCGTTACCCGATGGCTGCCTGAATGCTTATCCTGCATTGCCACTGCCATGAAAAGTGATGTGCAATAACTTGCAATATTCCGAGATATGATGACGCAATCACAGAATGGCATAACACATGTGATCCATGCGAGATGTGTGGGAAGCTCTGCCCATCACTGAGCAGTTAAAGTGTGTCGCACTGCATAGAGGATGGTTTGCATGTGGAAGGAGCTATTCTTTGTACATAAAATAATATATACTGCACCATACCAGTAAATGTGGGAATAAATAAAAACAATAATAGTATACTGTAAATAAAAGAAAAGTAAAATATACAGCATTGCCATTTGGCAATCATTTCACTGCACATGGGACATGAGACAGCGAGCCGAGATTCCCCACGCCACTCCCCCTCTCTGTGTTAACTCCTGCACACATAAGAAATCTTTATTTCCCATATATGTTTGACCGTGTGATAATAATTTTTTGACATATTTTGTAGGAACAATTGTGTACATGTAACAAGTAAAAAAAATAAAAAAAATTACGTACAGTGTATCTTCTCTTGCTCTCTGATATTCTCATAAGAATTGTTTATTCCCTTTATGTTTTTGACCTTATAATAATTATTTCTTATGTATTAATTTTTACACATTCTGAATGAAAGATTGTGTGCATGTGACAAAAAAAAAAAAAAAAAAAATCTCCCTGAAATTACGAGTTGAAAAATAACTGTTCTGAGATATAACTCAGGGTTTCAGAAGCGGAACTTGTTTTTCCCCATAAGTTATTAATATCAATAGGGTATATGACCGATCACCTTACAATGACTTTTCGAAGTTCCTAATCCTATTGTATAATGGTCAACACCTGTATACAGGTATCCCCCAATTTACGATGGGATTATGTTCCTGAAAAAACCCAACACAAATCAAAATATCGTAAATTGGGAGCTTTATAACATGGGGTTCAATGGGATACATTCCCAGCCAGTCCGACATCCACAAGTATCACTGGGAAAAAAATTCCTTCTCTAATAAAATAACAAAAACAATTAAACAACACTCACCACATCATTAAGAACAAGCCTGGTCATCATCACATAACATCTTTGAGGCAAGAGGACTCTTGATGGTGGAGTGGAGACATCACCCAGTTTCCTACACAGCCTCTGGGGAGTCTGGAGAGGCTTCACAATGTCAAGCCTTGACCTTCCCAGACGCAGGAGCCTCAGCAATACTCTTGCTAAACATTTTCAAAGTTACTGCTCACTTAACAGTCACAAAAAACAGATTGAAAGCACTTGTCACAAAAACAGATTGAAAGCACTTCACAGTCGCAAAAACTGAATAAAATCTCAACGTTAGTGATGTCCTTTCTCCCCCCCAAAAAAAACAAAACTGATAACATAAAAACAATGATAGCCACCAACACTGCTCACATCATGTTAGTTGTTGGTCCCACACACTGTAGCAGTGTAGCATGCTCAAATCTTCTCCCATGCACTCTAGACTGCTCAGATCTTCAACACACTCGAGACTGCTCGGATCTTCTCATATATTTCATACTTGTACTTTATATCACCCTCTTGTTGGACCTCTGATGGAACATCTGGATCCCTGGAAGAATACAATAACTGATTTTTATGAAGACTAAACAAACATGTGCATAAACTGAACAATCGTCATCATCCATGAATATACTGTAAATACTACAGAATATAATTTATTTTTTGTGTGTTTTCCATTAAGACTCTTTCTTGATACTTAAGGCTGCTAGGTGACCTTATTGACTGCGCAACTCCACTACATTGTCTATTATGTGCACACAAACTTTATATAATTGTCTGAACACCTTTCATAATTACTCGTACTTTTAATTATTCCAAAGTAAATGTTAAAAAAAAAAAAAAATGTAAGTCCCTATAGACAGTGGAACTCTAATTTATCATGAAATGCATATCTTGAATCATTTCTGCACTTCACTAATTAAACAGATTATTTTTCCTAGATTGACTGATGTTATGGTATAGTACAGGTATTTGAAAAGTGGTCAGATCTTTGCTATTTTTGTCATCACCATAATTACTCTTTCCCTAAAGCAGATTCATTGTATCCAACTCAATCAAGTTTTCAGTTGATAAAGATTAACCTTGAGTCAAAAACTTCCTGGACATCATCTTCACCAACCCCATTTAAACCTAATTCCTACATAAGCTTAACTACCTTTCTTACCCAAACTCCCGAGTCATCAAAATAATCAAATCATGAGTACATTTTTCTCACATCTTATGCCAAACTTCATCGAAGGTTGACTGTTGGATTTATTTCCATGGCAAATCAATGTTTTTAATAGCTTACACTATGTTTTCTTTTTCATGATTTAACAAGTATTTTTATTTTATTTTGTTGTGACTAGTACAGGTATTCCAAAAACATGGGAATTATCTCTTGAATTAAAAATGTTTTGCTTGGAATAACAAAACCTTGATGTGTCAGACAAATCATTAAGGTTGAAGGAATGTTCAGGGCTATTGTGATGTTCCTACCTCTTAAGCTTTATTTTTTAACAGTAGGCCAGGAGAAAGTTGCACATCAATCTTAAAAAGAATTTATTTTTAACTTTATCTGAACACCATATAACAGGAAGACAATTCTTAATTAATAATCTCCCTCAGTACACTACTGGTCCCAAGAAGAGATAACTTGTCATTGACTGCCTTAAATACAACTTTGCTTTTCTTCATGAAAAATAAATGTTCTGCTGGACATTTTTCCAGAAAATGGCTGCTGCTGACAAGGCAAATACTCTCTCTAGTACTTGAGGGTATACTATACTGTACTCTCGTTGCCTCAGATTTATCAGTTGTTCCCTCATCAGAGGGAGATTGTATATACCTGTACTGTACAGTATTTCCTCTCCTGGAACATTCAAATCATCTTGAACTTCCTTTAAATGCTTTAGAGGTACATGGTGCATCCTCTTAATTTTATACATTTAAAGACAAGGCAAAAGTCACTATAAAAAAAGGTGGGGTATGTTATTTTGGATATCAAAATTAATGGATTTTAGCAGTGCATAAATTTAAAATAAATTGTGAGGTACAGTTACCATACGCATTTTTGCTCACATTCTAAAATATTTCTCTTGAATTATAGCTAAATGTGTACCAACAGATTAATTCTTGAGTTTGATCTTCAGTTCAAACAATCTGTAAGTTTTAAATTTTCTCCATCAACAAACTACACGTGCTGAAATGTTGCAGGTGTTGAAGGGGGTTACATTCAGAGCACTTTTTCTATACAAGGTATCTTGTCTTTTAACCCTAAGATAAAATAATATACAGTTAATAATTATGTGACTTACTGAACTCGTGTGAATGTACTGATGTCAAAATATGGCAGGACAGTATCACAAGTGAAGTCCTTCAGTATCCGTGTTAGGTAGATCCTGTGAAGGTGTTTTGACTCAAGAGCCATCTGGAAAATACAATAATAAAGATTCAAACTCTTTTAGTGACCTCAAAACTACAGCAATGTGTTTAAATTTCCAGAGTATACTTATAGTGTTGTTATCGCCACGCACAATTGTGCGCGCCGGCCACATGTTAAGTGAAGAAACTGTTTACAACTCAGAATAGCTTACTAAGCGAGACGGAGGTAGCAGCTGTGTGACTGCCTGAGGGACAGACTATCGCCTTCTACTGTAGAGGCAACATCTTGATTCTCGTCAGCCAACATCTTCCTGCAGGACATTAATTTGTTCTCGTTGGTCTAACCCTAGACCCCAAAACGTGAGTGTGATTGTGAACTGTTGAATCCTCTGAGAACTCTAAATAACTTTAATAAGTGTAATTATGTACTGTATATTGATCGTATTATTCAAACTGTGTGTCCTGATGTACCAGTAGTTGTTATATGTGAATTGTATTCAACAGGTTTTGACTGAATTATACTCACCGCATCAACGACAAGGGTCTTATTGTCCTGCACAAACCAAAATCGCTCCTATGAGCGATTACAGTGTAATTTAACATTCAATACTGTACAGTGTATATATATATATATATGTATATAGTGATTTAAGGTCGATTTAGGGGAATTTTAGGAGTGTTTCTGACTTTATGCATTTTTTGGCTTTACTTTGTATGTACTTTTCTGTGAGTTGAAACCAATTACCCAATATCCCATTGAAATACAGTAATGGATTCGGTTAACGAACGACTCTGTGGAACAAAGTGTGTCCCTCGGTTAACCGAGGGACCACTGTAATGTAAAATTCTTTCAACTGTATCTTTGGGTAGATTTAAAAAAATTTCTAGGTGTCTCTTTTTCTTCTCAGCACCACGAGAACTCTCGAAAACTGTCACTTTTACGCTTGCCAGCCATTTTAAAAGGAATTACAAACAAAAATTTTGTCAGTACACAGCGCAATCACTAACGTTGGGACTCGAAAATACGTAATTTTAATTTTTTTTTTGTATGACTGGGGCGGTCGTAGGTTGAGTGCATGCCCAGTATTTGCCAACAGTGCGTAACAGTGATTTGACCGATCGCCCAAGCGGCTAATGAGCCGGTGAAGAGGATAAAAGTAAAAGTAACAAGAACAATGGGGTGATTCTAAAGAGGTCATGATGATCTTCCACCAATATAGCCACAATTAGTGATGTGAATGTTTTTTTTCCCATTGGAATATAAACCGTTTATCCCGGTTAAAAACCACCCAGATTAAAAAAAAAAAAAAAATCTGAAAAGGATTTACTAGTTCTGTGCTTCTCTCTCTCTCAAAATTGTGTAATCTCCTATATAACTGGATTACATTATTCTTTTCCTGAAATTGTTTTTTCTTTAATAATAAAAGATTATTTTACACCCAAAGTATATTTTGAAAATATCAAAATAATTTACTGAAAAGCATAGTAAATATATCTGAAAATATTGCTAATGATTGTACACCTTTGTAGAGTACAGTACAGTACTTTCCAGTACTACTTTTGACAAGTTATTGTAAACGAATAAAAATAAATGTGTAAATTATCTAAAAAACACTATACAGTACAATAATGATGTCTTGTATTGGGAGCAACTCAAAATGTAAATTTACAAGATGATACAAAAATACTGGAAAAATTTGGAAAAATTCCAGATTTTTTTTTTCTGCCCAACATTATTATTATTATTATTATTTTTACATCTCTAACCACAACCACTGTAGTTGGGTGAATATACAGAGTAAAGAATAGTATCCAAGATAATATAAAGTAATGTACATGAGAGAGAGAGAGAGAGAGAGAGAGAGAGAGAGAGAAAATCTCACTTCATATATTGATGAGCCTCCGATGGCCCAAACAGTCTCAATCTGTTTACTGCGATCTTTGGCCTTGGACAATGCTTCGTCAAAGTTGCTACAACAGATACTGTTAGTGAAGAGGCTCGGGGTGCTCCTGTTGACAAAAGGAATGGCAAATACAGCCTTTAGTGTTCATTAATTATCTATCTGTCTAATACTGTACAGGCATTAGCAGAGCAGGGCTTAAACTGTAAAAAAATCTGAATCACCACTGTTAACTTGAGTGGAAGCCCTGCCCTACCTGGATTCTTTTTTTTTTTCAGGGACATTCTGGGGCCATATGCACTGGACACTAGGACATAGTACAGTATTCTAAGGTTGAAAATGCAATATGTCCAACATTATAAGTGTGGTCCAAACATGTGCTACATGTGCACATGGCATGAAAGTACCTGTACTGTGAATATGGTTAAAACAAATTTTTTTTTGAGGGGTTTTGAAATTTGAACTGAAACAGGGCTTTCCTGCTCAGTGGGGTCATTTAGCTGAACAATCACTGTGTTACCGAGTGTTCCTCTGTCTACCCAGCAGCAATTGGGGACCTGGATGTAATCGATTTGCGGATTGTGTTCCGCAGTAATGTTTAGTCAGTGCAGTTGGCGAGTTGTCCGGTCTTCTCAGACTATTCCTTGACACTGGGTCATGCAACTTGTTAACTTAGGGTATGGTTGTTGTGTTGGCAACAGCTTCTAAACTTTAAACAAATTCACGCCGAAGTGGCCCCAGGGCCGGCATCCTCGATTTCAAGGGGTATTCAAAGCAAAGCAATGCACTTTAATCCCTGTCCATAAGTCTATCCATCATCTGTCTATTAAATAACTATTTGTCCATTATTTATCTATCAAATCCCATTCTACATTCCATAAGATGGTCTTAAAATTAATACAATTGAAAATATTCACAAATATATCAAAGATGTTAAATTTTATCTATTTTCTGTACAGCACTGTACTAAAAAGACATTAATTCATCAAAATTATGCAAAATGTAAAGAATTTTGTGAAAGAATACAATTAATATAAATAAATTTAAGTTATAAAATACAGTAAGCTGTACAGTGTATCTTAAATGGCAAATAAAAGTAAAAATTCTAAATGAAATGGATACAAAATCTTAAAAACAAATTAATCGAGGCATTTTGTATACCGTACTGTACTGCATCATGTACCTGCATTACATTGGCTAGGGGAAAAAAAAAGTCGAATATCCATTATAAAAAAATTTAGACAAGAAAGTTATAAAAAAATAAATAAAATCTATAGAAAATACCTAACTTAACCTCAAGCTTATTTCACCTTACAAATAATCACTAACCTAACCTAACCTAACTTAACCTCCTCAGGTAGTATTAGGTTGTTTAATCATCAGGTGAAATAAGTTGTTGGGGTAATCTTCATGAGAGCCACTAAATGATTATATACTATTTATAAAAGAAAAAGAAAAAAGAAAAAGCCTAACCTAAGCCTACACACTAAAATACAATATTAATATTACATGGAAGTGATGCAAAACCATAAATTCCACTAAAGAATTTTATTTATGAATGTAAGAGTTAAAGATTCAGTTGTGTACATGGAAGAAAAAACAAAAAACACTAACTTAACCAAACCTCAAGCTAAAACAGAGGGAAATTGTGGGGTAAAAACAAACAAACTTAACCTAACTAAAATACTGTAGGTCCCAGTTCACTGCTGAATCCCAATCATGTAAGACTTTGCATTGTGAACTATGCAACTTACTTGGCCTTTGTGGTCAATACCATATTAAGACGACCAGGAAGAGGACGGAACTTGATAGGAATGGACTCCCAAGTCTTGCGTCCCATCAACACCACGTTTTGTTTCTCAGCAACACTTGTCCTCTTTGTGATGCGGCTGAAATGTTTCATCTCTTCTCTGAGGAATAAAATATTATACAAGTATGAGTAGATGAGACCTTAAGCTTTACTGGAATGGTGACTTAAACAACTAAATATATAAGAACATAAGGAGTCTGCAATAGGCCTGTTGGCCTGTGCATGGCAGCTCCTGTCGAGAGTTACTACCACTCTCTATCATCCATGAATCTATCTAGCCTCCTTTTGAAACTTTCCAGAGTTCCCGCACTTACTACAAAGTTGCTAAGCTTGTTCCACTCGTCCACCACCCTATTTGTGAACCAGTTTCTTCCTATCTCCCCACTAAACCTAAACTTATCCAACTTGAATCCGTTGCTCCGACTCCTATCCTGCTCGGTTATTATAAGAACTTTATCTATATCCCCTTTATTGATTCCTTTCACCCACTTAAATACTTCTATCATATCTCCCCGCACTCTTCGTCTTTCTAGGGAATGCAAGTTAAGTTTCTTTAACCTATCCTGATATGGAAGGTTTCTAAGTCCCGGAATCATTTTTGTCATTCTTCGCTGTACCGACTCTAGTGAATTTATATCCATTCTATAATAGGGGCACCAGAACTGAACCGCATAATCGAGGTGCGGCCTAACTAGCGCAAGATATAGTTGCAATAAGACCTCTGCACTCTTGTTACTTACACTTCTAGATATACACTGTCTCAGAAAAATGCATACACAGTGCCTTACAGATTTTCATAGAAATTGCATGAATGTTTGTACAGTACAGTACATGCACTGTATTAAAAGTTTAGAGCAGCAACATTTTCCTCACCCCTCTCCCTCTTTTTTTTACGGGGATTAGCCCACCCGGGCACAGGTCATTGACCCATATTGGGGCCTGGTGGGCGAAAATGTATTAATAATAATAATAATAACAATAACAATAACAATAATAATAATAATAATAATAATAATAATAAAAAAGAACCATAAAGAAATACAAAAATGAAAAAAAAATTAAGATCAAAAGTGAGAAACAATACAGTACTGTATGCATGTTGTGTTGCCAATAGTACGAGAAGCAATTGAGACCCTGCAATTGAGTGTAAATGAGGCAGAAAGTCAGATCAGCAACCTGGGACTTGGTCATAAAAACTCATAATTTTTGTGATGCCATATGGCACATTAACAGGTGAGGACAATGTTGCTGTTCTAATACAAGCATTAACACAATCTCCAGTAAATTCTTTACAGCAGTGTGTTAACACTTTTGTGATGTATTATATGGACAATACTGATACTGTATGTGTAGCTCTTGTACACAATATTGAAATTTGGGTATTTCTGGAATTGTGCTGCACCAAATAGTATGTCTAAAACATTCAACTGCATACACCATTCAGTACAGTGACCCCTCGTTTAACGAACGCCTCGGTTAACGAAATTTCGGTTAACGAACTGCCTTCCATAAGGATCTTCAATTCAGTTAACCAACAAAAATTCGGTTTGCGAATTTCTTACGAACCGACCTCAACATGTTTTCGCTTGCACTGACCGGGCAATCAGCTTTAGTATCAGTCCGCCAATACATTAATCGGTTCTAGGGCTTAAATTCCTTACTATTTTAGTAAATATCAAGAAGTTTATACTATTCAACAATTTTAAAAGTTTAATATTCAATTTTTTAGTCATTTTAACAATTATTGAACATAATTGAAGGTAAAGTGACTAGTTTAATGCGCGACATCCAGCCTCTTAACACAGCAAACAGGCGTTAGTCTCTCTCTGTTTTCACTGGAGGTAACATCTTGCTTGAGACTCTCTTCAACTAAATGCTTTTTTTCTGTGTTTCCAAGCAAATTATTGGTCATTTTGAAATTTATTTTACATATTGACAACATATAATGCAGTGCAGTGCTGATTTAAAGAAAACAATCTTGAAATACACCAAGAGAACTAAAATTTTATGGGTGAAATGGTGCCATGGGGTGACTTCCCTTCCACCCCAATGCCTTCTCTTCTTCCTTCTCCTCCACTCCCATTCTAATTCCCATCATCATCATCATCATCCAGGAGCCTTCTACATACACACCTCAAAGTAAGTGAACTTTTCTACCATTTTTGTTGAATTTAGGAAATTTTCGGTGAGCTGGAACCAATTACCCAAAAACCCATTGAAACAATGGTTTCGGTTAACGAACGACCTTCTGGAACGGATCGAGTTCGTTAACCGAGGGGTCACTGTAGTGTATAATCCAATATTTTTATAAATTTGGATAGAATTGAAAATTAACCTCATTCCAACATCATGGATAAAAATGGACCACCTGAACATTAGCCTCTAGTTATTTTACCTGTTGTTCAATCACCCTAGCGATACCTGGGGGAATAGGCTACTAATGTTTACATTAATTCAGCATATATATATATATATATATATATATATATATATATATATATATATATATATATATATATATATATATATATATATATATATATATATATATATATATATATATATATATATATATATATATATATATATATATATATGCAAGTAAATCACTTCAGGTGAGGACAGACTGTCCTCACCCCTGAAGATGTGAATTACACGAAAGCGCTTGGGAACTTCGTGTTTTCTTCCTTCCTTGTGGTTATCAGCACACACACATATATATATATATATATATATATATATATATATATATATATATATATATATATATATATATATATATATATATATATATATATATATATATATATATATATATATATATATACACCCTGTATACACAATACACCATTATTCTGATACAGTATACTGTATACAAAGCATATACAGTACTGTGCCGTAGAGACAGTGCAGGTATACAATGTACAGACAGTACAGGCATACAATATATTACATAAACAGTGCAGGTTTACAATGTACACAGCCAGTAAAAGTACAGTATACAATGTACAATAAAAGACAAAAGTCGTGTCGTGAAATTTGATGAAAACATATGCCGAAGAGCAAAATTTTTGGTGCACTCTGCCTTGTGGTAGGGGTCTCATAACGTTTCACGGATTATATTTAATCTTTGGACAAAACTACGACACGACTTTTGTATTTGATTGTACTGTACATAGACAGTACAGGTATACATGTACATACACAGTACAGATATACAATGTACTACATAGACAATACAGGAATACAATGTACTACATACAGTACAAGCATACAATGTGCTATATAGACAGTACAGGTATACAATGTACATGAGACAGAACACAAGTATACTATGTACATTGACAGTACAGTACAGGTAAGCAAACAATGGTAGATGTTGGACCAAGCATAGCCAACAAAGCCTTTAGATACTTATAATATACAGCAAGGTCCTTTATTTAAGCTGTTGTGAAGGTAAGTGAAAGGGGCATTTAGCGGATACTGTATAAAGAGTAACAATAACATTTAGACAAATACTATACACATTTAGGTAGTTCTCATAACTGTACAGTGTAATCTTGATATTTCTACTCATTTCTGAACATGATGCACTGCACAATATGACAGCATTTGCCGTCATGTAGTGTAATTATGCAACTTATTTATTTCAGCTGGTACACAGACCTTTGTGCATCTTAGCATTAATCACTTGTACTTTTGTGGGAAGTTTGAACAACTAATATGATGATAAAATGAGACTTGTTGCTTGCAAGCAGTAAGTCACCCTTAAGTCTTGTTCAACTCACAATTACTGTATTAATCACATCTTAACCAACTCATCATGCTGTCTTCATTACATATTGTTTATAATTTCAAAGATGTTATTAAACCTTATTTCACAGTGATCCAAAAGTACCGTATGTTTGGGTTAAGAAATACAAGAAACTTAAAAACGTGATATTTTATTTACAAATATTACAAAGCATGTGTTACAGTATCACAAAACATGTTACAAAACTACTTGCCTATATTTCCAAGTTATAAACCTTCTTTGGTAGCTTCTACATAAGCAATTCTTTCTCCAGTCTCCCTGTGTGGGATAATTTTATCTTAATTTTCACAGACGACTGAATGTGGCCCCAACAGCGCTCATTTACCAACCAACTCACATCATCAATCACATGGGTTGGGCATCACAGACAGGTTTATGCATACTGGATATATTTTCTCTTATTTGTCTGGATATTTGTGAACCAGTTACATATTTACTAGATGATTATGCTAAGGTGACAAGTACCCTGTACTCTAACTTGCTGTTAACTGCCATGAGTTATACAGGAGAAATTACTTCATCCATCAAATATGAACAACACCCAAGACTTATACGTATTACTAAGTTTTATAGTTCATGGTTGAGCAAATACATACAAATATAGAGAAAAGTAAGCCATCACCCCTGCTGCTTTATGGTGACAAAAACCACGTATGATATTGCTGTACTGTACTGTACAGTATTCTACCTGTGCAGTACAGCACATGGTAAAATGCATTAAAGAAGCTATTAGTTAAAACTTCAAAACTGTGATGCCAGCAAGATAATGATGGTGCAATAATGCTTAAAACTAAGTTAATTAAAATACAAAAAAAAAAAAACTCTACCTAAACACTTTGTGAATCACTTTACTTTTGGCAATCATGTTATCATATTTAAGAGTTGCTTAAGAACATGAGCAGTTGTGCCCCAAATATGTTTTGTTACCTGAAACAACTGATCAACTTGTTAATAAGTAACCAAAGCCTGTTATGAGAATATCCTGTATTATTTACCAAACAAACTGTTGGTACTTGAGACAAACGTTATAATATTAAAAATCATATTTCCTCAATCACAGTTAATGATATGACGAGGAAGGCAGCAAAGATAATACAATACTTACACAATAATGAAATCTGGAGTTGTGCAACACTAAGAAAACCTTCCTTACAGTAAACCTATTCAATGTGGCTGGTCTGAATTTCAAGTGTAGCCTCAGTGTGACACTTTTTTATATTTAACAGTGTGGTACGTTTGACATACATACAGAGGTTTCTGTTCCATATGTGCCACGTCCCCATTCA